GCTAAAGCTTGTCTCTACATTCTATTAAATTCTAAGCCTATTTAGACATATAGTAGTAGAGATATTGTAAATCTAATTCTATTATAATGCTTTTAAAATAGGCCTATTCATAGAAAAAATCACAAAAGTCCCTCAGACAGCTGAGGAGAGAAACGCTACCGACAGGGGTCAGAAACCGCTAACCCCCCAGGCCATACTCTATTTGGAGTAGCAATATGCATGGTGGTTTGTGCGTCCTCGGTTCTCTCCTCACGTCTGAGCTAGCTGAGATAAGGGGCATCTCGGCCACCCCTTGCGCTAATCCCTTTTAGGACTAGCATCCAATGCTCCAAACATCTTCAACTTGTCAATCATCCGAATTGACTCTGTAATGCACTATTCTAGCCTTGATAGCCATGTAACACTCGCACGTATGCATGTGTTACGGTTAGGCACCCCACCGCATTTTGCCAATGCTATGGGATGACGTCGAGCTGACTGAGGCCTCACCTGCATCCTCCGCTAGCCCATCTGCCTACCACACTATGTGTTGATAATGAGTTGAAATGTTCTCGCAACCTTCAAATCGTCCTATGCTCGTCCAGTGTATCTAGCCTCAGCATCACTTCGACATGTTATTTCTTTTTGCTTTTGCTCCACTCGCTCTCTTTGCGATTGTCCACATCTACCACCTCGCGATGAGCTACATCACTGCCCGCAATTCAGCCTTCCTATCATTCTCCTTCCAATCTCTTTCAAGGATGTGTGGTGAATACCCCTTAGGCCATTGTTCTCCTAGGTAGAATCCCTCCCTTTCGAACTCGGTAGCTGGTATCTCTACACGGAGATGAATGGCTAACGGTGGATGAGAACAGAACGGCATCACGGCTCGGCGAAAACTTCGTTCTCAGCTCCCCACCTAGTAACCAGGTTGTGACGTGCTATCCTCCTGGAATCAGCCGTATTTTCGGAGACCATAAGAATTGGCCCCAGCCCGCGGCGCAGTCCCAGTTGTTCGCTTTCTATGGTCAGAATGTCTCGTCCACAATTGGCACCGAGTGGCAACGGCATCGCAAAATCACGGCGTCGGCTTTCACCGAAAAAAAAAAATGCATCAAGTTTGCAAAGAGTCAATTAAACGAGCAACTGATCTAAGCCTTGTTGGTGAGACTGCTCGCACATTGGGCCGCGTTCGCTCAACATTTGACGTGCTAGCAAATGCATATCCTCGCTGTTGTTGGGTTTGGCCCAAAACACTGCTTTGACTACGATTCCGCCTGGCCATCGACAGTCGCTAACGCAGTGCTTGGGCTTAATTTTGAAGCATGTCATCCTGACGCTCGTCTTACATGGTGTCAAAGCCCCTAATTTCCTCCTTCCTAGCGTACTTCGACAATTGAAGGTTTCGTTAGCTAGAATCAAAATTTATATGGAGGAAACGGTTCTCCGTCACATGCAGCTCTCCAACGAAGATAAACCCGAACCTCGAACAACCAGCCTTCTCGTATCATAGTGAACGCCAATGCAGCAGAAAAACAACAATTACAAAAGCCAATTTTCGTACCCTCCTATCTGGCCGAGTCCAACTGTACGGTAATATCTTTGTATTCAATCTCGCCGGTGTCGAAACGACAGCTTCGACAATGAAACCTGCCTTGTCGTTTCTCACTGCACACCCTGACATACAAGACTGGGTGATCGAAGAAGTCGCCACTTCCTACAGCTCAAATCCCAACCGCGAGCATGCTAATCTCTATCCAAAGCTTGTCCGTTGCCTTGCATTGATGTGCGAAACCCTAGGTTAATGAGTCCGACTCCATTGCTTGTCCGATCACCCATTGTCTCGGAAGAACTTCCAATCACGACATCAAGCAGTGAGACTACGATTACATTAAATCCAGGAACATTGGTCAACTCCCACTTCTATGGCGCCCATTTCCCACCCCGTAAGGGTGCCGATGCGCAAACTTCCAAACCCCCCGCGCTTTATCTTGACTTCAGAAACTGGCGACGAGAAATACCGCAGTGCCGGAAAGAGGCGTGTTCTTGCCTTGGATTTTCGGTTCTCGAGTTTGTCCAGGCAAGAAGTTCAGTCAAGTTGAATTTGTCGCTATTATTACACACCTCCTTCCAGAGTTCCACATTAAAGTACAGAGATTCTATGGAGAAAGCGTACATTTGGCAAAGGCCAGCTTGATGGGAGTACTAGACGAGAAGTACTTCAACATAGTGCGCATCTGAAGCGACCAGAAGATGCAGGCGTGTGACTTGCACGGCGCAATGTAAAGTAAAAGGATATCACAGAACGTTCGTTGCAACTCCCAAACGAAAAGCATATTCCATCGCACCATCTTATCATCTCATGCTCAGTAAATTTGCTTTAGCTACTCACTTTCCTTAAGAATTCATCCCTCACTATCGGTCCAAGCCGCTCAACTAGTTCCAGAACAACCAACAAAGTTATTCCCGCTTGCACCCGTATGCGTAATCTCGCCAGCCAGAGAGCCTCCAGAGTTAAAGATAACCCGATCAGCGCCAGGCGACCCTATTTCAGAACTCAGCTCAACTTTCCCCAAATAGATACTTCCTTGAGCATAAAACTTACCGCCAGTATACGTCTGCCCGCTTGACAGCAGCGGAAACTCATAATAAGGACCCGAGACAGGAAAATCGAATCCCTCGTAGTTATTATATGCATGGGGGTAGGTCGAGCCTCCTGCAGTGCCGCCTTGCTTAACGTAGCTGTAGCCTGCGTTTTTCGCTGCAGTGACTTTAGCTTGCGTGTAGCAGTTTGACCCACACGTAGTGTAACATTGTCTCGCCTCGAGTGGGTTATCGAGGAAGGAGATGGAGGTGGGGAGAGCCAAGGAGAGAGGAGTGAGGAGGAGGAGGAGGGCTGAGAGGAGCTGCATTTTGTCTACGCGTCCAAAAACTCCAGCTAAGAAAGAGTAGTGCAAGTCCTGAGTAACTGGCGAGCGAGAGTGAGTATACAAAGCTCCTGATCCCTAAATTCATCAAGGCTCAGACCCTTATATACACTTCTCACCATCGTCAACCTCGCGGTGGAATCCGAGACGACAATTACCTGCCTCAGGCGATCAGGCACAGAATTAATTGCTATTTCTGCAGGACAAGAATACCTATCACCAGCCCTAGACTACATAGCACCCTTTATCCGTGGCAGCTACGGCTCTCCAATGCGATGCATTTCAACCCACGCCCAAACATCCTATTACAATCTAGCACTGTCATTCCCGTTACATAACCCTACAATGTAGTCTTCGCATTGCTTTAAGAGCCGAAGCACTCGTTCAAACCCTCTTATCTGATTCGCGAGATTGAACAGGTCCTAAATATTTGGGAAGAATATTGTATCATGATCTTCGCCTCCAGGCGGGTGTGGCACTCCTCCGAAAAGGAAGGTCGGGGTTGTTGCTAAACAAAACGGCGGTGTTGATCTCGAGTTTATCGTGGAAGGGTACATGTGCGATTTTGATAGGTTCGTCAGGGATTAGGACCGGCGAACATGGAGCCACGGGAGCTAGCTAGTTTGGGAAGGTAGGTGGGTGATAGATGAAAGGGTCTGGGGTGTGCGGATAGTCGGAGAGCTTTGGGACGCGATTCGATCGCGGAGAGGTCGCTTACGGGAGGAGCCCAAGGAGAGTTGTCACTATCAAGATTCAATACGCCGGGGACGCTGACTCCTATAACACAAACTGAGCGACTTCAGTGTTTCCGCATAACCAGGCTATTAGTCAAATCACCTTTCCCTTGTCGGCCCAACAAAGTTCCTTCTCCCCCTTACAATGAAATCCATGCCCGCAAATAACAACACAAATCCAAATACCGGACCTGCGTAATTCATGGTCGTCACCGTAAGCGGCAAGCTGGTCGGGAGCGCCATGAAAGGCACCAACAAATTCGCATAACACAGCCCGTATATATTCACCCACAATCCCCATTGCCCCAAGTTCCACGGCCCAAATACCAGACGTTCTTCTGATATCTCTGCCTGCCCAGCTGAGGAGTAAATTGTATTTTTGACACGGAGGCGCATGGAGACAAGGCAGGAGATGGGGATGATGTAGGAGATATAGAGGGCGATTGTGCTGAGAGAGAGGATGGCGTTTAGGGCAGTTGAAGAACCGATATTGATCAGGGATAGAAGAATAATGACAACGGAGACTAGCGAAATCGCCCGGATGGGGATGTTGTGCCCTCCGTCCACGTGCTTGAAGTACTCGCTGAATGGCAACCCGTCGTCTCTTGCGAAAGCCCATGTTAGACGACTTACACTCGCAAGTGTGCCGAACATGGCGGCCATTGTGATGCTGAGTGTGAAGCTCATGATTGCGGTTGCGCCGGCACGCGTCTTGGATACTTGGTGCATAATTTCGATGAGAGGGTAGCCGGTCGGCGTTTCGAGGACGTCAGTAATATTGGAGATGCTGAAGAGACACAGGAGGACGAAGGTCCAGGCCATGCCGCCGTTAACAAGGACGGTGGTGATGATGACTTTAGGGATGGTGCGCGCTGAGTTGGAGGTTTCTTCGCTGAGGTGAATAGCGCCGTCGAAGCCTATCAAGACCGTCAAATTATATCAATTCTGGATAGGAAGTGTCGAAGAAAATGGGGGAGGAAAGTGGCCGAGATGTACCAACAATGCACCAGATACAGGGCAAGAGCCCAATAAACCACGCCACGCTCTTGTTCTCCCATCCCGTCTCATTCACAAAGCCAGTAAAGACGAACTTCGCACTTGCATTTCTTCCGAATACTAACATGACAATGAACAATACCACGAAGAGTAAGATATGGAGAACGCCCGAAAATAGCTCGAACGCTGGGAGAAGTTTAATTCCCCAAACGTTAACGATGTACGTTATGCCAACAACGAGCCACATAATTAGGGTAGTATGCCAGCGCTCGAAGACGTATGAATGGTGGTTAAGGACGACGACGCCTTGGAGCTGAGCAGCCATGATGAAGGCGAGAGACGTAATAGTGGCTTGCCAGGCGAAGACTGTAACCCATCCTACGTAATGTCATCCTTCAATATCTTGTAAGAAGCGCCCATCGAGACAGACCTTGTATAAAAGTAATGAGAACACGGAATCTCTTTGGTGCAAACATATATGTCCAGTGATACTGCGCGCCACTAATTGGACATATACTTGCCATTTCCGCGATCGAAGCCGCACACGCTAATGTTCCACTGAGCGTAAAAATAAGGCCGTATATTAGGGCTACAGGTCCCCCAGCAAGGAGTCCTACACCCAGAGCTCTTGCGAAGTCAGTTCGTTTCCTTGCCAAGTCGATTTAGGAGGACGTACCCGCCGATTGCTTCCCACGAGGAAAGCAAAGTCATAGACAGGCCAAAGATCGTAAAGATATTAAATCGACGCTGCACTTCGTCAATCCCAGCCTTTCTGTGTGTAACCGGAAATCAAAGAGTTAACAAACTGTAAGTTCCTGCCTCTTCCCCATCTTCTCCATAACCTCCTTGTCTTCCATATTCAACCTCCCTAACTCTGGAGTCTCAGCTTCCATAGAGTCAACCGCCGGCTGGTTGATAACTTTATCCTCCATCTCAATTTTTTCTGTGCAAATGGCTCGTATAAAACGTTTCTTAGAGAAACAGAGAAACTCGAGACGCCAAGCGTTATAATAGGAATTTCAGTATTTAAGAGACTTCTACACCTCCCAAATCCGACCGTTTACTAGGAGGGGGACGTAGACCCTTGAGGTCTCAATGAGGATGCGTTTATTGCTCGGCATTCGAAGAGTGTGGGGCAGTTGTGTTACCAACTAATTCGGAAGGATCAGTCAGCCAAGGATCAACGCAAGGGCTAGGTTCCAAAGAATCAGTGTAGTCCATTTTTGGGATGTAGATACAGAAGATCTAGGCTATACCTGGGGATGTTGCGGAAAGATCGGCCCAGCGTTACAACAGCTATTGTTAGTGGACAGTGTAGGGAAGCGGGCGTTACGGACCCAAACCGCGAATTTATATTGCGACTTGTGTTTTTGATCCACCCCAACAATCCCGGTCGGCCGCAATTGACAATGTGCATTTTTGCAACTGACACCGGGAGCTGCAGCCAAGCTCACAAGCGCCGAGTGCTACAGTTGACATGTGACATTGGATTCACAATGGACGAATGTATATACTCATTTTTTATGAATATGTTTCCTGCACAAGGCTCATCGTCGGTAACTGTCAAGAATTTGGTAAGCGCGGGTTAGTCTGTGCCCAACGTAACATGGACTGTCCTTCGGCAAGGTGCGGACGGTATTTGTCCATCATCTCTCTTCCTTTCAGGCAACCAGCAGTAAGCCTTCCCAATTGAATCTCTAGCCGGTAACGAATGTTGTGAAAGAGCCTCAGATGTCGCTCAATTCTGGAATCCCCCCTGCCAAGACTCCCTGGTTAGCTGGAGATGTCGTCCGGGTCCTCATGTTTGAGAAACTTAGTTTGAGGCTTACTGCCATAGTATACTCTTCCAAGCCGAATTCGAAGACAAGCCAGCACTTAGTGGCGAGGCAGTTGCAAAAATCTACGACGAAGACTGCAGCCTCATAGAAGAGCTAAACATCTTCGAACAGCAACTACCCTCCATACCCTAGCAGGGCCGCATCCTCCCATTCACATGCCCTCCCTACGCAGGTGGTGGAAGTCTACTCGGCGGTCCAGGTACATGTAAGACTATCACAGTGCGAGAGCACCACGTGTGATCTTTCGATGAATCAAGCCGCGCACTCATCGTACAACTCGAAGTAGACCCGAGGAGCTTGTTATTGGGTTGGGTGTGTGCGTTTTGGGATGGGGGAGGGGTATAAGGAGTATACTCATACGTCGATGTCAACACAATCGGAGTGAAGTCTATCTTCCCGATAGGACGCTAGCCCGGCTCATGATGGGTTGTTGAAGAAACAATCTTATATCGAATCCGAGAGGTCCAATGCTGCAGAAAAGACTGCGAACAATTAGATCGTCCTTGCCCGGGTGGTTCCATGTACTATCCATTGGCGTTTCCTTAATACTAAGAGTCTCTTACTTGACGCAAGTCCGGTCTGTTCGAACAAGCGCAAATGAATTTACGTACTGCAAACAACATCGGATGCTGAGAATGGAGGCTGTAACTTTCTTTGCCAACTGCCGAAGTCTGATGAGCACAGCATTGAAACCTTTCAAACAGCCCAAATGTTCGACTGGAAGGGCATAATGAATTGCTTTGACCGAAAGAGAACTTCAGGTACACCAAATGTACAGTGCTCGAATTCCCTCAAGTCTAAAACCGTGTCCTACTGTACAGCATATTTTAGCATAAAACAACCACCTGAATTATCCGTTCGAAGGAATATCTTCGATATCACCCGCACTCGCGCTGCTTGCCCTTATGGCCTGATGACTCGTAATCCGTCTTTCGAAGGCACCGCTGCTCGCTTGAATGACTGCATTTGATGTTAGTCGTGCCTCCAGCACCCTATCCGAGAAGATTACTGACATTGTCACACTCTTCCCAGGCTCGTCCGGCACCAAATCCGAGACCAACGTATGCGGGCCATGCGCGTCGTTTGAACAGGAGGACAGAGAAGACGATGCCGAAGGAGAGACCGAGACCGGAACGGATAAGCATGGACGACAGGCAGCGATCCCACTATTACAATATACACATTAGCATATCTATTGCCGGACAAACAGCAGGAGCTTAGCCGCGTGGAAGTTCAAGGGGCAGGGAACGAAGTCGCGTGAGGCGGTCGGGGATGTAATCGAAACCTGCCAAGCTTTTCCAGGGCTTCAGGAGGGCTTCAACTAGCATATAACGCCCGCCAACCGATGCCCGAGATTGTAGATTGGTGCTGGAGTAGTACCTTCTCGTTCAGCAGAGCTTCGCTCATCGGGCGAGTGGTTTTCGGGATCGGCGCCGCGGATTTGGGAGAGTCGTCGGCCATGGTGAATATGTGTAGCTAGCCAATTAGTCGATTGGTCCTAGCTGTCGATGTGAGGAGGAGAGATGGCAGGTGGAAGGGTGGTGTTAATGTTGTCGTGCTGTTCCCTCGGCCAGATGCGTGAACGGAACTTTGAGGGTGACGCGGGCTTGGCAATGTGGTCCGTGCATAACTTTTTCTAATTCACTGCTCTGCAACTCGACTTGACTCTAATATTGACTTCCACATCGGCATATTGAGCGTTTGGGAGCCAGGATGGTGCTAACGACTCTAGTAGGCTTGGCTGAGATCATTCTGTTGTACATTTTACTAACATAGCCAGCCATCAGCAAATGCGGCTACCGCAACCCTCCCCAAACTGCTCGCCGTCAACAAGGAAATCGGCGATTTGGATGAGCAAATTCGCCAGGCCACGCGTATCATACGACTGCCAAACGATTGGCAAACAATCCAGAGTGAAGTAGAACGCTATGAGGCTATCAAACCTATTGTCCGTGCCCGAGCAGAATGGGTTCTCCGGTGGATACTGGACAAACTGAAAAATCCAGAAGACACAGGCGCGCAAGCACGGGCAAATCCAAGATCATGGAAGCTTGTACAGTGGATGTTATATGTTCTACCCGTATCACGCTCCGCCACCCAGCTGAGGGATGCCGACTTTCTCGCTATTTTAGAGAGAGCTCTGCAAGAGAATTTCGAGAAAGACTTCACTATTGAAACTTCCGTATCCGGCGCTGAAAACGTCCACAAAGATGTCTCGGAGTCTAGCGAAACCGTACAAGAGGATCCGAAGCCCTCCCGCAAGCGAAAACGAACGTCTGGGACAAATACGCCTTCGAAGAGAGTGTCAGTGGACGTCCTGGGGCTCGAGCAGCTCTTCGTTGCGATTGTTACGGTGGTGAAAGGTATTGCTGGAAAAGTTAGTTCGTCTGGGCCTGGTGAAGAAACTGTCTCCTCCGAGTATATGAAGGTAGCGCTGAGGACCGAGAGCGCACAAGCCGCCCGGATTCTGAAATTCTGGCTCATGGCCGTCCAGAAATTCTTGACTGTTTCTTCGGCATCGACATTTTCCGGTCTGGATGTTCTCGACGATCGCCTGAGCTTGTCTTTCGCCATCCAGATTTGGGAACTTCGTAGCGTCGAAGCCACCGGCGGCTCAGGAACATCCGCCGACCAATTTTCAGCAGAATGTTTGATCCCAACTCTGGAACTTTATGATACAGTTCAAAAAGCGAACAATTCGACCAATTCAGCGCAGAATTCACCCACAGCACCAGCTAATGCGGCTCAAAGCCTGGAGAAGGTCCTCGTTAGGTATTTGTTTGGCCCAGCACGTGCATCATTTTACGCTTCTGCTTCTTCAAAGGCATCTAAAAGTATGGATCTGAAGACACTGGCAGCGAAAGCGCTAGCTAGCAATCTCGAGCCCCTTCGCGCCAGGATCCAACAAGCTGCAGAAATCCTCGACTCGTCCGAGCCAATACCTGATACGTTCTTGCCGTTCTTTCGCGCAATACCGCAACTTCTTGACCTAGCAATCAAATTTTCTCCGATACGGTCACCGAAGAGCAAGATTGTTGAGAGGCCCTGGATCCAGGCTGCTTTTGTAGCGCTGGCGGAATGCGCTGGATGTTCTCTCGAAGCGCCGAAGTTTATGGCCCCGGTACCCTCGGTGGAAGCGCTTGAGAAATCACTTGGCGTCCTTACGGCTCATAACATGAACGTTGATACGAAGATCCTAGAAGACCTTTTTTGGTTTCATTCAGGGTTTACGTTCCCTCTCAAGCAGAAAAGGACGGTCTGTTGGCCGCTCATTGCTGCCTTGATCAAATTGGATCCAGACATTTTCCTTCCGAAACCGAGATCTACACCTTCGGACTCTAGTGGTCGGCCAGTGGATCTATCAGGATTCTTGTTTGACAAAATATCAATGTGGGCTACGGAAATTCAATCTACAGGAAATACAGATGTGAAATGCAACAAAGGAAGTGGCCATGTTTCTTGTTCTCGAGACTTTGACCAACCGGAACAAGTGGTGCATTCGATAATTGTACCACTCATGTCGGCGTATGCGCGGAACCGGGACCTTCTCGGTTTCATCTCGAGATGGGATTCACAACTTATTGAAAATATGTTTAGCTCGCGGACTTTCGAAGAACTAGAAGCGAGCATAACGTCTTCGATATGGGAGGATCGCAGCTTGAACCTTGCATTGGTTTCATTGTTCGAGAAATCCTTGACGCAATCGCAGGTCTTGAGCCTTTTTGAACAGCATCAGGGTCGTGTCAAGGGGCTCGGGAAGACGTTGCGGTCAAATTCCGATAAAGATCCCCAGAAACGCATGGATTCCATTCGGAAAGGGTACAGTAGCTCTGTTATCCTAAACGCATTTCTGGACTCTCTTTATTCCGATGAAGCAATTGAGGCACTCAAACCGCAGCTTTGGTCATTATTCAACTCCTACACCTCCCTTATCCGCAATGATTCCTATCGCTCTAGTTCGGATCCGACCCTAGCCTGGACATTGTTATGTAAACTTTGGACGATTCTCTGGCCCATCGAGCTTCATGGATCCTCGGATCTTCAGAAGAAATATGTCGATTCCTTGATTAGTCGGGCCTGCCAGGATGCAGAAGCTAAAGACCACCACCGCAACACCAATTCACCCTCAAGAGTAGCTTCCTTGACATTTCTACTAACTGCTTTCGATTGCTTGATAAGCGTTCCTGGTTGGCAGGACCTTGCTCATGAGAAATTACAAGTGGTCCTCGGCTTTCTGTCAACGAACACCCTTGACCTCAGTGACTTCGAGCAGGTCATGGAACTCCTATGCGCCCGGTTCTCCCATCTTCTCGACCACATTGAGCCCCAAGCTCGCGATAGAGTATTCACTACTCTATTTTCGAACATATCCGAAATTACCAAACATGATGTTAGGGATCAGCTCCTAGCCTCCGTATCCCAGTCACTTCTTTCGATCGCTAGCCCAGGTACTATCGATGTATATTTAGAGATAGTTTCTAAAGCGTTAGATGGTATTGAAGCAAACAACAAATTTGTTTCAATTGCTGAAGAGCTGCTTTTACAGGTGGTTCCCGCCGCCTCATCCCGAACCCAGAGAGAAGCGTTGGTGGACAAGATGACAGATATTCTAATCACACGCCCTCGGAATGTTCCGGTTTCACTGTCTGTCATGGCCCATCTCATGGAGCTTCCAAACTCGACAGCAAAAATCTGCAGCAGTGGCAGTGCTCTCTTCGACCTCGCTCAGAGCTTGCACGATAATAAGTTGGAATCTGCTCTAAATGTGGACCTCTTCCAGGAACTAGTTCAACTTACCCTCGATCATATACTGAAGAACAAGGACCAACCCCAAAATGCCAAATACCTTGAGAAATTCAAATCAAAGCTCACATCTGCAACCAAAAAGGCCAGCAGATGCTATCCCGCTCGACTTGCCATTCTCAAGGCTGCCTTTGCTGCCCAGAAAGATGCTATGATAATTACTATCGAGAGGTATCTACTAATTTTAGGGGCGTGCCTTAATGACACGTCTGCCCCCGTCGACCACCTCTTAGACGCCTTCAACGAGATACCCTCGGAGATACTACGAGATAACGACGGGGTGCTGACATCAGCGCAATCGATCTTGCTCAAGCGCATCCCCCTAAAAGTCTATCAAGACTATATGGTGGATGGAATAGGAAACTGTTCAGTGTCTATTTTCTCTCCTCAGACCTGGGTTCTACTTCACAGGTCTGCAGCACGGTTCCAGCTGTATGGGAAGCCGGCTCTATTCCTCAACCTATCTATAAGATTGCTACGTGAAGAGTTGTCCGCTCAGGAGCAAAGGGTCATATTCAGCTCTGTGAAGGACTGGCTGTCGACGCTCACTATGATCGATAAACTAAAACTTGTGGGGATTCTGACCGGCAGTGCCGAGGATCAAGATCGGGTGCCCTCGTTCCGCATCCTACATATTCTCATTTCCGCGTTAGACGATGCCCACGTCGAGGACACAGAGCAGAGGCAACAGCAGCTCCTAATATTGCCTAGTCTTTGTCAGCATCTCTCCACAAGTCCAGATCCGGCCATCTTCAACGCACTACTCGATAGCATCGACACTATCCTTCGCGGAAAGACATGCCTCCTATCTCAACATAACATCGAAAGTGTGCTCACGGTTATTGTCGTACTCTCCTCGCGCATCAGTCCCACTCTTCCCTCCAAACACGCCCCCGCGATATACGCCCGACTTTGCGAGACAAGCCGACTAATCCTCCTCCTCCACCGCAGTCGGCTAGGGGGCCGCTTCCACCTCCTACTCCAGCTCCTCCAAAATCTCCTCTTCTGCCTCTTCATACCCAATGCCAACCGAGGTACCCCACGCCCACCTTGGCTCACCCCAACCTCCACGAACCTCTCCCCAGTAAACTCATCTCAATACTCCCGCCTCCTCTCATGCCTCTGTTCACCCACCACCTCATCCGTCTCCAAACACTCATGGACAGCCAGCGCCAGCCACTCCCAACCCAGTCTTAACGACCCCGTCAAAGCGGCTAGGGAATATGCATCCCATCACCTGTATCCGCTTCTGGCCGCCTTTTGTAGGTTTCAGTTGAACGGGAGATTGGAGCCAGCGGTTAGGGAGAGGCTGTTACCAGGGATTTGGGATGCAGTGAGTGTGGCGGGTTTGGATCGTGAGGCGTTGGAGGGGATGAATGCTGGCCTGGACAGCGCGACTAGGGCGGTTTGGAAAGGGGTTTGGGGGGAATGGAGGAGGCGGATTGGGGGGATGGGAGAGGGATAGAGAGTGATGAGTGGGAGGGAGAGAGGGGGGGGTGATCATGGTGGTTGGAAGTTGGGGGGAAGCTGTTGAAAGCGTGCCTAATCCTAAGATTTCCGTGAGGATAGAGAACCCATGCGTCCATCGAATGTAAGAATGAAATCCAGAGTCACTCCGAGGCGTGGTATTTGTTCGCGTGGATCTCTCGACAATGTTACATTGTCTGTTCTCTGGAATGTCGACTTCTCCCTGAGAACTAAAACTCTCAGTCTACCCCTACAACTGTGACTACCTTACTCCATGGCCTAGTCAAGCCATCATTCGTCTCCATACTTCAGACGACATCTAGACCGGTAGATTTAGACCGCAAACTGGATTTTCCTCAATACACATGCGGTCGTCGGGATTTTCAGCACTGAGTTTAGTGCGACAGACGATCCAATTTTGTGCAACGGAACAAGGCCATGAGGAGTCAGGCTAGGCATAAAAACACCATTCAAGTAGAAGCTGAAGGAAGACGAGAAGCTGACCCAAAACAAAGTTTGGAATTTGAAATTTACTTACAGCCCAAACCAAGATTAAGTTTTTGCTTTTAGATTCGAGGCAGGAAATGAATGGCTCGGATCTTGCGTACACGATATCTGTGTAAAATGCGTGAAATTGAAAATGAACACGCGAGCTGGGCTGATAGGTCTACGACCTGATCTCTCGGCTTCGGGTTACAAGAACGAACCAAAGAATTGGGTCTTGGAACGCTTATCTCCCCTCTTGTAATTCACGTGGGGGTTCGGGGAGTTGGAGTTTGGTTCGAGGGTGTCGCTTATTCCTAACATCAAGGAGATAATTGTAGAGAGATAAGGAGAACAGAATAGTAGAGTTCCTCAATATGAGAAGAAACTTGAATGATTGCAATAATAGCAATGGCGACAGTTTGAGCTTGGTATCATGTCCACCTATCATGCCTGATCTCGTTCTTCTTAAACAAAGAAAGAAAACCATCCTAGGTGACAAAAGTAATGCAACAGACACATAGACATCATAGTATATTCAGTACACACGCCACCAACAACCTTACAATAAGCCTCTTCTACCCTACTCGCTTACGCGAAAGTGGCTATGTACTTAGGGATCTAGAAGTTTTTCGACGAAATTTCCTCTCCAGCGGACCCCTTTCCATTCCCACCTGCCATAACCTCCTCATCATACCCATTATCACTATCATTCGCATATGCAACACTAACATTCCTAATCTCGTCCCCAACCTCCAACCACGTCTCACTAGTCGCTGGAATTGGGAAGATCTTGCATAACGACCAATATACGCCCCCAGCGATGAGAAATCCGCAGAAGAAATTGAGATCGTAGATACGCTGTGCCCCCACTGGAACCTTGCGACCGATTGCGCCAGCGAATCCGACGACGTTGATGAGAATGCCAGCGATGTAGGCGGTATATCCCCGCAGGTGGAAGCCGTAGGTGAAATAATATGGGTCGGTTTTCTTGCCAGAGTAAAGTTCTTTGATCTCGAGGTAGCCTTTACGGACGATGTAGTAATCGCAGATTATGACGCCGGCGATGGAGGAGAGAAAGACAGAGTATGCGGAAAGGTATGTTGTGAAGCTGTTTGATGATTTGAGGAGGTTCCAGGGGCACATGACCAGGCCAACAAGGGCGCAAATGTAGCCGCCCCGGCGGATGTTGAGGTAGCGAGGAAGGAGCGCTGTCATGTCTGTTCCAGCGGAGACGGAGTTTGCAGCGATGTTGGTGCCGAGTTGGGCGAGCGTGAAGGCCGCGCTGATGATGAAGACGCCGAAGCGTTGGCCGTTGCCACCTTCTTCGAGGAATTGCCCGAGAAGGTCGAGCGGGTTCCAGATAGGGTCGCCACCGAATATGACAGTAGATGAGGAGGAGACGATGATACCAATGAAGGATGTTACGGCAAAGCCAACGGGGATGGTGATCAGCTGTGACCAGAGGGCGTCTCGAGGCTTGCGGGCGAACCGAGCAAAGTCAGGGTCGTTGACAATGAGTGTGGCGAAGTTGGCAATAGAGGACATGATGCCTCGGATCATCTTCCAGCCTAAGTCAGAGCCGTGTGCTGTTCCCGGTTGGTGGACAATAGGTCCAATGCCTTTGGCGCGAACGATAGCCCAGATGAAGAAAGCAATACCAGCGGTGGGCACGAAGTAAGCCTTGACGGTGAACAAATGGCGAATCTTGTGCACGGGGAACCAAATGGCAGGAAGAGAGCCGGCCCAGAAGAGGAAGAAACTAACAAACATCACAGTGTTAGTGCCAGAACCCGGGATGCCGTTATGTATGTTGTCCTAGCTTCGTTAGAGAGAGAAAAAGGAAGAAGTTGAGTGGATACCTACTGGTCGCCAGTCATTCCAGATGCTGCGGATCATCAGATACACACATTCACCCCCAATCCATGCCTGCACGCCGTACCAGATGCAAGCCATAGCAGCTCGGTTGAAGACAGGCCATAGTGCTCCCCAAATGCCGAAAGAGGCACGAGAGACGACGGGAAAAGATATGTGATACGTAGCACCGATGCGACCAGTCATGCACACGAAGCACGCAGCAATGGCATAGCCAAACCAGACGCAGAGCCAGGATTGCCACCAGGAGAGGCCTTCAACGATCATAGACGACGAGATCATCCAGGTGTTGATGTTGAATGAATCAGCTGTGTATTATGAGCATGATTTTAAGTGGCCAAAGGAAGTACCAGGGTCAAGAAATCAGATTGAGGATTCACATACCAACCCAAAACCCAACGAAATTCCAAGCACCCCATTGCCTGCGCTCAGGTTCGACGGGTTTGAGATCGTGGTTGAACAGCATGAGCTGGGCCGTCGTGAGACCCGGCTCAGACTCGACGGCGAGCTTGTTCGCATAGTATGCAACCTTGGAATCCTTAACCTTCTCCATGACAAAGGAGAAGATGGAGTCTTCTTCTGAGGAATGAAAGACAGTTGAGGTCACGACAGGTCTTAAAAAGCTTGGGGTCCGGCTGGATGAGGCAGTTCCTTGATAGTTGTATAAATCCCCGCAGTAATGACGTGGGGGGTTAGCTGAGGCGATTGAAGGTCGAGGTGAGCTGGAGGAAGGTGAAGTTTGCTGGATCAGCGGCTGGCGCTCTGGATCCGTGTTTGTGGCTAAGGCTTCAGGACTTCTGCTTAATGCAGAGTCGACTGAAGCTCTTGGAGATTGCGATGATAGTGAGAGGGCGTCGCACAAGCTATCTGCTTCGTCCGCTGGAATGGGTGTGCGCATGAGATATATATACAACGTCCCACGAGGACGTTCACAGCATGCAAACCATTTTTTGTTATTCGGCTTAAGCCGATTACCGGACCAGCAGGAGCGATAGAGAATCTAAGGCGCGATAGAGTGCTCTTGCCAGCCTTATCGGACCCTATAATGGCCTCGCCAGCAGTTCCTTGCCATGAAAAATTCCGCACTGGGTGAGCTGAAGAGCGGGAGCACAACAGTGGTGACCATGTGCGTGGACCCGGTGATGACGGGTAGAACCAGTGTCTTATCAAAGAGTGTGGAGAGAAAAGGACGCGATGCGGTAAAGCCAGCCACGAGGGGATCTTGCGTGAGAGAGGTTGGAAAACGGAACGATCCAGCGACACATTGCGAATCAAACGGCGCCAAGCCCCGTTGCATCATCCTTTTCTCACACTTGTATCGCAAGATACGATGTCGGCCTGCAGTTTTTTTGGTCACGGTTGCTCGATAGTAACTTGTCATCGCACAGTCTGCACATCAAGAGGCTCTTTATCTCTCAGCTCCCGCAGCGCCGCATCTTTTTGTAGGTTTTGGGCGCGTGAGGTTGCACTGGGAATGCTAGGGGCTTCGCTTGGTGCTTCCGGAGACACAACCATTGCCAATCAGGAATGGCGCACAGATAAAGCTTGGTGTGGGGTTCGTAAGGGCCGTCCCGCCACTCACACGGCGAGGATGTGACTCGATGTGATCGAGTAAAACGCCCTCTGGCGGCCGCCGTAAACAAGAAACTCCATGAATGCCAACGACCATCCTAACGGACATCAACGCTACGTACTAATCTCATGCGACATCAATCTCACCACCACCTCCTTCTCTGCGGATGTAGATACCCCTTTCACCCATATTTCCGACATGATGACGAGGGAATGGACCTCATGGTTGGCCTGAATTCTAACATGAGGTTTAAGACAATATTTCCCTACCGCCTCCGCTAATGCTTCTTCTTCCTCAATCCTTATCACATTCCTTCAGCACACGTCCCAATCATACATGACCCTTTCAAACTCTCTTTGCCATAAACCACTTACACAGTAAGGTGTTTTACTCCTTTCTTGCTTTTTCCCTGCGACAAGCGATCTCGTTCCCCAGACCCCGTAAATCCGGGCCTCGTGGTCGAGGTCACTCGCATGCAGCACGCCCACACACACCAAACACGAATGCCGGGATCTTTTCCCCAAAACCATGCACATGGCTGTCTGCAATCTGATAGCTCCGCTTGGCGACGCATCATGCTTGGAAGCCGTGTGTTCCTACCTTGATATGATTTGTGAAGAATGCGTCGAGGGCGATATAAGTTTACAGCCATCTGTGCGTATCATGCAGCTTGGTATTGTTCAAGCCCTTTAAATGTCACAGCTACCATATCTTTTTTCTAACATTCTCTCAAGGCTGTATTGAAGTTCTGGGTTTTGATATCTTGTAGCTCGGCTCCACAAGCCACCTCGCCAACCAAAATTCTCCTCGTAAGCCATTGACATCTTCGCGCAGGAGTCTCTATCTCAACGAGTCTTCAACCCCTCCACTATCAAACGACGTTCAAGATAGTCTTCGCTACACACTCGAAAGGAGATCCTCATTAGCGAGTTATATTCATTCTACGATCGAGATGTTCACTAGAAATCGGTCTCTGCTTCAAATCTGCGGGGCCGTAAGGTTTTCAATCGTTCCTGACTATTTGTCCATGCTCCCCCGCTTTGAACTTTCTTTTCCTTGCGATCTCCTGGTTTTTACATTTTCTCAATTCTAGAGGACCACGCATATGATAGCTCACATCCAGCATGCTCTTTGACCAAAATGCTAAAGTTGTTTGCCTAACAAAACCTACAAATACGCGGTCTTCGGCACTCTGGCCATTGGTCATAAGGAGAGTTTTCGGTATACCTCCTTCAATTCCTTTAGATCTTACGCAGCTTCCTTCGGTCCTTCTTCTCCTGCTGGGCCAATCCTGCAGGCCCGTTCGCATCGTCTAAGGTTTTCTTCTGTTCCAAAACATCGCCAACGCCACATAAACACACTCCGTTCAGGCACGATACACAGCATGACTCATAACAAGTACCTTGAAGGTAAGGACTTTGTTTTCGTTACTACCAGTCCAAGGAATACTCGAGAACGATGCCGATCCTCAAATACCGATGAGTTCCAAGAAGGTCTACCTGTCACGTCTTCGACCTAGGATTATCTACATTGGCGAAAGAGATGCTTGCGACACATAACACATGTCGCCGGAATCACCGCCGCATAATTCCTCGAAAGGCATATATCGAGCAGTCTCGGCCTTACAATCTGCGACAGACGAATGCTGTTGTGGCTGTTTCTCTCACTCTAACGAGAGAATATGCGATATCGAAGAGCACTTGGCACTTTGGAATCAATTTACCATTAACTACAATGTAGAAGCTTCAAAAAGGAATCAGGAGCGGGTCAGTCTGTACCTCCGTTACTGCCCATCAGGTTGCGCAGCCGTCGTGCCTTTCTAATACAGTTAGCACGGTCATCCCATGACCGCCAATATCGCAACTTTGCTTACTTTGAGTCTTCAGTTTCGCTTATGCCCCGACCTCTTCACACTTCTTCATTCTTAGGTCTCATTATCGTGTTTGTCTGTCAGTCCTACTGCTATGTAGTCACCTATTTCCTCAGCGCCATGCCTTCACTGGGTAATCGATTCTCGCAGACCGAAACTAACCTAAAGCACGCCTCGAATTGAAAAAAACCACATTGGTGAGAAAGAAAACATTTGAAAGGGATTTGAGGATCGGGAGAGGGAGAGGGTCCAAAACAACCTAATTGACGACCCTAGTTGGATAGCAGGTAAAGATGGGGATAACGCACACCAGGCGCGGTTTATGAAGACTAGGGCATAATAGGAAAATAAAAACATCGAAAGAGGTTCATGAAAACTCCAGAGTATGCGCAGGGCCAAGTTCAATTACAAACTCAGAATCAAGCGGTCTCGGCTCTCTACAAGCTCAACTTTGACCAACAGTCTGGGACAGGCTGAAAATCGGCCGTTCCGGACGAGCATTCCGTTTCGAAAGCCTTCGGCTCTGATAACACTCCCGAAATCCTCAAGACAGGTGGACACAGACTTACCAACGCCAATCATGAAGATAGCTCGACCTTCGGAACTAATACAAGAGCAAATGCTAGAAATGAATCGATCAGGACCCGAACGCGTGAATGAACATCGAGATTTCTCTCATTTCCTCGGTCAGCCATCTACCAACATTGAAACACCCATACCGGCCCTTGGGGTATCAGCCTTCACCGTAAGCATGGCCGCCTTGGCTATGCCATCAATGCCCTCGGTGTGGAAGAATCATTCGAAACCTTAGCACTGTTCGCCTAAAAACAAAATCAACGAAGAAGCGGGTGGTCCAGCAGTCCCTCCGATACCACTGATATTTGGTAAACGGCGATTGAAAGCGATAGGTCGGTTAAATACAACCGATATCAAGACCGCGGGCGTGTTTGGCTGTCACTTGCTTATACTCACGATGTTGAAGTGCAGCCCTGTATTCTGCTGATGTACCTATCCTTGGCACTCGCTCTGTGTTACGGATCAACCTCCATAGCCATGGCGTCTTCGCGTTCATTGAGCCTCCGGTCTACTCTTCGATGCTTGAGCTTGTGCCTAGCTTTTTCTGCATCAGTCGACACGCTAATATCACAGCATATGGTAGCATAAGGGTGGTCTACACAAGCTACCTCTCATCGCCTAACCTAGAACATGATAAGGTATCTCAAGACAGAAATTTGCATCTTGTAATAGCCTCCCGTACTCTGATAGGGGTTTCATAGATAAACTCCACTCTGATCATGTTCTACGTAATGTGGTAACACGCCGAGCCCTACAGAGAGCATTCAATCGAGGACTACTGATCATTGTATGTGCTCAAGACCTAATTACCCACCCATGCAATTCAGAACCTATTAGTAAGGAATCAGCATTATTTCACTCCCATGTCAATACATGTCGGGGCGGATTAGATGTAGAAACAAGGGGAAATCTGCACCTCCTACTCCCAGTAAGGTAGGCAAAGCGATACACAACCCCACGCTCAATGTCCGTCACCAAATATCGCAGGGATGATACGCGTTTAAGTCACATCTATGGTACCGCTTCAGGTGTAAATCATCGCAGGCGAAAGCATGCCAAGGCCCGGTGAAGCGCAGCAAGCTCCATGGCTTTCCCGCGCTATTCTATAAGCCCTTCACATGGACTAGTAGGGTATTATAGCCACACCAAACCCCCAAGCTGCATGCATGGGTATTGGAATTTCATAACCCCATTAGATAGAGGTGCAATGTACAGTAAAGTCGGAGTTTTGCAACAACAAGTGGAGGTCTGGTAGCTGGGGAGCAATTCTCAAAAAGGCACCTCCTGGATAGAAGAGGGCATACAGACGGCAACAAGAAAGGTAGCTGGGGATCAAATCTTAATACCAAGTTCCACCAGGAAGAGTTTCAATCGATACACCGAAAGCTATGCCAGCGAAGGACACTGCAAATGCAACACAGCTACACCATTCAGCCAAACAACAGTGAAAAAGACAGCAAGTATGCTATCAAATTCAATCTCCAGAAATTGTCAATGCTAAAAAACGGCAGCAATGGCAATGGCGGCCGCATTTCAAGACCTCAAGAGAGATTACAGTCCCATCCCAGATTCCCAACAAGAAGAGAGAAGAACTGATCCCTCTCTAGTTGCTGTCCCCATTCAGCCTAGAAGCCTGGGCGGTTGAGAATTTCGTCCCAAAACGCGTCATCGTCCTGCGCATTATGTAGCTGATACCTAGCGGGGATTTGTGGAGGGGCAGAGATCTGTAGCTTCGCAGGGAAATGTTGCTGGACGAGGGGCTGCTGCTCGCCGAAGAATTGCTGCTGGCCAAAGAATTGCTGCTGTACTTGGAATCGTGGCTGGGGGGGAGGCTGTTCAAGGGCAGCAAATTGCTGCCCGGTGGAGAACTTCTGCTTGGCAGGGAGTTGCTGCTGGACAGGGCTTTGGGGCAGGGCGGGGACCTGCTGCTGGGAGCAGGGTTCTAGCGGCGACTCGAGTTCAAAGGGGAGCTGCTGAACACCGAGCTGCTTCAGAGCCTCCTGGTGAGAGGGCTGCTCCTGGGTAGGGAGCTGGTGGTCGAAGTATTGGCCCTGGAAAGGAACTTGCTGGTGGTTGAAGAATTGTCCTTGGATAGGAAAGTGCTGGTCACTGGGGAACTGTGGCCCAATAGGGAGCTGATGCTGGCCACCAAAATGTGGCGGGTCGACACGCTGCCGCTTAGAAGAGCATTGCTCCTCTATGAACTCTTGCTGCCGTGCCATCAAATGGACTTGCGCACGCAGCTGTGCATTTATCTCCCACAACAGCTCATTCTGTTTCTTCAGGCGCTCGAGTTCATTGGCCTGCTGCTCATTCTCTTTTTTCATGTGCCTAAGCTCTTCAGCCTGCTTCTTCTTTTTCTCCTTCTCCCTTTCCCGGAAGCCTCTCTGGGCATCGTTGTTCCTATCTCTTAGGAGGCGCGCCTTGGCTTCGGTGACTTCCACAACCTTGCCTGAGCGTTTGACTGCAATCATTTTTGGTGCAACCTCCTCTGAAACCTGCTGGGCTGCGACATCCTCTGCGACCTCTGAAAGGTGGGTAGGGGTGAACTGCATCGCGAAGTGGGTTGCTCTGGTGGACTGATTGATGGATGGGGTATCGTGGACAAGTATTGTAGATCGGCTAGATGAAGTGGGTGGTCTTTTGACGGAATTGCAAAACAATAAGGGACAGATCAACCCTCTTATACTTGGAGAGAAGCAGAATACGGATCAAGTGTGGTATTCGCGCAAAACTCTATTCCCATGAACCATAGTTTGTGCGAGCAGCTCCCATACTAGCTCGCCAACCCCCAACGAGTGAAGCGACCCTGGAATATGGAGGGGACCAACATCCCAAGGTATATTGCCAGGTATCAACTTGCGTATGTGTATTATTGAAGTTTAAGCGGACACTAGACCCAGGGTGGAACCCCTTTCGTCCCGACAGCACTTAGGCTCACCCTTCCCTAGTGACTGTCATATTCATTTGACTTTCTTTTTCCATGTGATAAGCTAGGATTTAAATATCTTTTTAAGAACATTTCAAAGTCGGCGTGAGTGTACTATAACAAGTTAAACGATATCAGCCTTTCCAGGCTCCTGATAGAACCATGTGGCTCCTCGAATGATATAGGTGACTCTTCACTGCGGCAGTGAGCGTTTCCCACCGATTCTTTCAAAGGGTTAGAATAGGGAACTTAAGTGCATATGGTTGAATCTTTTGTTTCCATATTTTGGAACGTTGAGTATTCCTCAATGGACAATGGATTCTCTAAGCGCACAGACATCTTGTCACTCGTGTCTTTGCATGAATTCTCCGACCCGTTTAGTCGTTTTCATAGTGATCTTGCCTAGCTACCGCATCCAACCTTTGATCCTCAAAAGAGCCCCTATCTGCTACTTGCAGTGGAGGCTGTCGGCTCTTGTTGCTATGTCTCCGGTGATTCTTCAACACAGAGCACTGCAGTTGTTGGGACACTCAATTGGCCTCTGCGTCTAACCCACGTATCTCAAAAGAAAATGTATATCCATGAATGCGGCCGAGGACACGAGCCATTGTTGCTGTGTGTGTCGCGAACTTTTAATATCGCGCACTGTTGTTCCAAGGTTGATGGGGATAATAAAACCTGAGAATGACGCCGGCGGGCAATATTTCCAAAAGAAAAATAAAAGTAATCTTACACTACATGTTTTATTGGCATCTCAGATTCATAGTTCAGTCCTAATTTCGTCCTTGGGAACTTAAATTCACGAACTCGTCGTTTTATTATGCTTGAGTTGACATCGTCATACTGGCTGGAGTTGCATTTGTGTTTGCGTTCGTGCACGCTCAACCGGAATGTCAGCCTCGCAAAATCGTTTTCCGGGTCAGGCACGTTAATCTGATAGGCTAGTTGCTCTGGAACTCTCGTCATGAGAAGTGGAGATATCTATGATTAGAAATTTTATCGTGATATTTTGTCGAAAACGGAAGCGACATACAGTGCCTGGAGAACGAGAGGTGAGGCTAAGTTTACTATCAGAGTGCAGATTTCTCATTAGAATTCAGATAAAGGAGGGTAAGAACAGGGCGTGTCTGCTTACAACTGAGAGGCATCCAGCATGTTGCAGTAGTGCTCGACTTTGTAGACGTTCGTCAGTATGCAATAAGCGCAATTGGAAGTCTTTCGAGGAAACTATTCCCAAGGGCTCAATTAATCGGAAATAACTTTCAAAGAAGCGCGCCATCGCGAGGACTTCAATTGTCTTGGAATTGTCTTTTTCACTGACATCTACGTCGCCTGTACCTTAGTATGCTTCCGAACCTATTTATCCAATCCTGCAGCCTCCGCGCTTCATCATTGCACCTCCTTAGTGTTCTCTATCCTCTACCGGCCCCCCTCTTTGACTCACCATCTTCCTATCCTCGTTTCGCGCGAGGACTAACACCGCAGTTCTTTCTTCCACCTCAACAATCCATATTCGCACATTGCGACTCTGAAAAAGGCGACCCTGGGTCACAAAGCCCACGGGACTACCTGTTGAGTGTCGCCGCATCTTTACGTTAAGCAATGATGTATCATAATTTCGGTGAGCCACCATACCACGTGGGCAAGTTTTTCGAAGAAGGGCGCAAGGTCGGCATCGGCGATATCGGTGCTCGATAAAGGATACATAGAGCTCTGCAGCTTAGGAAACTTAGCATCAAAAGCGGAAGGACACGCAGGGATTGGGGCCATAGGGCATGTCTATGGCCAGAATTATAGACAGGGGAGAGGACACGTGGAGAAAGGTATCTGATCAAAGCGCTTGCATTCGATGAAGTCTCATCCCGACTCTGGAAGGAATGTTAACGGACAGACTCTTCATTCTGATTAATAAAGCCTCATAGACCCCAAAACACTCAGCCTCCATCCACTCTCCGTATCGCCCATACCCACGCATCCAACCTGCCAAGGAGTGAAGTATTCTGCCATGCTGAGGCAGAGATTTCCTCCCGGGGACTTGAAGCTGACGATTCAGAGAGCAAAGAGACGAAGGAGTTGACAAACTTTAATATTTATTAGCTAGCCACAGGCGCAATTGCATGTTGTGGGTACATTTAACTCTCCAATATGCTGTTCCGTGGTAAACATCTCCGCTAAAACTAAGAACGGAAGCGTACTATCCCACTTTTCGTGATTATTGCGTCACGAAATGTTCGACTTCTTCCTATAAGAGCCAAACACTCGCACATAGCACTGAAAGTTTCGCCCAAAAAAATACGGTGCGCAATTCACAATTCGCAAACGTGATTAGAACCGTGAAGGCAAGTTCTGATGACGTTGTCCCATAGGGCTGAACCTACGCCCAATTAGGATACTTAAGCGAATGGACCCCTTTCATGCAAGGAACAACGAAGCTGAAACAGCGGAACGTTGCCTCTGTCCCAATCAACCCAAACTCCGAGCGCACAACACCCCGCCGGTTGTGTTTATTCTTGTCCTGCTGACCCTGTCTACCTTTACATACGGCACATCCCGAAACACCGCCCCGAAAAACACATATACATATATATACGCGAGCTGCGAGGTTGGAGGGGTATGGCTGCTGCGCTTGCGATCCGGACGACACAGTCACAGACACAGACGGCGAATCGGAAGGATATGTCCGTGAATAGTCATAGCTGTCCGAATTGCGGGACCCAGGTCTGGCAGGATAGAGCGGTTGAGGATGCGCAGAGGAGGATTGCCGAGCTGCAGGCGCAGGTGGAGATGCTGAAGGAGAAGGCGACGGCGGCAGGTACGAAAGCCAAGCGACAAGGCTTCGAGATATCGTGCCTTGAAGCACAACTAACAAGACTCTTGCTGACTTTTGGACACAGTGGATAAATGTGCCGACTATGAGGACCAGCTGCGAAGCGTGAGAGCAGTCCAGAACGGCCTCCCTCGATCAAATACTTCGGATTCCCTCTCACCCAGCCGCCCCTCCACAGAAGAGCCCCGCCCGTCGACCGCAAACTCTACGTCAGGCAAAACAGCAACCCGTTTCTCTTTCCTCCCTGGCCGTCGCGGCTCCCCCGCACAACCCCAATCTGCTATCCCCCCTCCTCCAACATCTGACGCCGACCTCATGGCCGAGCTTGATAAAGAACGCAAGCGGCGCCAAAAGGCCGAAGAGAAGGCGCGGAAACAAGACATGGAAATCGAGGAGCTGAGCGTGACGCTATTCTCACAGGCTAACGAGATGGTGGCTGCGGAGCGGAAAGCAAGAGCGAAACTGGAGGCGAGGGTTGAGCAACTGGAGAAGAAGGATAAGGATAAGATGGCAAGGCTAGAGCGGTTAGAGAAGGCGGTTAGCAGGATTGATAGGGTTAAGGCTATGCTAGCGACCCCGACGCCTGAGCCCGGAGGCTCGTTGGGTGTGCAGAGGATGACAAGTCCGTCGAAAAAAAAGACTTGAGGGCTGACTTTGGAGAAGGATAGCAAACTCTAATTGCGAGCACGCCAGCGCCTGAGACTTGCGAGGCTCAAGGGTCGTGATTCTGGCATCAGCAGTTCGAGACAGGTGCAACGAGGCGTGAGGGGGCATTGCGGAACATTTCACCTCCCCTGTCTTGCAAAACAGGACGAATCTCACACCATCTCCCACCCCCCGCGACTTCCAAACCACGGAAACTTCCAGTGCTTCACCGTCAGCGGCGTATCATTCGACATTCAACTTCATCTCTCATTCTTCCCGGCTGGTATCTTTTCAAACTTTCATTCTTGATACCCCATTTCCCAACTTTTTTGTTCCTATACCCATTCTCCAACTTTTAGCGTTGCGTTGCTTTGTGTTGCGTTGCATCATTGGGCGGCGGAATACCCCAGGAGTCTTGGGGTTTATTCTGCATGCATTTGAAATTTGGCGTTTTTGTTTGCGCTTGCGTTCAAGTTTGCTTGCTTGTACAATACTTGGGCGGTTTAGGATGGTTTGGTTTGAATTTTTACGTAGGTAGATTGAGTAAGATCATTGTTTTCAGACGCTTATGAGAATGTTTTTGGTAGGTGTGATGGGTGCAGGTGATTCTCCTAGATAACTACTTGAACGCCGTTGTCCCTGAACCCACTTCCAAATTGCAACTGCAAACCCCGACTTCCACACACACACACACGCACACACACACATATATATATATATATATATAAAACCAAAGATAAACTAAACCCCAGAATCAATGACACAACGGTCCCCCTTCCTTATCCTTCCGAAATCGTGACTCTAAAGCTCCGTAGTGTACCAAACTTTGCCCTGCCGGTAGCGGAAAACAGCTGAACGTGGAGTGTCGGCCCGTCCCGACCTTGATTTATGTATCTCTGAGGGACTTGGCTGGATAAGTAGGCAGGGGTAAACTAAAAGAGGTGGAGAGATGACGGGTTTGGAGTGCAGAGGCGTGCAGAGGTCTGGATGGCCGGGCGTGTGAAATTAGCGCTTAAGGTATGCCTGTGGTAGGTATATGGCCAGCTCGGGCTCTTGTTCCGGCATTTGCGGATCGGGAAGTCGAAAGGCCTAGACTTTTGCACTTATAGCCGGCGGATTTTATTTCTATCCTAATTCCAACATGGAATGGTGGAGAAATTATGCCATCGTTCGAGCACTATGGACTAGGCTTATGGCTGACTATGTGCTCATCTACTTGAAGAGAGAATCACTATAGGTGCACAACAAGCAAGGGCGTGTCTGTGTGTTCCCTTGACGGTTTTCTCATATCGTGACAGACATGACCTAAAGGCTGAGCATACCATCCCTTTCTGTGTCCGCGTTTGGCGACAGCCTGTATGCTTTGTACATTATAGCAGCATGATGCTATCAAACGGAATCACACGCCTCATTAAGAGCTTCAACCTCGGTAAGACAATATACCAATAGTATCCACTTCCCTCCCCTGCCGGTTTGTATATACGTATAAAAGCAGGTAAGTAGCACATATACGCCCCAGCCGACTGAAACCCATCGTTCTGGTTACTCTGGTTGCTCGCAGCTTGTTTGCGTTGGGTTCTGCGGGCAGTCACAAGGACTTGGACAGCAATGCAGATGCAGGGTAGGGACAGGAAGAAGAGTATTAGCATTGCAAGCCCAAAGAGCTGGATCAAGGCTTGCAGCTTGCAGCAGTTCTCCTGCCGGCAGTTCGCTCCACTCCAAATTCTCTCAGAAACCAGGAACTGGATCTGGATCTGGATAGAAAGCGGAGAGAGCTATGCACCCCACATCACGAAGTCGTACAGCTAGCGTGAAAAGACTATATGGATTAGGGACACGAGGGGAGTGGCGCAGAAATGGCTTCTTCGATCCAGGGCTCGCTCAGCTGATACTTGATTGTCTCATTCCGGCAGTAATGGGGCTAGACTGGCTTGAGAGATTTGGGTGCTGGTTATGGAGCGAGACCGATATGCGAATATGCTGTTGGTATGACAGTTAGGAGGTCATGGTAGTGCTTGTAGGCAAGTATTAGTATAGAACGGCACTGGTAGCGTACGAGCGAGAGCAGCCATTCATGTTCACGAACATGCATTTCTCCGCCCAGCTAGCACTACCTGGATACCGGCATCGCGTAAATAGGACAAGTCACGCCCACCCCTCCCCCTCCCCCTCCCCCTCCTCTCCTCTCCTCTCCTCTCCCTATCGCTTACCCCACTCAACTCCTAAGAATTCATCTAGGGAAAAGGAAAGGCAAGATGCCGTCTTCCTCTGAAGATTCGTGAAAACAAATTGCTCGGACCCAAATGCCGAAGCGCCACCCACCGATACAGATTGACAAAAGGAATATGAAGTGTACAGAAGTGCGATAGTCATGGCGTCGTAAGAGTCCTGCTCTCGATCCTATTCTGTTTGGGAAGCCTGGCTGGTGGTGAGGTGTGTGTTTGTGTACAGGCGGTAATGATGGAAAGTATGCCGGGATACGTCGGACCTGGCATCTGATAATCTTGACTCGGTCTATGGGGTGGTGTGATGTTACGGTGGTTGTGAGTGTTCGATGTCAAGAACATATGGCAGATGCAGGTCCAGCCCGATGAGTTGTGGAGTTGGAATGCAAGTAAGTCTGTTGCGGTCCTGATTGTACATGAGGAGGAGTTGGTCCAGCCAGGCTTATTCAGAGATGGATGGCAGCATGGAAAGAAACTGGTGTTTATGAAGCATTCCGAAGTCGTGAGAAGGATTCGGAAAGGAGTTGCGTGTGTGATGAGGTCGAGACAGCGTAGAGTCGAGGGATGGGTGTGTACTGTTAATGGTGATATGTTAGCTGGGTGCCCACCTGAAGTTGAACACTTTCAAACCGTGGACCAAAGGGTGAGGATGTATGGGGAAGAAAAAGGGGAACAGTGGCAACTGATGGACATAGGAAAAAATGCCTGACCATCAAATGCTCGCAATCAATGAATTGATTCATTCCAAGAATTTCTAACACCTCACCTTTGAAGACCCAGTCAGAACCATGGCAAGAGGAATAACTATGTCCTTGTCTTACCGCCAGATGGTAGGACAGTTCCTCGCCGTGAGACTGGACGTGGTGGTGGTGTTGGTGGGGTGTGGACGGCGGCCGCCTGACCCTTGAGCGAGGTATGGTTTCGGGAAAATGATCGAGAGGCGAGGGATCTCGTGACTTGCAGAGCGCCGATGCCAGATGCGACGAGAGAGAGTTGAGCAACTGGACGCATTGTGATGTGATTGAAGGTGGTGAAAGAGCAAAGGTCTTGCTTGAGAGTACAGATTGAAGGTATGGGATTTTTAAATTCTGAGAAGAGCTCAGGAAAGCTTTGTGGCTGATACAAAAGGCTTGCGGAAGGATTTAGCTCGAAGATACCAGATCTGATGGATTAAGACCAAAGTCTAGAATCCCCTTCTTATATGTCTCCTACCTCTGATATCGGCTCTCCACCATCTACAGGCTGACTGCGCCTGCCTACATTGGACTCGAAGCTATCTCACGCCTGTATCGAAAGGGGGTCGAACGAGAATAAGACATCTGTGGCCGTCCTTGTTTGGGCGTAACGTCTCACCGTCCCAATGAGCAGCCCTCTCTGTGGAGTTTCATGCCCTTTCAGCAAGGGGGTCCTCGAGGGTCGAGCAGTACGTACCCGCCTCGCAGGGACCGTAATAGTGTCTGTGATCAGCCGCCCAGCCTTGCTGGCCCGTCGTAGAATATTTGCGACAGCCGATGTGCTCACCGCAGATGGGAAATGCGGGGAGGGTATATTGTGTGATCAGATACCGGGATGGTGGCTCAGCGAAAGAGAGGGCAGAACTGAGACGGTGAGCGAACGGAGTCGGGTTCCGGCGAGGGTGAGTGACGTGATAATGAGAAGATAGAGACAGTTACCCACTCACAGAGGATATGCTGTGCAGTGTCGAAATTGTGGAAATCTGGTCGCTGTAATGAAAGTTGGGATGGGAGAATGCAAGTAACGTGCCACGGGCTCGTATGATCATGAGATGAGGAGTATAGATTTCCATTATCTTTTGATAGCCTTATTAAGACTTCGATTGTGTGCTCTTTGAGAGAACGAAACCGTACGATTTTCCTTTATTTGGAGATAGTAATGGTACGAGTATCAAGATGAGACAAGGACTGGGGGTGTGGACTTCATTCCTGGGAAGGCAAGCACGTGCCCGGCATCTTCTCAACTGCCGTGGTATTGCCATCGGGCGATGGAGAAAACGGAACGGACGGGCAGCTCCATGGCATGGGAGAGGCAAGACTGCGTGTGCTGGCGGTTTGTGTGACTGCGTCTGTACATAGACCGGGTAAATTGGGAGATGGTGTTGAATGGCGGTTGAGACGGGAATGGGGATGGTGAGATGGTGAGGAGCACGCCAAGGCTGGGAGTTCCTGGCCGCGAAACCTGTCACATAGTCAGCCTTATGCGTGGCCTGAGATTGGCGGGGGGCCGATGTCGCGCCTCGGGGTTATGCAAGTGATGAGTATAAAGGCGCCGGCTCCCCTCTGGCAGCTATTGGGGAAGTGTCAAAGTAGACGCTGTGAAGGTGCGATGCGGGTGCAGGCTGGATGGGGGGAGAGCGTCGGGCAAGCGCTTCATCCAGAACAAATCATTAGTCGCCGGGAAGACGACGAAATCGTTCGCCGCTCAAATTCGACTTGCTTTTGACCTCGTGGCCTCGGAGGATGAAGACTTGTTGCTTCTTTTGAAGGAAGCAGCGCCAGGCACAGACTCACGATATGTGACTTTGTAGCGGGGGGGAAGGGGGGCACTTGGCCATGACAGCAAGGGCACAGAGTTTGACTTTAAAATAGTGGCACGGGCAAACCACAGGCAGATGAGGAAAAGGTCGCGTGCGCAAGGGCTGCCGCCAAGCACAGAGGGGGATTAGAATGGCTATCTGAGAGAATACTGTGCTCTCGAGATGAAGAATGCACAGCCTGCAGAGTGAATCCGGGCTCCGTGTCGATCGAGAGCCGCTCACTGGGGTGAAACGTGAAGATAGCGCGCAGAACCTGTTCTGTTGATGCATGGAAGATTCTGAGTGGATGCAGTTTTTCTGTCACAGTCTTGATTGTTGTTTCATCGGTTGCGGGGAAGATTGAGATCTGGCAGACGTGAATGCGAACGGTGGGGGGGGGGGGTGGGGTGGACAGCAGACGACATCCAGGGCCACTTGGGAGCAGACTACAGAGAGAAGAAAGCAGTCTCTCTCGATGTGCATCTAGCTGATGCAAAATCTCCGACCCCTTTTAAAGACTCGCGATGATCATCGCGGCCACATGCAGTCTAGCGCGGCGTATCTTGGCCCCTGCCCACCTGAAACCAGCGGCCGTGCGGGCTTCGCAGCAAGGGGAGGCCGTAGAGACTGCCCCAAAAATATCGGCCACCACAGCAACACGACCAACCCGACTCTTTCACTACCTCCAGAGCCCTCACCACTGCCAGACTGAGGGCAGCACGTATTTCTTCCTGCACCAGACTCGCCGCCGCTCCTTTCCCCGATCATCTACACTGGCCCGCCCCGCCCGCGGCATGCCTTGAAACATAGTCGATATTCCAGCCCACCACGCCGCCGGCACTCCTCCGGTCTCTCCAGCGCTCTTTCTTCGACAGATCGCCACAACATCGCATGCGCCCCCGCCCTTTTGTGCTCCCCGCCGCGCTGAACGACACCACTCTTTATCTCACTATACACCATCTTTTCTTCATCACCATCTGGCACTTTGCTGCTCACCCCACGCCGCTCCGCCTCCTCGCCCTTCATTGCGCCGCACCCAGCCTTGGCGGCCGTCCACGAGTCAAAACTTGTTGCCAACGCACTCAGTATCTTTCGGACATGAGTTAGGATGACGCGACCTCAAATTATACGGGCAGGTATGGCATTGGAGCTCTGTCCGGACACCGATGTCCCTTGCTAACTTTTGTTTGTCCCGTAGATACGCTCGACTTGCAAGACAAAATCTCCCCGACCGCCCAGGACCACTCCCGCCAGCCTCAGCACCCCGCCCCTTTGGGAATTGGGCCAGCCGCACCGCACCAGGAAGCCTCGCTACGCCATGTCAACGACGAGCGGAACTCAGAGGAATCGCATATGCAGAATGGCACTTGGAGCGACTCAAACACTCTGCGCGAAGACCCTGGCTCTGATGACGAGCGCACTGTGGTCAACAGCGTCAGCAGTGACAGGAATCTCCAGCAGGATGAGCAGGCCGTGAGGTTGAACGGCGGAATGACGGGGAGTGGAGACGACGGCGACATGCAGGACGCTGACGTTGAGGAGGACATGGACGACGACATGATGGACAAGATTTCGAGTTCACCCTCGATAGACGATGGTGGGTATTCTTTACCTTCTTCTCCTGCGAATTGGCCGAAGCGGAGCTCCTCTCTGACTCCACACTCTTCGCCAACGCCTTCTCCTTCACCCTCAACTCTTGTGGACTCTTCCTCTCCTTTTACATCCGCCCCCATTCACTTTCCCCTCTCTGCTGCCGCCGCGGCTCAGCGACTTTTCAATGTTCCGGTGGCCGGCGCGGACTCCATCTATAATTCTCCCTACCGATCATCTCCTATTCCATTTCTTCTTCAATCTGCCTACGACGCGTGTAAGAGACAGTCAACGGAACATCATCGTGGTGAGTATATGTCAAGAATGGAAAATCCAGAACGGAGCACCGATGCCGAACTTTCAGACAACTCCGATATTAGTCTCCGAACCCAACGCCTGTCAATCGTGGAGGCTCGATTACAGAATATACGTGAGGACTCACAGGCGTCTCTACTCTCGGAACTCGACGAAGAAGACGTTAAAAGCATGCTTCGGCCAGTGCATAGTCCTCTACGTGGGGGTTTCGATGATGATGGGCGGCAAGACACACAAACCAGGACCGACAATACACCCTATCCGACCACGGAAACTGGCGATGATGACTCGTGGACCACTGACAGCGACGTTGACTCGTGGGATGAGAGGACTGAGAATGATGATGATGATTCCAATGACATTTCCTTTTCTGACGATCCGCGATATATCGACTCTGGCTGGGGAGGCGAGTGCTTACGAGAAACAGAGGACATTGATTTCGAATTTGTGTATGCTCTGCATACATTTGTTGCCACCGTAGAAGGCCAAGCCAATGCTACGAAGGGAGATACCATGGTTCTTCTAGATGACAGCAACAGCTATTGGTGGCTGGTGAGGGTAGTCAAAGACAGCAGCATTGGTATTTCGCTCAAGATCATTAAGGCAGGCGCCCTATTTACATGTTCTAGGATATCTACCAGCCGAACATATTGAAACCCCTACTGAGCGGTTAGCCCGATTGAACAAGCACCGAAACATCGACCTTTCAGCTACAATGCTCGGGGACACAGCGGAGAAGACCAAAAATCCCCTAAAGAAAGCTATGCGCCGCCGTAATGCGAAGACTGTGCAGTTCGCAGCACCGACTTATGTTGAGGCTTCGGATTACGACTATTCATCAGACGAGGATAATGGCGATGAAGAACTGTTTGGTGGAGCAGACCCTAATCAAGTCCAAGCGGAGGCTGTCAACGAGAAGACAGAGACTGAGGACGATACTCTCAAAGTGCAGCCGTTGAAAGTTGGGGCCGCAAAGAAGGAAACAGCCCTAGGCAATTCTGAGGAGGTATCGCGGGAATCTGACGATGACCCTGACGCGAAGAGTAGTGGGGACAAGGTGAGGACAAGTGATGAGATGTTTGACCGTCCGTTGGACCCGAAGGTGTCTCGAAATGGAACAATGCGCAATACGGATTCTTTCTTCAAGGATGATAATGCGGAAACACGGAAGATCACCCTTACGCCAAACTTACTAAGAGACGACTCAAGTACCTCCACCACAGGTTCTAGGGAACGTGGACCGAGTCTAGAAAGTCTTGAGAAGAATGGCTTTGCGGATAAGGTCAAGGAAGATAAGAAAAAGAAGGAGAAGAAACCTGGAATGCTTAGTGGTCTGTTCAAGAGAAAAGAGAAGAAACCCAAGGGCACTGGTGCACTTGACTCCTTTGATAGCGATGCTGAGAAACAGTCAGAGGAAATCGGTCGCAGCTCTCCACAATCGAAGGGCTCCGACGAATCCCCTTCAGAGCGACCGTCCACTGAGCAAGCCTCCAACCAAGCGCCGCAACGACAGGCTAGTAAAGGAAAATTACAGAAACCACAACGTGGACGGGACGACTCACCACCAAAGAAACAGGTTATTACTCCAACGGACAGCCCTGAACCCGGGGCCGTGCAAAACGCGGCTCCTAAAGATACTCCGAGCAGCAAACCTGCTGGTCAACAAGCTCCCTCAACCATGCGTTTGGTTTCCCCAGAACGAGAAGAGTCTACAAAGTCAATTGAAGCACGTGTTCAGTCTCCCGAAAATGTAAATCGATCTCGGTCCAATTCTGCTGCCTCGAAACTCAACCCTATCAAGATGCTACACCGGGAAGCAGACGGCGAACCGCGACCTGAGAAAGTCAAGAAGGCAAAACAACGAGTGCAGCTCGATGACTTCGATTCTTCTGAAGATGAGAAAACTGATCCGTTTGCTGATCCAAAGGACCCGCAGACAAAATCATCACGAGCGGAAGAATCCGAGCCAACCGGACGTCTCTCCGAATCTCCCGTTCAGATATCGGTCGCAGACGCACAGCCACCTGTAAAAGAGAACACCCATGAAAGAGATCACGAACCGGACCTTCACCAACCTCCAGGTCTCACTGGCGACACATCCAGCCAAGAAACCAGCTCCCCAATCTCTACCCCCTCGCCCAACGAAAGTCCTTCAACGAACACGCCCTCAAAACCCAATCTCTCCACTTCTCGTCCGGCCGGTTCGCCATCACCTACGTCACTCCATTCGCCGTCCTCCATACCGCCACCATCACGTCCTGCCCCTATTCCAACGAAAGAAATGGAAGCAGCATCACCGCCAACCTCGTCTGAGAGTAGTACACTCCCGGCATGGTCTGATGCTTCGCTACGATCATACCTAGACGACGGCAGTGACATCAGAGACATGCTTATGGTGATCAACGACATAACTGGTGTGGTTCCCGTCGGACTGGATCATCCTCTCATGTCACGGTTGTACACCGAAGAAACGAAGGCTGTGACACAGCTAGGTGGAGAATTGGACACCCTGTTACACAACTGGCTTGAGACAAAGAGGAAGAAGAGGAGGGAAGCGTCGAAACAAAAACAAGCTTCCCGATAGCATGCTACTCTTCTACGAATTGATTAAACGAGGAGAATTACGAGGACGAGAGACGTGTCGAATACCAATTTCACGTGTTTAATGTACAATGGAGTGTGTTGTGAGCAAAATACCCCTTTTCTTGATTCCCAAGACATGGATCTGGATTCCGTTGCTTCTTTTGCTTAGGGTAAAACTCGGAGCTTTTGGCGCAAAAATAGTATGGTTAGTTCTGGTCGTTCGTCGGATGCCTCGAGAAGTATTTTGGTCTATTTTCCCTGTTCTGTCTTATGTTGCATGACAGGTGGTCTAGGAGTTGTTGGCTGGTGTTTGCTGCTTACTACTTGCATACTCCCCTATCCGTTTTGTTCTTTTGCCTTTTGTGCTCCCAGTTAAGCTCTGCTTGCATTGTTTCTTTCACTTTCCTGGTCATGCATATCATCCATCCACCAACGGTGGTTTTCTCCTTTTACCGACTTAAATCTTTAGACCTGGCCCTACTGTTGGGTGCGGTGTAATTTCTTGCCCTCCTTAATTTCTTTTGGTAGGCCCCCTTCATCGAACACCATACCAGAACTTCTTCCTTAGATTCTTCCCCTATCGAATAGCGAACCAACAGCGTCACGCTGTGCGCTACGCTTCTTACATTCTTTCCGTCGTCGATTGGGGAGACTTGGAAGTGGCTTCTTCATTAATTCCTTGATGGGGCGATTGCAATGGTGGGTGCAGAGTCAAGGATTCTGCTGTATTGTATATGTGGATACGTTTCTTGAGATGTGCGTTGGGCGGCATGGCAAAGTTTTGGAGAGGAGCGGATTGGATGTGATCGGATTGTATATATGTGGGTTTGGCTAAAGCTGGTTGAAAGATCGCAGGGATGAATAGAAGACCTAAAAATTATTCAGTTCCTGGTGATGTTTCTTGCAGATATTTGCAATTTGTTGCTCTAATTTGCACCAAACTACTCACTTCTCGTCTTCATTTCAGGTCTTCAGATCACAGCTCCATTTCATGTCTTGGCTTGAACCTCCCTCACTCTACTCTACTCCACCTTTTCACTCTACCTGCTTGACATATATGCTCTATTCCTTCCTGTCTCTCCTTTGCTCTATTATTCGACTTTCTGCATAGACTTTACCATATCGATATACCTAGCATTCATATAGTTCCATAGCACCAAAGATCTTCACATCCGGCAATAGTACACTTGTATAATCTCTTTCACCTTCACTCTCGCATAAATGCGAGCCCCGCTATCACCTAATTTCTTTTGCCCGTTTCTTAGCGCCACACTCAGATGGATGAATCACTTCGTGTGAGTCTATTCACATCTTGGTTTTTCTAGGGTACATCTGCATTATATAATGCAGACCTCGTGAATAAAGCAGACGTGTACATATGCCAGCAAGCAAGTGAAGAAGGCCAACCATCCATGTTAATGCCATAACACATCATGTCGTCTACCATGCAAGATATTACCGATTAAAGAGTCATGAACACAGCCGTATATATCCATCTCTCATAACCCCCAACCCCAACCCCAACACCAGATTCATATTTCACATCGCATCCGCTCCCCTATCTCAGTGTCAGCCTCCCAAAAACCGCCCTCAACGCCTTTGCCCCCTCTGTCCCCTCCTCCCCTAACACTACCTCAATCTCCGCCAATAACTCCTCACTCTTCGTCCTCAACTCCCCAATAACCTTCCCACTGTACTCAAAGCTGCCCTTCTCCTCCAAATATTTCACCGCATATCTCTTCACCTCCTGGTCAGTAGTTTTCTGCTTTAGGATGTTGATGAGGACGAGATTTGACGGGTCGGCGCGGATGGCGTGGATGACGGGGAACGAAAATTTACCTTCCGTGAGGTCTTCGCAGAGGCCTTTGAGGGAGGAGTACCCTGATGTGGGGGAGAGGTTGAGGTGGTCGTCTAGGATCTGGAAGAGGAGGCCTATTGTTGAGACGAGCGGGGCGCAGTCACTGTTATTTATCAGCATAGAGAAAAATGGTATGGGAATAGACGAGCAGCGACAAAAGGGTTATGGAAACAAAGAAGATCGGAGCGGCGCAGAACAGAACGGAACCGGTTCCGAAGCGAGACGAAGGGGGTCGGAACAAGAACCAGAGGGGTGGAGCGGAGGAAAATAGAAACCCAAACATACATATTCACCGCACTCTCAGCCTGCATAAGCTTGATCGCCAATCTAAACAAGCCGCCCGTTTTGTTCCCCACCATTTCCAGATAATCAGCCTCGCTTGGACATGTCAAGCTGTCTCTCCAGTAAAGATCCATTCCTTGGCCTCGGTGCAGATTCAGCAGCTCCTCTGTGAATATCTCAATTAGCTTCGGGTTTGCGAGATGTGCGAGGTCTTGCAGGGCTTTGAAGTAGACGTAATTGGCCGAATTGATCGTCTGGGCGACGCCAAAGATGGAATTCGCAACCGGGATACCGCGACGGAGGATGGAGGAATCTTCCACGTCGTCGACGCTGTTACACGACATGTTAGTGCATGTCCACGAATACACTGGGAGGGAAAGCCACAGCCACACATACAGTAACGACGCAGTATGCAGCATCCCCACCACTCGGGTTATCACCTCCAGCTTTTCCGGCGGCACCCTCAGCCAGAGATTAAACGCAGCAATCAACTGGCTGCGAATGTCCTTCCCGGGGTGGCCGTAAAGGTAGTCGTACGGGCCAAGTAATATGCGCTCCTTCTCGTCGGTCCACATCGTCCGTCGCCCGTAAATCAGATCGTCGCCGATGCCCTGGAGCGGGTCTGGCGGCGGCGGCGTCATGGGCATGGGGTATTGGTGCGTTTGCGGGTGCTGGAGCGGGTTTGAATCCATTGCGTGTACGGCATGTGCTTGCTGGGTCTGATGTTGCTGGGCGTGGGAATATGTAGTGGCTGCTAACGAGGAACTCGAATGGTGGGACGTCTTGCTCTTTTTGCTCTGGCTCATCCAGTCGACTTCAGACAGCGGACGCAGCACACTCGGGCGGTGTTTGCCACCGTTGACAATGCCGTGCGAGCTAGTACGGGGTGGAATTGCGTTGGGCGAGGCAAAGGGGGACTGGAAGGATGGGGGCGACTGACCAGAGGCCATGGTCGCTGTTGGCCTGTCTTGTGATTGCGGGCCTGGGGCGCTGCTGCTATGTGGTTGCCTGCCGGCGTGAACCTTCCGCGGCTGTGGAATTAGATACCAGAAGCTTATTGCTCGAGATGCGCACTTGCGAGCAGCGGAAGGGCCGGCGCGAACTGCGCTTGTTGACGTGTCTGTATGCAGACCGATGCAGGATGCTCTTGATGCAGGATGCTCTTGATGCAGGATGCTCAAGGCGGGGGAGGAGAGCTATTGGAGAGCTATTGAAGAGCTCCGGTTTGCGGAGTGAGCATGTCAAGATGTTAGCAACAAGATGGAGGACCGCGATAGACGCAGGTTCAAGGAAAGGGGAAGAAGCCAGGTGCTGCAAGAGCAGGGCGTGCTTGTGCAAGTCTTCATGGCGTGGTCCGGAGTTGTACAGATCTAAGTCATTGGTGAAGAACCTGGCAGACTTGGTTCGCCGCTAGTCGTGCTTGTGAAATTCGCCTTCACGAAGGGCCGTTGCGGCGCATGACAGTGGGGACACACGGAGCAGCGTGCGCCTGAGGCATTCATTCGACAGGTAGTGGAGATGTGACTTGTCGACAGATGTCATGCAATACCATTGGAGCGATCACAGACAAGCGCGTGGATGCGATTCGGCTGCTTCTTGGCATCTGAGAAATCAAACTCTTGCAATGCTCAAACCGCGGGATTATCATAAAGCACAATAATACCATCTTCTTAAGAGGGCTATTAATGTCCTAGTAGCGCTGCCAACGCAGCCACTGGCCTCCTGCAGGTATCTCGACTTCTCCCGAGGTCCCTAGGACCACTCGTATCCGCCGCGCACATTTCACAAATTCCTGGTTGAATAGAGTCTGGAAGAGTGTCATCTATTAACTGAATCCAAGCCATGTCAATCCGAATACCATTTGTGAGCAACGTGGACAAGTCGCGCAAAGGCTTGGAGACCCGATATTTTTCAACGATATCAGTGTTTCTGGGATGTTGGGGTCATGGGGTTGTGATATCATATGACCGCACACCCGAAATCCCGTTGAAACGCCATAGGTATAGAAGGGATACATGCCCACTCATGCCCCATATTCGAACCTAACACTCGGTTAATACATGCTCGCTAACATGCCCACAATTGAAATCTTGACATGTTTGGCCGTAATATGGTTTTGCCGTCATATATACAGATCCTTCTGCAACGACTGCTCGAATCCGGATTCAGATACACTATAAACCCCATGCTAGAACTCAACTCACTAATGCATGCTCGCTAACATTCCCACAGTTGAAGGCCAGACATTTTGATCATATCGATGGCACCATGAACATGAATCCTTCCGTAACCACTTGTGAAATCTAAAGGCCATGCTCGTTTCATGAATCGACCCGTTCTATAGCCCTTCCAATATCCACCCGTCTAATTATGTACCGAGATTGAGCCGCTCTCAATTCGCTTTAGTCTTCTTCGTTGCTTTCTTTGGTGCTGCCTTAATCCTCTTCATCTGCGCGCCTAAGAGCCGTCTCAGTTCATTCTTGAAATCCTCCACGTCCTGCTCCGGATTGACCTGAGACCGACTCCGCCAGCCGCGTCCTGAAAAGTTGTCATTACGGACTTCTATCACGTCGACAGCCGCATCTAGTTTTCCTTTAGCTGCAGCAACAGCTTCCAGCCATGGGAATCCATCACGATAAATCTGGCGGGCAACCCACTTGGGCTGGCTTCCGGTGCCCAACCAGCAGTCAAGCTTCAACTTCTGGATGTTGGTTGCAAACGCCAGGACTGCGAAGCATGCGTGATTGTATGCCTTGTGCATACCACGAGAGTACTGCCATGACCCGATCGTAATATCCTTGAGCAGTGCAGCGGCGCGAGGTCCGATGTTGGCCATGAACGAATGCAAGGCCAAAGGATCGCTGAAGACAAATGCATTGCCGTAGAGCATCTCGCGGCCTTCCTTATAAATTTGCTTATTCACTGCGAGGATGGAAGGCACGAGTTTCCGTGGTTCCACAACCTCATCTAATTCTTCGTTGTTGGACATGTTACTGTTCGTCCAATGGTTGAGGCGCCGTTTCATATAGGTTACATCGGCCCGTTCCACTGTTCGGCGATAGTTCTCGGTCACAGAGAGGAGATGGATGTTTTGAGGATCCGTAAGACAGTATTCGTAGATCATGATTCGAATCTCGGCAGGCAGCTCGAGGAACGGGAAGATCTTGCGCTTTGGAAGCGGTCGTACCGGGCGTGACGCTTTGCGCTTCTACTCTGTCATCAGTCCAACTACCTCAATTTAGATAGCGGCCTTCACAAACCTTTGGCTGTGAGTACTCCCCGACTACTTCCTGGCTGTTGTCTTCCTCCATAAGATCTTCGAAGTCAGAAACATCTTCGTAATAGTTGACCTGAGCTCTCTTCCGCTTTGAGGATCTTTGGCCCGAGACCGTAACATGAGTGTCCTGGAGTTGAGACATATTGGTGAATTGCTGCTGGCTGAAAGGGTGTCAATTGAGGGATGGGTCAAGAGAGAAGTCGCTTAAGAACGCGTGTGATGAATGAAAACACGAAAGACACGCGCACTCAGGCGACTTAAATACCGACTTTCATCAGTTGACTTCGGTCAGTGAGCTGATAGTGGCGGCGGTTAGCGTAGGCAGCACTGAGGCGATGCTGGGATAAATAAGGCATCAACTCGACAACAGAGGGCGGTGCCTGATCAGCTGCAAGTGACTTCAAACACTGATTGGGAAATCGAGACAATATCACCGAGATTCGTGGTGCTGATGATGTCTTGCATCGACAATTGGCAGTCGAGACGCAGATGTTGAAGACGTGGATGACAACGGTGAACTTGGTTGCTGACGCTAACACGGACCACCCTGTCACGTGGTTCTTTTTATCATTTTAACACTATCCACTATATACCTCTGGCCCCACTCCAACCGCTCAGCGGCGCCTCAACATGTTTCAAAGAACTTGCTTCGCGTCGTCTGAAGGAGCCAATCTAAACTTGTGGTGTTGATTCTGTGGACGGTGATCTCAAATATGCCGTCAGTGGAGCATCTGATATCACTCACGCTTGACCTCCCTCCGAGCTGCATAGAATTCTGGCCTTTGCATCCCCAGTATGCCGTTGTAGGGACTTACAATCTCGAAAAGCTAGTAGAAGATCCTCCAACCGAGTCCGAACCACCTGAGGAAACAAGAGAGAAGAAAACTCAGCAGCGAAATGGAAGCCTGATACTACTCCATGTACAAGAAAACAGTGTGTAGGTTCAGTTTTTCCTCATCCCGAAATATACGCCAGAAAACAGCCCATGCACTGCATGTTTAGAAGTATTAAAATAAACTAGGAAAATACTGCAAAGTTTATCAACGCCTTCGGCAATTCTGGACCTTCACTTCTCGCCAGCCTATTTTCCTCCTTTTGTCTTCGGTGCAGCGACATCAACCGGTTCGATCGAAGTATACGAGCTTACAGACCAGCAAGGGCAGGCTGTATTTGGGACCCCTGGATACGAGACTGTTATTCCCAAGATACGTCATTTACAGACTTTACAACTCGCGTCAGAAGACACCATTGTCACAGCATTTTCATGGCATCGTAGTCTCTGCGCTGTCGGGATAACGCTTTCTGATGGATCAGTATGTCTAGAAGATGCAAATCTCGTGGACTCGTCTTCTGTGATGATGCGGCGGGGAGCATCTGGAATGCACGATCTTGAAGCTTGGACGCTAGCCTTCCTACCAGATGGATCGGGTATGTACACTGGAGGAGACGACAGCGCCCTCAAGTTGTGGTCCTTGCCTGAGAACAACAACCACTCTTTGAGAAACACTGCAGTGGCAGATGGTTATTTCATGAAGCATCAGTGGACCGATCGAAAGATTCATAGAGCTGGAGTTACTGCCATTCTCCCCTTCCATGCCAACGAGCGCAGAAGCCTTGTTCTCACAGGCAGCTATGACGATCATATACGACTCATTTACGCATCCGTAAATGGTCGAAGAACCGTTCTTTCCGAACTCAATCTTGAGGGAGGGGTCTGGCGGCTTAAGTTCCTGGGCATGGATCCTAACCCTTTTTTCCTGGAGAAGTTCCTAGATATGGATTTTAACTCTTCTTTTCCCGAGAGCGGGGAAGTGTTTCTCCTTGCAAGTTGTATGCATGCTGGAGCCCGAATCCTGAAATTGATTTGGAATGGAGAAAAAGATTGGCGCTTTGAAGTGGTCGCAAAATTTGAAGAGCACAAGAGCATGAACTATGGAAGCGATTGCCAGCCCTCGCTGAACACGAAGGGCCAGAGGACATTCATAAGTACCAGCTTCTATGACCGACTGCTCTGCCTTTGGCGGTTTTGAAATCCTTCCCTTTATTACAAATCTCCTTTAATATGAGGGTTACTTGAGATGTTACAGTGGCATCCAATCAAATTCGGAAGGAAAACAAAGAGGAGCAGCAAAACAATTCAATCCATCCCTCACCTTCACATCCTCACAACCCGAAAATAGATATCGTGTTCGGCTCCACAAATTACAAGGACCTGTCGCCCCGAAACCTTCCTTCGTCCCATTCCTTCCTCTTCTGGCTCATTGGAGAGCAACCTCTCGCTAAAGCAGGGTTGAAGCGGGCTGTGCGGCGCCACACTTCGTGAACCTCAGCTGTGTGGTTAGGACTGCCAAAGCCAGACTGGAGTCACACCACACAATTCGCAATGTTAATTATCCATGAGGCGCAGGCTACGTGGTACATGAGAGCACTAAACTCCATTTCACAATAGCGTAGCCTTGCTCTTTTGAGTACCTTATACTCCCACAACAACCTCGAAGGCCCGACCACAAGCACTACGAACCTGGTCGCCGTCACATACCACTTCCTCTCTCGAACTTCCAATCCCACACATGGCCCCTCTCCCTACCCACCTCCAACCCCGAAAATGCGACGACCCGTCTTCCTCTCGCTGCAAGCCCGCCAGCCCGCGCACCAACCTCATTATCGGAATTACATTCGCCGTCGTCATCCTTCTCATTCTCCTCTTCGCATTATGGTACTATGGATGTCGGAAACTCTCGCGAAAGAAGAATGGAAAGTATGCTAAGATCAATGGAAAGGAAGGTGATTCGGGGGTAGCGATAGCGACCGGAATGGTTGCAGTCGATGTCGGGGTGGTAACGAATTCCGGGAGTGGCGGTGGTGGTGCGGCTGTGGATTTTGGGGGTGGAGGAGGAGGAGGAGGAGGAGGAGGAGGGTGGGACTGTGTTATTTTGTGAAGAGGATAGGGATGAAAGAATATGATTAACCTGATGGCGAATTCCCTAAGAGGAAATACACCTCTCGCAGGTGAATCGAGTCCTCCAAGTGAGGCGCTCTAACACAACGTGCAGACCACTACACCTTAACGACCTCGACTGGACATGGTTGACGACCTCAAGCGCCTGTCAACCCAGCCCAATAGGGGGGTTTGTACCTAATGATTTTGGCAAGACAGGTTGATCTTGAAGAAGGTATCAAGACTTAGCATAACCACAACACGACCAAACAGATCGCTCTCTTGTATCTACACTGTTCGCCATTTCTCAAACAGTTTTCCTAATCTTGTTTAGTAGCCAAAGGTTCCAACAATCCTGTCTAAGACGACCTTCGCATAATCCTTTTAACAGGGCATGCAAACTCAACACAAAATGAAATGAACGCGATTAAAAACGAGATCTTACACCTACACAATACCCAGTACCCCACAACACTACCATAGCCCCATTCCCAGCAGCAAAACTTAGCGAAATAGCATTTTAACTCCCGATACTGACTTCTAACTAGATTCACATACACAAAAGTGCCCCACCAGTCATGCCCATAGTTCCAAGGCCAAACTTTTATCTCGCCCAGTAACAAAAACCATCCAGCAAGAACAGCCAGTATCATTTTTTCCCACTAGGTAGTATACACGATGCTGCCTGCCTCTATCAAGAACGCATCATTATCCTTGACTATAATCACCTCAAGGAAATCGAATATCTCCTCAATTCCAACTCCAACAGCATTTCAATCTTCCTGGGTAAAGGTGAATCTTATCACATGACCATGCCCTTAAGACCAGACATATCTCCCTCTTTAGCTGCAATTTCAAAGTATCCGTAGATGATTGTGACGGCCAACAAGATACCAGTTCCACTGCCCAAAGCACCGAGAAGGTCGCTACCAACAGACAAAGCACCAATGCAAGCTCCACCAAAAGCGGCAGCCGTGGGGATGACGCGCTTCAACTCCTTGTACATAGACTCTTCACGGTGGCCAGCCATCACGAGACCCTGTTCCTTCAACTGCTTGGCGACATCGCGGGGAGAGGACCCCGAAACTTCGATCCAAGTCTTAGAGAAGACGGCACATGCGACGAGCATGTAAACGATGAAGACAGCCGTCTTGAGAGGGTCGGAGAGCGCCTCAGTGATGGAGAGGGGGGGAGACCTATATTTTGTTAGTATTTAAGTAGCATGGAAAATGCGAGAGCAACGTACATGTAGTAGGCAATACCGGATGTAGCAAATAGTTGAGCGGATCCATCACGAGGTTCCCAGACACCGATAAGGCGGACGAGAAGGTTGTCAGAGAAGCGGGAGAACAGCATCTGGCTGATTAAGAACACATTAGAGGACAGCGCGGACTGCAGCATGATAGGCATGTTGGAGGTATAGAAGAGGCGGACAGGGTATGAGCCGCGAACACCACGCTGGCGGGCAGACTTGACGGGGATTTCAACGCGGAAGCCTTGGAGGTAGATGACGGCACCGAAGACAACAACGGTGGCGAGTAGATTCATAACGTTGGGGAGGTTCTGGCGGTAGAAAGCCTCCTTGAGAGCAATCGTCTTGTTTGGCCAGGTGAAAAGCAGGTGAACGAGGGCGATAATCGCTCCCTCGAACTCAGGTCCACGACCAGTGTTGATGGTAGTTGGGGAGAAAGCCTTCCACATGATCGACTCGCAGATGTTGGTCGCGATGAACAGAGAGATACCACTTCCAAGACCATACCCCTTCTGGAGAAGCTCGTCTAGGAGGATGACGATCAAACCGGCAATGATGAGCTGAATGACAAGAAGGACACAGATACCGGCGCCAAGATCGGAGGGCTGGCCATAGAGACCAGAGATGACATAGACCACAGCCTGTCCGAAGGATATGAGGATGGCAAGAAGCTTCTGCGCCGTCTGGTACAGCTCGCGGTCCGACTTCAGATCCAGGTTGACATCAATCAAGTGAGTTCCGGCTAAGAGTTGGAAAACCATGCCCGACGAGATGATTGGCGTAATACCCAGCTCCATCAGAGTACCCCGATTACTTGCCATCATCATACGCAGCCAGTATAGGGGATCTGACGTGTCCGAGGATACAATTCCGTACAAAGGCATCTGGCTCATGACCAAGAAGACTAGGAGGGTTAAGCCCGTCCATACTAGCCGGTTGTTGAAAGGAACCTTGCTTTCTGGAAGCTGAATTTCGGGGACGAGGGGGACGAAGGGTTTTACAAGGTCAAGGAACCGTACTACATCCCATTAAGCTATTAGTATTGCTCGCTGATTCGTTTTGCGCGAAGGGGCTGTATGCGCTTAATTGTGCGCAGTGGAGGAACTTACAGCCGGACATGGTTGCAATTTAATCCAGTGGAGAAGAAGACAAAGGAGAAGAAGGGAGTGAAGAAGACGTGTTGGAGAATTATAGAAGAGACGATGAGTAGAGGTGGGCAGGCCGTGGTGAGCTGCCACCGTGTTCTCCAAAATGGAATCGCTAAAAGTGGGTTAGTCAGCTGGCTAGCGCCAAGCTTCATCCCTGAACCGGGCTTTCTCTGGGAACGACTCTTTTCGACACACTTAAAGGACACGTCGGCAGTGAGATGGTTTCAGAAACTTTTCATCACCAACGCGGCTGCCTTCACTTTCAATAGGTTGTAGTGGCACGTTGGTTTCCATCCGAGGCGTTTCCCCTCCTGCGCTTAGGAATGGGAAGGAGTAACAGATCCCATGATATCAAGCTTAAGTATAAGAAACATGATCATTTTAGTCTCCTGGTCCTTCTCCTTTGTTTCAGCGTTCCCATTCAAATGGTCGAGTCTTCAGGTCGTCCTTAAGATTATCTCAAGCGCGGAATGCTCTACACATTCAGGCTGCTATCGAACCCATGCGAAAAATTTCCATGGCGCTTCTACTTGAATCGCATCCTCCATGTTTCCTCTCCATACCAGGAGCGGATCTCGAATGATCGCCCTTTGGTCTGGAGAGGGTGCGGTCCTCAAAATGATTAGGATCAAGGTGCTTCGTGGAGAGGTCATTGTTGATTGGTCAAATCTGCGAATGCGAGTTTAGCGTCAAAGCTTGGACCATAGCTTTGAAAGATGCGAGTGAATGCCAACGTAATGCACAGCCTACTGTCATGACAAGTCTTTCCATTCTGAATGGGCCCTAATACAGACAATTAAGCGACTGCGAATTCCCCCAGCGAGTGCGAACATACCCTGTAGTTCTTCTATTCAGGAGGATACCAACATGTCACACATCTTCGTACAGCACATCTACGGCCGCAATATGTGTTTAAGAACGCGCTTTCTCCCTTCCTTCGAAGTACATCCAGCTTCAAACTTCCAAATAGCCACTATCTTCTCACCTACTTCGAATATCACTACAGATCCTTTGTCCCATCCTCCGCCTTAGACGTTCCGATATAACACAGCTTTCATCATGGGAAAAGCCTTCGATTTTGAGATGTACCGCTACGTCCCATCTCTCGTGGGGCCAATCATGGCCATCACCGTCTTCTCTATACTCGCTGCATTGCATTTGTGGCAGTTCCTGAGGAACAGGAAGGTGGTTATGATCTGGGTTGTTGTTGGCGCCATTTGTGAGTGCTGCATCCTTAACGAACCTTGTCCTAAAGTCAATTGCTGTTTCTTCAGACAAGTGCTAACAAGTCCGGCATCAGGCGAAGTCGTAGGTTACGCTGCGCGAATTGGATCACACTACAATAATAAGTCTTGGGCACCCTTCATCATCCAAGGATGCTTTATCCTAATCGGACCACTCTTCTTTGCTGCCACAATTTACATGATGCTTGGACGAACTATCTGCCTAGCCGGCGGGGAGGAAGTCTCAATTATCAAACCGAAATGGTGTACGCGAATATTCGTGACTGCCGACGTGAGCACACTTATCATTCAGGGGCTTGGTGAGCTTCCACAGCGCAGCGAACAATCAGAACAAGGTGCTAACAAATCTGCAAAGGCGCTTCAATTATGGGATCTATGAAACTTGAGCTCGCAATCGCGGGCGATAAAATTGTCAAAGCCGGCCTTGCAATTCAAGTCTCAACTTTCGCCTTCTTCCTCGCTGTCGCAGTCGAATTCCACATTCGAATGAACAAGACCAGCGACGCCGCGGTGACCCCTGTCTCAAATGACTGGCGCAAGGTGCTCTGGATTCTGTACAGCGTGAGTTCTCTCATTCTTGCGCGCTGCGCCTGTCGTCTCGTCGAGTATGGCATGGGAAATGCTGCATATCCAATGGCACATGAGTGGTACCTCTATGTGTTCGATACATTGCTCATGGTCCTTGCGCTCATCACGTTGTTGATCTTGCAGCCCGCGAAGTATGTACCAGAGAATGGGAAGTTGAGCAGGGGTAATGTAGTGGAGCTAGCTCGATTACCTGGGCAGATTGGTGTCAAATTTTCATGAGATGTTTGTGGAGCGTTCTGAGTTGTACTTAGCATTTCTCTCCATTTTGTCCATTTTCAGTATTGAAGCATTTGACAGTTATAGAACTCGAAATTATACCATCTTCAAAGGGTATTCCTCTCCAGATTAGCCCCCAACAAATGGGGCATGTCGTGACGCATTGACTAGCTTAGCGCTACGGGCGTAACCTTATTCGTCTCGTCCGCCCTTCCTTCTCGAACAACATCCTCCTCAACCCTCATATCTAGGATATCTCTTTGACGTGCTCCATGTTATATCATTAATTTTACTACTATAATCTTTAGTAGTTTGCGACCTAAAGTTGACAATCTCTATAATCATAACAATGACACGCCGAACGACTGCATTCGTGAGCAAACGGCCACACCACAAGTCGAGAGGAGGTTGCCTGATATGTAAACGCAAAAGAATAAAGGTAGTATAATATTACCTACATTCACTACTTATGTCCTTCTAACTTCAGATTCAGTGTGATGAGGCGCAACCACAATGTGGCTACTGCGCACTACGCAAACTCGAGTGCATTTACTCCCTAGAGATGAAGCGACAAACAGCTTGTGTATCCCCCAAAATCTCAAGCACGGCCTTATATCAGGCCACAACTCAAGACGAGGAACTCGGGTCCCCTTTTCTCCAAACTCCAACATGGCTCATTCCAGCCGCAATGTCCTCCGCCGGACAACTTACTAAAGCCGATCTCGAGCTCCTGTACCATTACAAGACCGTCACGTGGAAATCAATTACCGTTCGTAAAGAAGAAATCATCCACAAGATCAATCGGGACATGCTTCCACAAATGGGAATGTCCCATTCCTACCTCCTCTTCGCTTTACTTGGCATCACAGCCGCACAGCTCAATCAAGTCAGTCCGTCTATCCAAAACGAGAACTTAATGACATTTTACCGCCACAAAACGTTAACAGCATACAACCGTACGATCCAAAACATCACCACTAATAATTATGAGTCACTTCTCCTAACATCAATGCTATTACAAGTCTTGGTCCCACATCCTGATGCTACTGCGAACGATGACGAGATGTTTAAGTGGGTATCTCTATTCCTCTCCATGACCCAAGGTCTCCGAATCCTAGCAAGTCTGAAATGGTCCTCCGGCATCGAAAAACTCTCCGTCTTCCCTATTTTCCGACGAGAGCTATGGACTCTACCTCCACCACCACTCACCAACACCCCTCCAGACTCGAGAACGTACACACCCACAGACACTGAACTCGGCCAAACGCCCGAATACCCAAACCCTCCTGTCACATACTCAACGCCTTCGTCACCATCTATAGGGCCAGATATGCAAGACCTCCCCTTCCAGCCTTGGGAATTAATGAAGGCCCCCTGGGGTAGACCACACTCCGGGCAACACCCCGCCCCCGCTTTCCTTCCACCGCCGCTCCTCACGCTCCTCCACTCCCTCGTCGATCCACCAACTCCACTTCCCTCGTCCCCACTCGACCTTCACCCCCCAATCATCCTCCCCATGCTCCACGCACTCTCCCCCATATTCCTCTCCCTCTACCACTTTCACATCACACCAGACGTCTACGTCCGCATCGTCGTCTTCCCGACCTTCATGCCTCCGGAATTTATCTCCCTCGTGAAAGCGCGTGAACCCCGCGCTCTAGTTATCATAGCGTGGTGGTTTGCGTTTGTGAGATTAGTGCCAAACATGTGGTGGATGAAAGACTTGATTCCGAGACTGTTACAGGCGGTGAGTAATGAGGTCGTGAGGAGTAATCAACGGGTGTTGGTGGGTGCGGTGGAGGACGCGTATAGGGTTGTTAGGTTGACGGAGAAGAGGGGACGGGAGGTTGGGGCCAGGGGGGTTTTTGAGGGGTGGGAGGGCGTGTGCTGGGATGATGGAGGTATGGGAGGGGTTTTTGAGGAGAAGTAGTGGAGGGATGAAGATTGGCAGTACTACGTTGAGTATCAAGAGGATTAGGTGACTGATTTGTTGAAATGTCTGACGATTGAGGAGCGAACGTTTCTGATGAGTCCTACCCTATTCCGAGAGCACCATATCCCAGAATATTCGTATAGATGCCGGGAAAATGGTCCGCAACGCTGCCAACATTCTCAACCCAGCTAGGATTCTCCAGCCCCGCTCTTCCCATTACTCTCATCCTCAGTCTCCACCGACCTTGGCTCCCTCATCATACAATACAGCGTAATCTTCCCCTCCTCCCTTTCTCCATCCTGGCAATTCATATGCTTCACTAGTTTAAACCCAAACTTCTCATAAATAGCCACATTCGGTTCACACCTACTGCTCTCAAGATAACACCCCACACCCTCCTTATCCGCCTGCCCAAGCACCTCCTCCATCAACGCCTTCCCAATACCTTTCCCCTGCGCCTCCGGCAACACAGTCACAATATTGCAAAAGTAGTACCCCTTCTCACTTGTCCACAGCTGTTCCTGTGCCTCTGCTTGCCGCGCTTTCCAAATCCAATACCGGGTTGTGGAGAGTCCGCCACGGCCATACCAAATGTTCATCTGGATTTGAGAGAGCCAGAGCTGCCAGAATGAGAGGTAGAGAGACCAAGATTGCGGTTGTGAAGGCGGGCGGGGTGGAAGCCACAAGGCACAGCCGAGGATTTTGGTGGGGTTGGTGGTGTCGCGGGCGACGTGGAAGAGGCCATGTTTTATGCCCCAGCGGCAGCGGATTGTGAGGGAGACGCGATTGCGGACGAGTGAGACCTAGAAACGGTTGGCGGTCGTTTATGGGGGTGCGAAGCGTTATAGGTGCATGGAGGAAGCATACCTTTGACCGGTCGGGATAGACCCAACGATTATATGGGTCATCAGCGAAGGCTTGCTGTATTGTATCGATTGCTCCGTCAATATCCGGTTCCGTCATGCGGGTCACTTCAATTGGCATCTCGAAGTGTTCTTCGAGGCTTTAGGTAGTTGCGGGGTAGCTTGTCATCCGAAATGTGTGGTGTCAACAAGGGATGAAGAGGAATGTGGGGTTAGGAATGAGTGAAGAGGATGAAGGGGGGGTCGAAGAAGAGGCTTCACTGGTCATCTTGACTGCGGGGAAAGATGTGGCACTTGAAGTTGATGAAGTTGGCATCCAAGATGCAGATAGGCGAGAACTCGGCAGGTGTAGGCGGGCTGTCATGTGATGAGCTAGACCGACCTAGCAAGTCCACCCGACATGGCATTCACACTTTCTCAGCTAGTCCTAGCCTTCCACCAAACACTTACATACAAGCCTTAATCTTCACCCCAAAACACCTATATATGCTATCATAATCCTACCAATCGCCGTCAAAAATCGCCTTGCGACGCGAACTGAGGCTCAGGCTAAACGTCAGATTTCTGACAGATATGAATATCTCTGCAGACTTCAAATCTTCTCATTCTGCCGACAAACTAAAGGCCAATGTAGCGAGAATAAATTTGGGCACTCCAGAGTGAGTGGACGCCCCATTACTCGCTCTATTGTTGTCCCGGATTGCAAATCTGAATGAAATGAACCCCTTCTGGGTCATTGGATCACGGACTTTAGTTTGTTGCCCCCAAAACAATCCCAGCGTTACTTATTAGCATGTCCAAATGCTGTGAAGGCTTTTCTCATGGTGCAGGATAGTCTTCTGGCCCTTTCGAAGAGCAGAATAGAGCCCTGTCAGCCCCCGCCTCAGATGTTGCGTGCTATCCGGGAGGATAGCCACGAGGTTGCTATTGTTGGTGATACCGTTGACAAAGGAGGTTTTGGGGTGTATTTTAAGAAAATTAGCAGAACGAAACAATTAAAGATCCAGAAGTGGATGATGGAGCCTTTTGCTCCTGAGATTAAAATTATGCGCTAGGTTAAACATCACCACTGTGTCCAGTTCCTAGGGGGTTATACAAATTTTGATTCACTTAGCATTTTCTGTTCGCCTGTCGCGGATATGGACCTAGTCACTCTTCTGGATCTTCCAGCACTCGAACCCCGTCAGCTCAATATTCTTCATCGGGGAAGTGGTTGCCTGTGCAGTGGAATCCTTTATCTTTCCCATGGAAAGATTAGATATTCAAAAATCTGATTCTCACTCACTGTATGCAATATCTCTTCTTCTCTTCCACCTTCCATGTTAACTGGGGAAGAGATCGCCACCCAGCCCAGAGTACTAACTGGGAACAGACATAAGGATCTCAAGCCGTAAAATGTTCTGATACATGAAAAATCACTAATAATGCCCACCTTCCACTTCTCGGATAACTTTATATCCCCTACTACAGGTCGGCCATCTCACTGGACTCCTAGATAATCCACACTTGAGAGAACTGAGCACGAAGGCCGCAATGGGGTCACGGACATCTGAGGATTAGGATGCATCATTGTAGAAATGCTCTCTAGATTATACAGTCACCACCTCTCTGAATTCTGAATAGAAGCCATCTGGAAAAAGACCGGTAATGGGCATCCCAGTTTCTCCCTCAACGAGGACGCCCAAGAGCCAGTTGCATCAGAAACTTTGGGAAGCTGCGGTTGGCAGTTGAAAAGAATTGGTGCTTCTGTACTTCATTGGTGTCATATTGAGCCGGGATCGCCATCTTCGTCCAACAGACAAGCAGGTAGTGGGAAAGTTGTTAGAGCTAGATGTGCTCTTCTCGTATCAATAAAAGCTCGTTGGTTACTACTATAGAGATGATATATTAACAGGTAAGTCACTCTCACTCCCGGGGGTTAAGCCTACGATGCGTCATCTGCTGCAATGCTTTCTTCCGGTCTGGTTTGACCACTATTACAAGGAGGAACAGTGCATATCAAGAAAGTCAAGAAAAGGAACAAAACAACACCAAAGACAATACCCAAGACGATACCCCAGATGACAATTCATGAATTGTGATTGACACTGGAGATGATATCTTTACCAATGTACGATCGTACTAGAGATAAGCCCGGGGAGCCGTGCTAGAGGCAGCGCCTTCAGTTTGACGGTACTGCCCGCTGCTCATGCTAGAGGTATTGGCCTCAGCACTCAGGAGGAGCCTCTAGCTCTGTCTTATTCAGTATAGGATCGTCAACAGCATCTCTCACACACACTCTCTCATACTGTACGGTATCGGCCGTAGCCTATCATTCTATCCCATGCTGTACGGTATTGGCCCCAGCACCTACACTTACTTTTTGCCCTGCATAGACCTCACCATACGTAAATAGCTTCATCTTCGAACTCTGTTGAATCTGAGGGGGGGGGGGGGTGTAGCCAGGCCAGGCCACCGTCTATAGTACCTATACTGGCTGCCCTTGAGACTCCACATCAATACAGCACTCTTCCGCTGCACCACCACCCAGGCTTACACATCTTATTCACCGACCCAAACTTCGAGATTCTAAATCCCCAATAGATCCACAACTCACCCGGAAACCTCAAATTCCTGCCCGAGTTGTTCGAAGGCACCGCCCAACTATTGAGTAGCCGCGGTAAACTTTCTTAAGCGTGCCAGTTTCTGACTCGAACAGAGGGGAGATATTTTAAAGCATAGCATCCGAGATCGTTACTTCGCTCCAACACATTGAATTCACCTGTCTACAACGCAATTCTTGCTACCTCACTATCTAAACTACTGAAGACACATGCTCGCACTGTACAGATCTCGCTCATTCCGATATGTTTCCCGCGCTCAGAACGGTGTAGACATTACTTATCGTCTACTTTGAAAAGAATGAGCACCCATCGGCGACTTGAGTCCGCCTAGAACCTACACGCCTCTTTTTGGTCTAATGGATGTGCCTGATGGGTCAGATGGCCTAGTATGACGGCTCACCGGTAGCTCATATTCGAAATCCTATACTTTCATTTTCGCGGGGAACAGTTCATGAAAAAGCATCATAGATTTGCTAGATGCGCCTCATATCTAAAACGGTCATGTCAGAGCATCACACGCTTCTGGATCCCTTGACACGATCCTTTTAAAGCCTATAAGAACTTGCATCTACTCTCATATATTTCTGAGATTTCGAATTTTCTCCCGGCGCCGATCAGCACACAATCAGGTGAGTGTGATAGGGAGAAGATAGCATTCATGGACTGTCAATGTGAACGTTAGGTCGCGCTAGTGGATTTGAGCAAAACGGCTGTGAAGCGTTAGCTCACCTGCAAGATGAAGGTTGTTCACATGGAATCGATAAAAGAAAAACTCGGGAGGCAGGCATATGGTAATGATACAATTCCGGCTCTGACCTCTTTCATATCCGCGCGGAAACATCATGATTTGATTCAGCAGAAAGAATGCTTGACATCGATAGCAGTAGCGCAGTTGGTTTTCAAACATTGCACACGCCAAAAATTATCTGCGACTGGAGTGATAACTCCACATCCGTCATCACAACCGATATTAACACACAAATCCTTCCGCGCCCTTCACCACTCCCAAACCCCAACGAAGACGTATAAGCCCTTCCAATTACATGGGAGTTTCTCCCACAATAAGACTGGAGCACACCGAACAATAACAAATTGGTTTAGTGGGAGAACTCTACCCTCACTGGGCTGCAAAGGGGACTGCCTCGGGTTTGATTCTAGCCGGTTGACAGCTGCTTGTTTTTAAAGATATGATAGGCTGAGCAAGAGTGGTCGTCTTACAACCCCGAGAGTTTTCTGTACTTCCAGGAATTTCCTTGGCCCTTTTTGGCTCCATGTCCAGGGTACAAGATCTGTGAGGGTTTGCTTTTTAGGCAAAGTAATGGATGCTGTGATAGAGAGCGTGTCTTAAATGGAGTAGTACAGTTTGGGCCTAGAGCCTAGCCTATTCTAGGCCTTTTAGAAGAGATGGAGGAAAGGTGTGGTCGGACAGGCTGACTGGGGCAGTGAGCAACAGGCATTCAGGTATTGAGTTCGTAACAGCCACAACGTCCTCCTGCTCCTATAGCAAACAGATGCATCTCCTGTGATGGCGGTCGTGTTGGCTCTGATGCACGTTCTAAAACAACTCTTTCGAATATTCTAATGGGAACGTGGTCTAGGTTGGATCCGGAGAAGCCTCCATGCTCTGCCTCTGCTTACGGACCCCGAAGGATGGCAGCGCGCTTGCTGTCTGGTACCTGACCATGATGTTGACTGTGAAGGGATCTCGACGTGAGACCTGGCTAAACTGTGATGTGCGTATCGAGTTGCAGATGACGATACGGACGGAGGCGAAGGGTCATCCAATACAAGTCTGATGACAATAGAAAGCTTGATGACAGTGCGGCAACGTGTATCTGGCTAGCGTTTGTGATGTGGCGCGAGGATTCGATCCGGACTCCGCAGTCTGTGTTCCCGTGAATATGTAAGGTAAGCTGCATTGAGACGAGGCTTGAAGTGCGATAATACGATCTAAGTGTCCAAATATACGGACATGTGATGCGAAAGAGAATACCCAGGCAACGAGATGAAAGAGTATTTCCAGTGCCATAGTCTAATGATTGTCCAAGATAAGCAATCAACTGAGTTTCTTGAAAAGGAAGATCCGGCGATGAACACCCAAGGAGAGTTATGAAGTAAGAAAATCACAATAACAGAAGGCAATATATTGAAATTCGGCGGATATCGTTCCCTTGGTTACCCCAATGTGGCAAACGACGATGATCGTGGAGAGCGGGTGGCTAACTCAGGCAATGATAAGGCTGGCGAAACTATATCGGTTCTCCGTATGACAGCGTGCACATGCGGTCTCAGCAATCGCGGATGCAGTTGTGGCGAGAGACCTTCGAGAATACCGACAAAGTCGTACGCCTGAAAAACGCATGGCCTCAGTCAGATCAGAAGAGATGCCAAGATATATCGTACATATGTTAAGACAGCAGGAAACGTAAGAGAATGTATCCAAAATGAAACGGCTGAAAGAGCGGTGTTGGATCTCATGCCACTCCATGAAGCCATGTAATGACTCTATGTTTGAAACAGGCGTTACCTCTCTGAGCTGCCATTTCATGCACTGCACAAGTGGAAGCAACAGCGCGATTGTCGCCGAGGCCATTTTGCCTCAAAGACAAGCCCATGTCGAACGCGAAGGCGAGGTGAACGGATCAGTCTGCTATCGTAACAGAAAACGGGGTTTGCCGGTCTGTCTGACGTTTAAAGGATGCAGGATAATTCTCGGGGGTCGGGGCGGATGTCGTGTTACACATTCGAAGTGCCCCGCCAAAAATAGGCCTCGGGTTAGAGCGCTCGTCCACCCACGATACAAATACAGCAGGTGGCATAATTACGGTTGCAAATCCTGGCTGTGAGATGGATTACGGGTGAGAGCGGCGAAAGGGTTTTTGGGGTACTTCGTGGAAAGAGCAATCTTTGTGTCAGCCAGCCAGGCGTGCAGGTTTAAAAGGAGATCGACATAGAGACCGGAGTCGATTTAGCCTAGATACATGAGAGGATTCGTGTTGGTGAGACAGGCCTGGGATTTGTTGGACATGTGAATGATGCCTAGAAGAATTGGTGGTGCTTTGAAATATTTTTGCATGCTGTTTCTCGCCAAGAGGGCTTGCCGCTCGTGAGCGTTTTCAGGCCGGACCGATTGAAGAACAGAAGGCTTCGGTCCCGGTTACTGGGGTGCGAAGCCCCTGCTTAGCTCTTGGAATTCCGCTTGCCCTTCTTGCATATAGATCCGAAATTACTGACGAGATTTTGTAAATTGTAACGCCCACGCATGCGCAAAGGAACAGGAATGAGGAGTGATTAGCTGCAGGCTATGACATAAGGGGAAGTTTGACTGGGAATAAAGCTGCCTTACCGCGTACGTAGATCCCGAATCGAAGAAGCGAAAAAGACCCATGGAAGGCTGGATAAAAATACTGCGTCCAGCCGGTGGTGTAACGACAATAAGTAAGCATAATGTACATGAATTTGGTCCGACCTCGGCAAATATGCTGCCTCATGTAAGAGAGAGCCTGCTTTATATTAACATTGATGCCTATCTGCAACATTGGTTCCTTGGTCAAAGGTTTTGTTCCTCGCAGTTAGCTGAACAGCCCTGGAATGAACGTTCTAGTGGTGCCTTGCGCGTCGAACTGATCAGTTAAGGAAAGATCTTAAGGCAGAGGCAAATGCAACCTGGACCGTGAATAATCTACGTTGCCGGTCTTAATAGTTGGAGGATGGTGCGGCGGGAAGGAAGCATTCTTCAAAGTGGGCTTGTCATGCCTCGAGAAGCGCAATGTAGTGTGCGGTGGCAGCCTTGGGTTGACCTTGGACTGGATGCGAGACTCCTTTCTCTGTCACTAGCCGATCAACTTTATGGAAGAACAAAGTTTCATGAGCCGTGAGAATAATGCGTAAGTCACGACGTGGCCGCGGCAGTCAAGGTCCGTGGCACCCAGAGACTGATTTGCCCTTTCTGCGAGGAGGTACCCTGTGGATGGCAGGGTGCACAAGAAGAGGACCGATGAGACATGATTCTTGCAGCTATCTAAATTCTGCATGATGCAGGTTGCAGCGAGCACACTCTGTCCTCGCTTGCTTTCTTATTGGCTAGGGGAAGCTCGCCTAGTAAAATTTCCCCAGCCTTCGGTGGTCACAAGTCAGCAGCGCAACAAGCACTCCACGTTGCCAGAGGAGCTGTGATTTGGGCTTTCGCTCTGTCCCACGGTTCGTGGTTGAATGGACTGCCACTCCTGGTATGCTTTCTTATCCCTTCTTCTAGTCGCTGGAGAACATTTGCTTCCGCTTGCGAGCCATTAGCTGAGCGAAAGGCTTTTTGCTTTTAAGGCAACACGCATGACTGGCAGATATTGATGGCTGCATGTGCAGTGAGCTCTAGGGAGAGATTTCACCGATTTCCCGATTGGGCGCCGATCGAAGGATACGCCAGATTGGTCGTCGGATAATTGGATCGTGCTGATTCAAGAGTCGAGTGAAAAGTGGAGTTTCCGAGGAGCCCATGAACGTTAAAATCATGTTCATGGCCCCGTAAACTGGGATGCGCAGCCGGCCGCCCGCAACTGAAAAGCCCAGCGTTTGACATGGCTCGACGGAGTCTAGAACATGCCGCACAGATTCTGCCTGGGACTGGAGGATTGTTGATCAAGCCGGGCCTCCCAATCTACCGACCGACGATGATGTTACTCTCTCTGCTTTGTCCGCCTTAGGCTTGTGCGAGCGAGGCATGATGGTGGGCGGCTCGACATGGCTTTGAACAGCCCTCGACCGAAGGTGACGCTTGGATCCTTGCATTCTCGTCAGATGCAAGCTGTGGAACCAACCACTGTATTGTAAGGGATAGCGAGTTGAAGGAATGTTCGATAGGCCAACATGGGCAAAGCCGCTCAAGCCGCAGCCACTTTAGTTTTTCCGTCTGTGATTCCACGATGCGACGCCACATTCGGACCCACTCATCTCGTGGGACAGCGGGGGTACGTCATTAAGGGTTTTCTTCCTTCCCGTGCTGCAGATTGCCGGGCTGAGGCTGTCAGAAGCTGCTCGGCTTGGCTGGACGCTTTGCAGTGCGCTCCAGCCCCGCGCAGGCAAACCTTCCGATGGCTGATGAGTGACCAATAAATCCTGGAGGCGTCACTGAAACCACGGCTTGAGTGCCATTCGCAATTTTGATTGATTCCAACTGGAAGCTCCATCACAACTGGTACACACGGGTAATAGCCTGGTGGCTTCCGAGGCCAGCGCGAGAATCCATTCCCGCTGTTGCTCAGTCACAGATGCCGGTCCTCGCGGTACCCTTGCGACACTGACACACTGTCGGTCGGTCAGCATCACCATCAGCACGATCCGATCCTGATGCGAGAAGAGAGTGATGCAAGACCGATAGCTCCGCCTCCACGCAATCCAGACTTACTTTGACAAGGTCCACGGCCCGACGCTCACATGTACAAATTCGTCCTGTGATGCACAAGAGGGTACGCCTTGCAAATGCAGTTGTCTGCAGAGGGCCGAGGCTGGTGTAGCTGCAGTTAAGGCCGAGCGTGTGATGCGTGGGATGTGCTGGATCATATGCGTTCCAAGCATATACGACTCAAGACGAGTCCTTCATTTCACACATCCTGCAGTTGGAATGTGTTGCCGCACCGTCTGCCGTTCTTCCCTAGTTTGATACGGATCAGGGCTCCATTGATTGCTATTCTTTGGACCTGCTCAATGAAAATATAAGCGCATCTTGCACAAGACGGCGCTGTCCAGAATCCAGGTACTGCCATTGGCCTCTTTTATTGGGTTGCGTCAGCACGAGGCAGCCAGCAGAGGTTCGATGGCGTTCCTGGTTGCACCCAAACGAACAGTCGAACGAAGTGAGCAGTGTGGTCATCCATGCATGTCCGCACATTTGGTTCCGCACACGACTCCAGGTGGCGGATAGGACATTACCCCCTGACATGACCCAGTTCGTTTGACCATGGCCAAAATAATTCACCCTGTGCCCGCCAACCGCTGTCGATCACCCAGGCGGGACGACAGCCAGGGTCTTTCGGCGCGTCGGCTGCATCGCTCAAGCCATCACTCCGGGGATTTCTCGTTATCGAGCTATCAAACGGTATTGCCGCTTGGAGCCTGGTCGCCGTGGGGAGCGCACGCTTAGAGGGTAGGCTTCGAACAGCCTCAGACAGATGTCGTGGCTTCCACAGTAAGCGAGTATTCACCCGCCCTTGGGATGATCTCCTCATCTGTCGATAGTGAGAAGCATCACGAACCCCTTAACACTTTTGGAGACGACATGCTTGCGAAGTGCTTTGTCACAGGTGACACGGCTGGGATCTGTCAATCGTGGCGACATGTGCACACAAGCAAGAACAAGTGCGCTGGCATTAAGTCAGGCAGGCTACCACTGCTAACAGTTTGGCTAGGCTGATCGCTCGTAAGCGTGTTCTTGAGAACATTACTCACGAGTCGCCGTGGTTATGGCCACTTCCAGGCTAGGCAAGTAGGAAGGCTCCCGAATACTTTTTCTGATATCGCCAGCGCTGTGGCGGCGAGCTCACTGCCGAAGCTCGTCGAGGAAGACTAACAAAAGAACGCGCGTTTTCCATGCTCAGCCTGTCGTCCATTATTGCCGTGTGCCTGATGATGGTAACCGTGTGTTTGGGTGTGCTGTGGTCAACTCCGTGTCGTCCCCCGTATTTCGACGCCGGCGGCTCAGTGGAGGCATTAGCATGCTGCATGTCGCTCACGAATTTTGTTGAAAGTTAGCATCCTAGACCGTTTCAGAGCCAGACTCCACCTGATGAGAAAGGATACTTCTGCTTTTTCTCGGCGGTGCCTAAACTAACAGCCAGGATTGCCGCACGACGCACTGCATCCCAGACGGGCCACCTTAAGCGCAGCCCGCAGTGATGGAGTAACCCCTCCCACGCTGAGGAGATGGCTGAGGGGAAGCAGGACGGATGCTAGCGGCTGCTGCATCCAGTGCTCTCAGCGCCAGGCCTGGTCGGGTGCATGCGAGGCTGAAAAGCAGCAGCGTCAAGGCTTGTGCTGGGTGAATGGAGCACGCTGATTGCTGCAATCTCCGTCGCGGCGCTGCCGTTGGCTGTGCAACCCCAGCAGACTTCTGATGCTGCATCGTGAACTGCATCGCCCTGTGATATTCATCGCTGCCCGTTGCAGTTGTGCCGCCGGGGGAAGCAGGGAACAGGCTGGTTGCATGGCGATTCCAGAAAAGACTGGCATGCCGTTCGGCTGGAAAAAGCGAATCAAACCAGCGCTGCGACTCCCGCGAGCAGGGCCCTCGATCGTGCGTGCAGGCCGGCAAACCAAGCTGCTGGCCCATGACATCCAAGCGCATCCAAGCAGGAGGCGTTGCCGGTGGAAGGACACGATGGGTTTGGCAGGCTCTCTTCGGCCAGCCAACCTCGCCCTCCCACTCTCTCCGAAACTACTGCGCCCGCCCAAAGTTTGACCTCTCCAAAGGCCCCTGAACTGGGTCTTTTTGGGCGCGCATCGACACGAGATCTTGCTGAATGCACCCCGTCGCCCTCCGCCCAGCAATAATATCACGCTGACTCTCTCAGATGATTGGCTTGGCTCCCACCGTGCAGGTCGCCGGCAGACCTTCCACTAATTTTGCCCTCTGCTCAAGCGGCTAAACATGGGCTGGCCTCGCGCTGCTGCCCGCCTGTCTTCAATGTCGCATGCGATGCACCGGCGTTCCTTCGTCCAACATCGACACACGGGGCTAGGGCTCCAGCGCAGTTGACCGCCTCGACGGCCACGCCCCATGCTGCCAACGACACTCCATGCCCTGGCTCAGAGGTCCAGCTGAGTCGCGCCGTAAGTTCCGGAGCCCAGTCGCACCACGCTCGCCCACTCACTAGCATCATCGTCGCCGTCGTGGTGTTTCTCCCTTGTCCGTCTGCCCAGGTGGAGGAACCCACCATGCGTGTCCTGCACGGATCCCCGTTGCGCCATGATACATACCCGCGCGCTCTGTCCTTCAGTCTATCCTCTCCTGGGGTGTGGTTGATCACTTTTGGCGTTTCTTTTCGTCGGCTGCGTCTCCCATGATGACTCTGTTGATCAGCTCCTGCTCTCGTTTCCAGCCGTGCCACTCGGCCTGGTTGTCACGAAGCCGTTCCTTCACGAACCCCATCCCTTAGAGCCCCGTAAAGCAATAACTTTCCGCCTCTTATCTGCGCCTATTCCCTTTCCTAGTAGTGTCATGAGTCTGTCCTAGCTTCTTCCTAGCATCCCACCATGACCTGTGCCGCGAAGTAGCCGTCCTCCGTGAGTCCAACTCATCCTTCCTAATTCGTCTATATCTCTTGGCTCACCATATACCTATGCAGATGCCCCCGAGTTAGCATACCACACCACGGATCCGACCATGCTATTTGTGACCCTTCCCATCTGAGACCATTGTATCCCGCCATCCTACTTAGCCTTCTCACCCCTTCTTATCCGTCATGGTATCCGCTTTATCTTCTGAGAACGATTCCCTTTCCGTTACCAACATGTCGACGCCAATGTCCACCTCTCAACTCACCCGCCGTACTTCACGAAGCTCTGGAAGTCAAGCCGGATGTCGATCGTCCCGGATCGAAAAGCCCAGGAGCAATCACAATAGCCCCATGGCGCTCGAAAGGAGGAAAACAACATCTGGCACCAAACGATACGCAACGCTCGATGATCATTACAACATGATGTTTGGTATTGCTGGTGAAGAGGAGGGAGACGAGGACCGACGAGAGCTCGGACGACCATTGAGTTGGCACCCTTCATCGACGCAATTCCAAGTTCCGTCCCGATCATCGGTGATAGAGCCGCTTCCCTCTCAAGACTGGACGCTGCACCCCCCATCTGCACGCAACTCTACTCATGGTTCTGATTTCTATTCTCTCTCCGCCCGAAATTCTCTATATCCCGAGCAGACGCAACCTACTCCACACTATCCGCAATCACATGACGGCCGAGGCTCTCAATCTTCTGGATCTAGCTGGCAAGAAGCTTCTCAGCAGACACCATCCTATGCCATGTCCTCCTACTCGACACCTTCCACCGAACCACTCCCGTGGTACCTCCGAGAATGGGCCAAGAAGAATCAGACTCAAAATGTCAACTCTTGCAATGGATCAATGGACTTCCTCCCAATCCAGCATCCTACAGCTGATCAAGAAACAAAATCAGTAGCCGAGGACGAAGATGAAGAGATGGAAGCGTCTGGGAAGGAGTTGGTGGGAATGGGCCTGTACGACCTGCCGGAACCAGAACTTGCTTGGGATTCATCGAAACTGAGTGAGGGAACCGGCAAAGGACTGAAACTCGAAGAGACATGGCAGCCCCCAGAAGATGAGGAGGAGGAGGACGCCGACGAAGCTAGCTCTGACGATGGCAGCGTGGAAGAGCTGCCAGCGAAGGATACCGCGCTACCAATCAACGTCAAGCCCCAACTTGCCGGCAACATGGAGGGCCAGAGTTTCTTTTTCGACGAGGATGATACCTACACCAAGGAGTGGTGGTTTCAACAATTGAAGCAACCCTCTGTACCAGTGCGGGACGCTGGTTTGGGATATGGCTGGTTATGATTGGCTCATCTAGCTTCAAACATGTCCTGTTTGACGAGCTGGGTAGCCGGGAACAATACTTCTTTTTATTAAATGTTATTAGCATAGCGTTGGAGTTGGGAAAAAGAGAGGATATGTACAGGATACCCCACGCCTTATTGGCCCAGCCACATGTTTGATTACGAACGATGGCATGATGCATGTCTCAACTACAGACAAGCTTGAATAATAAAGAATTATATCTAACTATATCCTGAATGGACGTGATGTCAGCATTCTCCTTCTGATGCGCTTTAGTCATTCACTCGGTTTCGGATCGTTGAGATATGACTAAGGAAGCGGTGAAATCAGCTGCATCGGATGTCGGCTGAGTGCGAAAGCCGTTGACACTTGGAAGCATGTCTTAAAAATTTTTAAACCGACCTCACCGAACCTTCCCCGTTGCTAAAATCCATCAGGCACGCAGGCCAGAAAGGCATCACAGCAGCTCGCACGAAGTTGGCATGTCTTGAAGACCTGCATCGGATTAGTAGATGAGCGAGTGGTTTCGATGCCCTTAATTCCCACCTTAACTTTTTGTCACGAACTCACGTGCAAGCAAATCATAGATGTTGTCGCATCCACTTTTTACGCCTCTTCTATGTTGTTTTTCTTTATGAGATCGGAGGAGACCTGCATATGTCCCCGCTCCGAGTTGGTCTTGAACCACATTTCCTAGTGCTCATTCGAAGGCTTAATGGACCTCACCGCCATGACGAAGGCTCTATTCACAGTCACTCCTTGGCGAGATAGCGCCGAGCTTCTGAAACTTCGACAAGATCTGTACAGTGGAGGATATGCCCCCGATGGTGAAAGGAGGGAACGTGCTATCAACAAGGTTAGTCGTATGGTCTCTAAGGTTGCCGTTGCCAACAAGATCAGATATTAGCATGGCGGGCAAGAAAACACGAGATGCCTTTAGCACTAGATTCTACTGTAGACCTTGTTGATGCAATGGTCCAGGAAGAGAAAGGCAGCCTTCCGCATAACTCTCTTCGTTTGCTATACGCTGCAGCAATCTCAAGGTACCATCCGGCCCATTCCATTCACCTTTAATTATGATCTAACTGCTCACCATTAACGCAGATTTGTTACCGGGTTCGCAGATAGCCAAGCAGGCCTGGCTCGAAACCGGGCACAACCTATGGAAGAAACTGCACCGCCGTTTGATTTTCCTGCTAGTTTGTTGGAAACTCGACATTGCATTGTACACCGCCATCTGCCTTCGCTACCACACCTCAAGCATGCAGCCGATGAATCTTTACACTGGTTGTGGTCTTGGTTCTGGGCTCACTTGGATCTTCTCGAATCAAAAGAATCCGCTAGCCCTCCTTCCAATTCCCTAGACTCGAGAGACGTTGCAGTGAGTAGTTAATATCCTTCCAGGACGAAGAGAGGACTGATTTTTGGTAGCAAAACCTCCAAACAATCCTGAAAACATATGTAAGATACAGGAAAGCAGAACTCAAGAGCCAGCTCCAACTCAAGAGCACAAAGACCGACCGACGCGAGAGCTCAGGGGCAGCAAAAACGGCTGTGAAAGCATGCGTTGATGACTCCCAATTCTCTTCCAAAACTCTCAAACTGCTTATAGTGCAGCTAGTGGATCAGATGTATATAATTCCATCAGACAAGAAGTACGTCACGCTCTCCTCTAACTTAACTATAAGTATTTACATTTTCTAGACTTGGTAGCATAATGGAGGGTGCATACCTCATTTGGACCCCTCTCTTCCTCGTTCTAGTCAATCACCAACCTTCATTATTTCGAGGCCTGATTACTCACATACAGGCTACACTCGACACTCCTTCCTCCCCCTTGCTTCCCGTCTCCCTGGATCCAAAACGAGAGGCAATGTGTCAATGGCTTCTACACATCCTGACATCAGACGCCTGGTCCATCCCTCGCAGTCGGTATCCGGACCAGAAGCTACTAGGAGAAGTGATGAGTGAATGCCTTACCTCGGCCTCATTTTGGAATTTAAAGCTAGCCGAATGGGTATTGAATGATAAGGCGGTACGGAAGAGCTATGGTCAAGATTTCTGTCAAGCATGGTCAGACGTGCTAAAAGCTGCGAGAGAAGAGACGGATGTTGAGAGGAAGATGGATGATGTGGTAGAAAATACGCAATCACAAGATACCACCCCGGACGAGACCCCTACGGAAATGACGGTGACCATAGCAACGAAGGGAAAAGGAATACAGAAAGGGTTAGGGATGTGGAGGAGACAGCCTATTGGAGCACTGCCGATTGTATGGGGAGATGATGAATGATCTGGAGATACTTTAGCATTGTGAATGGTGTCCGTCTCATCTAACCCCAGATATCATAGATATGAGAAAACCAGCCTCTCTAACATCGCTGTTTCGCCGTCTGGTACCTATACATGACAAACATCCCGGCCTGTTACCTCTTTATAAACCTGAGCAGTTAACTGGAATCCCCAAAGATCGTTTTCTGTAAGCAGTTAAATCATTATAGGACAATAATCTCTTCCTATGCACATCCCTGTCCCCTTTCCGCATTTCCGCTAACTTCCTAAGTTATTCGAAAGTGCTAATATTCCCTTTGTTGATGTTTACCAACACCATTTCACACACGGTACATTCATGTCCCTGGGTCTTCTACCTAAACAGTCACTCGCATTAACGCCTTTCACGCCAGCCTCATTCACATTGCCTTCGTTTACTGCAAACCTCTTCACACCTTCCACTCATGTTTACCCTGTTCAAGCTGACCTCATTCCCCTCAATTCACCCCCACTCATCACTTATCCCCTCATTCATTCGCTTCGCCTATTCACCTCTTCCTCATTCGTCTCCCCTCTTCGCCTCCCTCTTTCGCTAATATCCTTGATACCCACCATTCCACCCTTTTAATTCATCCCCTCCCACACTCTCGGTTCCCCTCCACTAGCCCAACCTTCATTAGCGCAAGCGAGTACGATTCCGTAACTCAAAAGCATTTTCAAAAATAAAGATAAAAAAGGGGAAGTATTTTCCAAACATGCGTGATACGGCTTCCTTTCCCCATCCTACACTCCTCGGTTTTTGATTCTATCTTCTCTCGTGCTTTTTGGTTTGGCCCACTCTTTGAATTCGAGCTCACTGAATATCGCAATCGTTTAATGCACACGCTTTATTTCCCAATGTTTATTTCCTTCACCACAAGGATAGCCTGCCAGTCAATACTGTCCAATAGCCTCCCTCACCTTCACTCCTATCCCCCTGTGATATCCTAACCCGATCGTCCTTCACACCCCACCCCGCGCTTCAAAAATCTACTCTCTGAACAATAACCAGCCATTCACTCTCCTTCTCAACCCCTTGTAAGCTTCCAATACTCACATCATCAAATCCGGATCCGGCTGCCAAAGCAAAAGGTCGTGATCGGCACTCGCCAACACATTCGTCCTAGGATTGTACCCCACCACAGCCGCTTTCCCATACCCCGGCAACTTCTCCACTGGCTCGAGGAAGTTATTCGGCGCGGGAGGCTTCGAAATGTCCCATACGAGTAGGCCGTCATCGCCGCTTCCTCCGACGAGATACTGGCCGTCTGGCGTGACACATACATCGCCCTGACCGAGTGCGGGAGAGGTGCCGTTCGTTATGTTTGCGCCGTGACCGGGGGGTGAAGCGCCCGGGGCAAGACGGCCTGAATGTCCGGATTTACGGTAGCAGAAGTGGGAGAGTTCGCCGGAGAAGGCGTCGAGGATGAAGTGGCCGGTCCCCGTGGTACTAATCACAAGACTCTTTCCATCGTTCGTGAATTCCATCTTCGTCCAGTCTCCGCCTTGTGGGCCGAGGAATCGTTGTTCGAGGTCGAGCAGGTCGAAGGTTGCGAAGGGGGCTTTGTCGTAGTTCCGGATGTCGTAGAGTAGGACGGAGTGTGTTGGCGGTGAGGCGATGGCGATGACGGTGGCCGATGGATCATACGCGGCGAGGTAGGGCGCGTGGAGTCGGAGGAGGCCTTGATGGTTGTTGGATTGGAGGTTCCATATTCGGACCGTGTTGTCGCGGGAACAGGAGATGAAGGTGTCGGAGGAGGGGCACAGGGAGATGGATGTTACTGTGTCGGTGTGGCCGCGGAAGTAGCGGATGTATGAATTATCGTGGGTGGAGAGGAAGCGGATAGTGTCTGTGGAGCAATCAACATGGCAACCTGCTGGGGAGGGGGGAGGGGGGGTGAGTACCGTCCACTTTCGTGCTGGCGTATATGATACTTTGTGCGTGATGCGAGAAACGCGCGAGATGCACGCCGTACTTCTGACTCTTCAATTCCTTCGCATGCTTGCCCTCCTTGCAGTTGTAGATTTGCAGCGTATCATCGTCGCGGGCGACAATCGCAAGCTCGCCAGTGTCGTCGAAGTCTAGGGAAGTCACGGACGTTCGCGAGTCGCCAGGCTTGAAGCGCTAGAAAGGCCATGTAAGCGGGGAGCAGCTCTCTGAAGAGAATGGGAGCCCACTCTGGAAGGCCGGAAGCTCGAGATCACGTCGCTAACTTTCTGTGTCGGGGGCCCAGCGGACGTCGCTGCGGCGCTCGGGGTGGCAGAGCCGGTAGCCATTGCATCAGACGAGCAGAGGTCGCCTCGAAGCCAGCGGCATCTCCTTCCTGCGTCGTCGATCCAGTGCGCTCGAAGCAAAAGCGTTTGCTGCACAACAGCCACCACGACGGCAGTGAAGAATGATGAAATGGGAGCTTGGGCCTATCCATTGACACGGCCTTGGCCCAGGCCCCTGCAGAGCGGCAAATCGGGGCACGGAGCTGATCCGGGAATCAAACATCCAAAAAGATTAATCAGAAAGTCCGAATTCTCACTTCGGCTGTTTTCCAACGTCAGACTTGCCCTTTCACTGTGCCACACTGGCAATTTATCAGCCCATGATCGCCTCATAACAATCCCCCTGGACGACAGAGCGAGTGTTAGTTGAACGCCTTCGACTCCTGCGCTGCGAGTCACCAACGACTTGCGGCGTCCCGAACCAACCGTCATGTCGACCACTACGGGGTATGCCCCCTTCCGATGTCGCCCAGCTCGTCGTATACTGATGGACGCGATATAGATCTTTCATTGCGGGAGGCATTGCGGCGTGCGGTGCTGTCACGGTTACCCACGGGTTCGAGACTGTCAAGATCCGGTACGCATCTTTGCGGTCTTCTGTACCATGGCTCTACAATTGACACCGGCACAGATTACAACTTCAGGGGGAGCTGCAATCGAAGAAAGATGCACCGCGCCTCTACCGCGGAGTCTTCCATGGCGTCGGGGTGATTTTGAAGAATGAGGGACCGCGAGGTCTGCTGCGGGGCCTAGGATGCGCAGTACGGATACCACGATGAGGTCACTTGACAGCCTCCCCCGCCGTGACACTGACGCGCATGCAGTATGTATACCAAATGACGCTCAACGGCTGTCGATTGGGTTTCTATGAGCCTGTGCGGAAGTCCGTCACGAATGCCGTCTACAAAGACCCCACGGTCCAGTCCTTCGGCATCAATCTCTTCGCAGGCGCAACATCCGGAATCCTCGGGGCGGCGGCAGGTTCGCCGTTCTTCCTAGTGAAAACACGATTGCAATCCTTCTCTCCCTTTCTCCCAGTTGGCACACAGCATCACTACAAAGGCGCAGTTGACGGTCTGCGCACAATTTACCAGCGAGAGGGCGTCCGCGGTCTGTACCGCGGCGTCGGACCAGCAATGATTCGGACCGGATTCGGCAGCTCGGTGCAGCTGCCAACCTATTTCTTTGCAAAGCGTCGCTTGATCAAGCACTTTGGAATGGAGGAAGGCATGCCATTGCACATTGCCAGCAGCACCGCTAGTGGCTTCGTCGTCTGCTGCGTCATGCATCCTCCTGACACCGTCATGTCGCGCATGTACAACCAGACGGGTAATCTGTATAGCTCGGCTTTTGACTGCTTGTACCGGACGGTGAAGACTGAGGGGTTGCTTGCGGTGTATAAGGGTTATTTTGCCCATCTGGCTAGGATCTTGCCACACACGGTACGTATCCATAATTTCCCATGCATTTCACTGCATTGCCTGTGTATTGCGTTGCTAATGTGGCATGACTAACTAACTCCTCCCAGATCCTGACCCTCACCCTCGCGGAGCAGACGAACAAAATCATGAGAAGAGTCGAGGACCGAATACTCCCGCCCGGAATTAAGGCCAAAATATAACGCGTAGCCCTACTCACAGCCAAATGGCCCGATGATTGAATATGGGTCGCGTCACTTAGACTTGTATATATACCACACTTTTTTTTTTCTCGTTGTCTTCTGCTGCACTCCATAGCGGGCCAAAATTAGATTTGATGGGTGGGGTTTAGCGGGCTAGGGTTTAGAGGGTTGGTTTATGGATTGGACGGAGTAGGCCTGGAAATGATGGATGCGTGTTACCGGTAACGGCTAGGTAGATGTCGATTTGCGGTGCGAATGAGAAACATACTCATAATATCAGTATTCTATTTTCAGAACAGAAGGAACTACGGATGCGGGTGCAGAATTGAAGTCAAGTAAAGTACAAAAGTGAGTTACGAAGTGAAATACTTAAGCGACGGAGGCACATGGACGTTAATTGCGCTGCGCTTTCCCTACCTATATATGGATGTACTTAGGTATTTGCACCTGCACGTCCAAATGACACGTGTGCAGCCTTTCCGAGTTGTAACCTTGGGACTAATGCATGGCAGACGGGAGATTCCTTTGCGTCCAGGGATTGCTCCATCACATTTATAACCTTGGTGAATGAACACGTCGGATGGGTGGTTGTGCTGTGCGACTAGCAGACTGGCTACTGGCTGTAATGGCAGTCCCATCCCGTCGTACGTTAAACTTGGATATTACATTCGGTATTCATGGATAGACGCCGTATCTGCAAAGCATCTCACAAACATGCCTGCTCGGGAAGGAAGGTTAGCCTCCAGCGGATACAGGCAGGCGCAAGGGCCTCGTTGCCTTTTGGGCGATTGCAAAGCTTGGTGAGTTGTGTGTGTTGGCTGGTGGGCGTTCTTTGTTAAAACTCCAAAGGACTCAGTCTCAGCGTACATCCATAGAGGGCCTGATTCGGCAATGGTGGGTGGCGGTGAGGAAGGAGGAAGGAGTGTTGGATTGTATGGATTGTGCCATTTGTTGAGGAAGCGTAGTGTAGATGTAAGTGTAAGAGGTGACAGAAATAGAAATTTCCTTTTCCGTACGAGATGAAGCTCATGAACGTATCGTACATACAATCCCTCGATGCTGGTCGCTCGTTTAACTTTACCTAGAGATAGAAACACGAATCCGATGAGCTGTGAAGGTGCTTCAAAAATCTCCCCTCCAATGCGCGTGAATAAATTGAAAAAGGTGAGTGTGTTGGTGAGTACTCGTTAAAAGTCAATTATGTAGCTGAAAGTGTTCCGTATCTGCAAGGCATGCTGCAAGACATCAGACCTCGCAGCAAAAGGCGGTCGGTTAGGTCAATCAATTCAAGGACACTCGAGTTTGACAAACGACAAGCGCGGCATTTTCCACGGGTATTCTCCAAGGGGGCCAATTCGAGGCGCCACGGAAGCCGTGCCTTCTTGCATTTACTTTTCTTTTGTTGGGGAAGTCGCAGGAAGAAGCTTTCTGGGCGCTTCGAGACGTTAGTGGAGAATTGAGAAAAAGAAGGCAACCTGGCGCGGACAAGGAGCTGAAAGATCGAGCTTCTCGGACATCCTTGATCGAGGAGCCAATAACGGTGTGCAGGAGACGAACCCTGGGGGCTGGAGGGGAAATGAAATCTGAGGGGAATTGTTGGTTTTTCTTTCTCCGCCTTTTCGAATTGCTTCTTCTCGAGTCTTAAAACATGAGTCTTGCTGCTTTGAGAGAAGGGTGCAGTATTCTGTCCTAGGTGTTTTGGGGACTGCCGCACTACCTTCGTCGACATGGCCGGGATATGGAGGGGGTGAAAGAAGCAATTGCTTTTCATGCAGGCGGAGTTGAGGTGAGCCCTGTACCCTGGCAGTGACATGTTGTCTTTTGCAACGTCGGAAAAGTGTGCAGGATCGCTGGCGGGTACCTGGATGATTGGGGGGGAGGGGGAAGGGGAAAGGAGAGGCCGGTCTTGAGAGAGGCTGGCTCGAAGACAGTGTTGCTCGTTGGAGCATTCCTCCAAAGAGCTTGCTGTGCAGCGCTGGCTGGCTAGCGAGTCACCGACATGCAGACTCCTGGGGAGAAAGACCATCGTGACCACATGGAGATTTTACTCGACCAGTTAGCGCAGTCTTCGTGGTGCTACACGCACAACATGTACAGACAGCCCGACCGTCACCGGTGAACGCCAGTAAGGAGAGAGCCAGAGGGCAGAGTACGTAAGAGAATGCACGAAGGCGCAGCGGTGTCAACGACTTCTCCGCAAAACGCAGTCGCGAACGCAGGCCTGCGGAGACGAGCGAGTCTGCAGCTGCAAACATGTCTCCATGGCTTTCCGAGTGTTTCGCAAGAAAAGCTTGGAAGTCGAAGAGAAATGACATCCAACAGGAGAGCGGTCAGCACAACTTGCCTTGGTCGCCCGTGCCTATTATTTCTGATGGGGAGATCCCCGCTCCAGCCAACACACAGCAGGCATGCAGCGCCTCGTAACCTACAAGTGCTTCGCAATGCTCAGTGAAAAATTTTATTCACTCACTCGTTAGACAGGAGATGGGCGTCAGAGCATCTCTTAGCAACTGTCAAGGAAGCCCAACGTCAGACTCTTAGGAGGTGCTTGATGATGCGCGACTGGGTTCAAGGAGTGAGGAGTAGCATTCTGACATTTCAAGGTAGTAGACGAGCCCCTACTGGGCATGCGACATTTTTCTGCTTCCGTGGGCTTCTTTGCTTCGGTCGAGGCGCCGATGCTTAAGGCCGGATCGTCTGAGATTCGCAGCTCCCTGCTTGCTGGGGGTCTCTTCCCGGATCGAGTCCTGGAGGCTCAGGGCAGGCTGATCAAAACTGGAGCCCAGACAACATCAGCATGTTGGTCGAAGCACCCATGACGATGCAGGAGAAAAGAACGAATTCCACGCTGCAGATCGCGCGCACATCCCATGTTTAAGGCTGAGGTTCTGGTGACAGAAAAGACAGCCGGCAGCGAACCAACTGTTGGCCGCGTCAAATCCGCTTTTCTTGCGGTTGCCCTGTTGGAGGCCTCTGAAAAAACTTGTCGACTCCTGGAACCGATCGACAGAGTCGCAAGCAATTGCCGCCTGCGGACGCCGCTAGATGCGACATGTGAGGGACTAACAGGACCCTGGCCGCTGACAGCCTCATTTCCATTCCACCTTCATGCTCTGAGGAGTTTTTCTCCGCGCGTTGGTGGGCTTCTCCTTTACCTCATCGCCATCGCACGCCATCCTGCGAGGTCGAGTTTTCAGGCCGACGTCTGTGACACTGTCGCGTGTCCGCCTCGTCCGTACTCCATGGCTCCCCAGGACTTGCCCGCCAAGTCAGCGTCTGCCCATGTGTCGAAAAGTGGTCAGAAAGTTCGGTGCAGGGTGGTGAATTGGCGTGTCGGTGGCGTGCGGCTTTGGGCTTGCCTCCAATTAAACCCGTTGCCATGAAAAGGTTTCGCTCACTCGCACAGGGCGCAGGGTGGAGGGACAAGCAAACCGTGCATCTGGGGCTGGTGCTGTTGCTGGGTTCTCCGCAAAATGCTGCCAGAGCTTCGGGTCATCAGACGACTCGATTCCCCCAGGACCCATTAGGTATTATTAGACCGCCTCCACCAATTCACACTTCTACCACACCACCCTCCCACCTCTTCTCCTCCTTCCATGCAGCCTCTTTGCCTTGTATCTCCCCTCTCCCGGTAGCTTGGTGCCTTTTTTATTTCCACCGGCACTCTCCAGCGCCCAAGTGCGTAGCCGGTTGCAGGCTTGAGAAGCGAATCTCGTGATGCCTCTCAAGGGCATTGACACTGCATGCTTTCTCAGCATCCTCATAGCTTGGGTGTAGGCTGCGATTCCAGTACTGCCGGGAGCCCTCACTGTCTGCTAGCTCTCCCGCAGCATCAGACCCTTCTGGTTGGTATCCCTTCGACACTGCATCACCTCCCATTTGGCGTATATGTGCAGCACCAGTCAACGTCGACACGCGAGTATGGTTGGCCGTCGCGGACCGCTCACCTCCTACCAACCCGACAAACGGCGAAGAAAGTGGGCCGACGGGACATGATGCGCTCTACCACTTCTTCGACATCATCACCACCATCAACTTCAGTATCAGCCCTACGGCTCCCCATTCCTACACATGAGGCCGCCAACATTGCTTTTACCTTTGTCGCATCTACCCCTTTGGCCATGACTCTGACGTTCCCACCCCGTCCATCCCCCCCACGGCCGAGGAAACGCTGTCGGGCTGTGACAGACGTTGACGGTGAGTATTCATGTCTGCACAAGAAGAAGCGTAGGCTTCGCCTCTTCCTGATCACCTCCCGACTATCTCCCCAGTTCTCACACCCGGCCACCAACATCGTTGACCGCGGAAGTTCCAAGATTGCCGTATGGGCAAAGCAAAGGGCCCTCGGACGGAACCTACTGCGTAAAGCCGCTATCTTGAATCGTATTCGACGACAAGCGATACAAGCTAAGGAGACAAATGGAGGGCTTGGAAGAGTACTGGTGGAGCAAGAGCGAGAGCAGAAGCAACTTGAGTTGGCACGCTTAGCATTTGTGTATGGAAGTCACGACACGCACACAAGACCAGTGTTGCACAGGGTTCCCTCCGTGAGCCTTGGAGACCATTTCGAGCTATCAAGAGATCCGGCATCCGGACACTCTTCACCGACCCCATCCTCACCGACATCCAGTGATGGTGGTGAAGATGAGGCATCATCATGTTCATCACCCAACGACGCATACTTCTATGCGTCTCCACGTGCTCAGAGTCTTCGAAAGTCATACATTCCGTTACCGCCTTCGCCACTTGGGCTATCCAACTACGATGCTTTTGATCTGGAAGACGAGATCACAAACCCTTATTCTCACTTAGACGAAGAAGATGAATTAGCAGACGACGAGAACATGCACGATGTAGATTCTCGCTCACCGTCCGCAAACACCTCGGCTTCGTACTCGTCGACACTCTCGACCGTTGGTACAGGCCCCAGCGAGGCCGCAAAAACGCCTCCGCCAATGTTCTACTCCGACTTCAGTATCTTAGATCCTGGAGAACCCGTCGTAGGAGACTACGACGGCGTTGATGACGGCGCTGAGGCAATATGGCCGAGCGCCTTGGGCCATGACATTAAGAAAGGGGGCCCGTCAGTGGCTTCATCGGTTGCACAGCCCTCCCTACTCCCGGCGTCTTCGTCGCCAAACTTCTCCGCGATTTTCGCTACCGCGCCTTTGAATGATGCCGTTTCGGTTGGAACCAGCCTTGTCCCGGATACTTCAGCTATCGATGCACTAGCTAAGAAGGAAGCGGAAATTAAGGAGGAAAGAGCGCGACAGAAGAGCCTCATGTTTCTGAAGTTCAACTCATGACATCCGGTGTTCACAAGTAATCACCACGCTTCGCATGGGTCCCCTCCATCACTATTACTATATTTTTCCTCATCATGGCCGCCGCAGCCATTCTCGTATATCGCAGCGCATTGAGTTCCAAACTCACTAACTATTCCTATCACACTTTAGCTGGCTCGGTTGAGTATGGCAACAATACAACACAACACGGCACGGTACGGCACAGGAGAGTAGTTCCTCTCCATCCCATTCCATCTTCACTATCTCCATATCTCACTCGTCTCAAAACGCATCATCATGGACGGCTTGGTCGGTCGGGTTTACTGCATCTACCATAGATGGATCACGAAATGTCGTCTTTCCAAAATGGGGGCTATCTATACAACATCGTACATTTTCTCTGCTTAAATACTCTGGGTATGGGCTCTTGAAGGATCTGGCGTTAAATTGGGTTTAATCACCTTCATCGGTTCTATTTAGGGTTGGAGCTATCGCTAGTGTTTTGGGTTGGGGGTTTTTAAGACTGTCTTTAATGTACTATATCCCTAAGTAGGGGTGTCCGGATTGGAGTGTTATCATTCTCCTCTATTTGCTCCATCTCTATCTCTCATCTCACCTTGACACCTCATTTCCCAGGGGTGATTCATTGACTTGCATCGTAACAATGGCTTGGGTTGGTTTGATGAAAAATTATAGTGCATAACGTCACTCTGTTGAGAGTTTGTTGCATTTACACTAGAGAATAGGTCTGGCCGACCCATTACCTAAAATCAATATAGGAAGCTAGGTTGTTTTATACCATATATATCTGAATCTTACTACTATGTCGCTTCAAGCCATGATATCTTCATCCTTCTCCCTTCATTCCTCATTGAAGCATTCGCCACCCGACCATCTCACTAACGGTCCGTCGTTCTTGACACCCACCGCTTACCCAAACGGACCAAAGTGACCCTAATTTCCAACTCCTCCAACGTGATTAGCTGACTATTATATTGTTAACCCCTTGAAGTGCCCACACTCCATGTCTCTCCCGCCAATCTGACATCTTGGTGGCCGACATCTTTGGGCACGAGAGCGAGAGGAGAAGGACCGAATGTAATATCTAGCGTTGGATATCATCCACTACTCATGTTGCGCGATGCGGTTCTTGGCGGGATGTGTGACCAGAACGGGCAGCCACAGAACACAACACGGGTTGATAGTGGTGGGATTGGTAGGCTGTTAGATGGAGAGAAAATGCGCGTGAGTTGAGGTACGGTTTAGCTTGGTAGGCAGGCGGTGAAACGTTGACAAGCTAGTCATCTGATGTGATGAGGATGAAGAAGCACACATGGCGAGCATTTTTATCTGCCCAGTCCTTGTTGTCCTTAGCTTCAATATGTCTTTAAGCTCTGGATCTATAAACTAACCCCCTGAAGCTGTGGCCTGAGCAGTGGTTGGAGTCGGCAAATGCTAAGGATGTCGTTTGTCAGGTGGCAACACGTTCGACAATTCATACAGTAGCGGTGGTAATAGTGACAACTCATGGACAGGTATTTGTCACTCGCAATGTCGGTTCAGTCATAGCCAGGCGCCACACGCAACGACTCTCGACAACCGGCGAAGAAAACTGGTCTTTATTTTATTTTATTTCTTATTCCTTTGCAGACACTCGGGGTATGAGCTCTGGAAGGCCATAGTACGAACTTGTTGACACAAACTCATCCCTCCACTAATGACGCAATAAACGAGTATCGCAGACTATCATCCATATAAGCCTCTCAGAAAGCTTTAAAAAGCCCTAATATTTGAAATTTCTTCCTTTGTTTCCGGAGGCGGTATGATCAATTTTTCGAGACGATATGAAGAGAGCGCCTAGCGCTTCAAAATGCAGGTGCGGGGGCTGTCAGGAAAAGCACTGGAGGGTTGAGAAAACGGTCTTCGAACCTGGTGTTGTCGGCGGAGCTCGGGTGTTTTAGGGCGGGAGTAAGGAGATCGACAGATGTGTGGAGTTGGAGAGGCTGTTTGTTTACAGGTGCTTGGCATGTAAGTTGCTTTTATAACGACGGAGGGAGTGCTGCCCGAGTGGTCATTCGAACGTTAGTTAACTGATAGATACGGCTGGGCTTCAATCCGGCGACAGCTTGGAGGCTCGATCAGCCGCGATATCACACATTGCCTAGGCATTATGTTAGTTTCTCGGTTCGAAAAATGGGGGAGTGAGACTCGTGTCGGCGAAAGTTGCGCAAGAGGTGAGCCTGGCGATGAGGAAGGCGAATGAGGACACAGGTTCAGGGGGGTAGCAAAAACAACTTACCTGGATCGCTTCCTGGCGCTCGGCTTTGATGTCTCCGCGGCCGATTCGCGCTTTCATATTCTCCATTATGATGGGTCGTGGGCGGCCGTTGACGAAGACGCTGGACACGTGTCAGGAAGTGTCTAATGTTTAATGAAGTGACTGGGAAAGATTCAAGAACGCTGTTGGAATTCGCAGAATGACTTCTAGAAGGAATTAGACTTTCAAAGAGAAAAGACTTACACATATCGCAGTCCCGGAAATTTCGCTTCATACTCGCTATTCAACTTGGCCAGCTGTTCCTTCTCCTCGTCTCCACCCTTCTGCAATTGTGCTTGTTCTGCTCGACTCTGCTCACTGTCGACTTTATTCTCCCCCAGCCGCGGATGCGAGCATAGGATCTCGGAAAGCCTTGTTACATGTCCGGGAGAGTCTGAAGTTGCTAGTGCATTCAATTGGGCATTGATAGCCACGACTAAGGTGTTATATGTTGGGAAAGTCGTAGAGCGGAGGATGGGAAGAGACAGTGTGTGCAGAGGCGGCGAAGGTTCGAAGAGAAGGTCCAAGACTGTGGTCAATTCAGAATCAGGGAGGTGAGACAGACTGTGGATAGGCGGGAGAGATATCATTGTGTCAATGAGGGGAGATACTTAATTGAAGCTGACGGCGTCCGCAAGAGGAGGTGCTGCTACTAAATATATAGTTTTAAGTTCCGCTATCGTAAGAGCATGGCCGAAGCTGTGTTCAATTCTATATAAGGGTTTAAAATGCCCGAAAGACCATGATATAATGAAGATAGCGAGCAATATGTGAGCAAACGAGAGATCTGTGTAACGGCGGGAGCCGACCGGTTACCGCAGCCCCGGAACTGTTCCGAATTCCAGGCTCCACCGGTAATGGGTTGATGAAAAATCCAGAAGGGGCACGAAAGTCTCCTCCTCAGGTGTTGGCGGTGCTGCACGCTGCAAGGGGCAGGAGAATGTCAGCCAAACTTAGACAAGTAAGACGGTGCGATAAGGTGGGCAAGTGTTCACGATAACGGCACGTCCTGCAGATGGCCGGCAGCACCTGCACAAAAGTGCTTTTTTTTTTGTCAATCTCCCGTCGCTGGCCCTCGCCAGTGTGTCATTGGCCCGCGCATTTCTCTGCTGAAAGCTTCCGGTATGGAGCGGCGAAGACAGAGAACGCGTCCTGGCCGCGTTGGCTAGAAATTATTGCAGATGATTCTGTGGGGACTGAGGACTGGTGCATATTTCGATTGCTGAAATTGTCCGACTGCTATGCAGTCGTCTTGGGAATAGATCTATGAGATGTCCTTGGCTGGCACAATGTGCTCAAAGCTTTTTCTTAGATTTTCCGTTAATAATAGCCTTGGTGAGGGATCAAAGGGTAGGCGAAGGGAAAGCTGTGACTTGGAAATTGAAGATGGTGAAGAGGTGGTGGCGTGCTAGGATGACCCTGACTGCAGCCGCTCTGATCGTCGACTAGCAGCTGTGAATGAAGCCTTCAAGAACACGGTGATACATATGCAAGCAGTGCTTGATTCAAGCAGCAACATGGCAGGATATTAATATTCGCAGAATAGAGTGCTCCGCGCAGGCTGGTCGTGGAAAGGTGTCCAGCCGTATGACCCTAGCAATGGCGATATGGCGAGCAAGGCCACCGCGACCTCTTGTGCTTCAAGTCAGTCTTCTGTGACGCGCTGGATCCGCGAGTAGCTCTTCGGGAGAGTGTTGAAGCTGCGCGACGATCCACCGGTCTACATTTCTAAGGAGTGTCCCTGGGACGCCGAAGCCTCAGCAGATGTGCCAATGGCATGGCGATGAATGATAAGCGTGTCGCCTCAGACCGCGCCGTGGTCTTCCGGAAGTTGCACGGCAAACAGCCCTCGGAGGAATTGAAGTACGGGAAATACTTCTTACTCGCGGGCCGCGCTGGCCGACGACGCCATGTTGGAGGGTTTGTGGGCGGCAGGGCGCTAAGAGCTCGTCCAGGCAAGGCGCGAAGCTGAAACTCCAGCTGCATGTGCACCTCCTCCTCCTGCTTGTTCACCACATTTACCCAACGCAAACCCACTTCATTGCCCCTCATCTTCGCAGTCTGTGCCGGCGCGCTGCGAACAACCGCATTTGACGACACATTCACCGTGCTGCTGTGTTCGCCTCCGGATTTCGCAAATGGTCCGTTCCATCCACGTCTAACTGCGCCAACGAGGCCCTGGAACGAACCCCTGACAACGGCGCACAGTCCCAGCAACCTCACCTCTTGTACTGCCCACCGCCGACGGTCTTCACGCACCCGCTCGAGGGCACGCAGAGGGCCAACACTGCCTCTCCCTCACCACCACCGCCGTCGCAATGTCGCTGAACGGGCTCGACGATGCCAAAGTTGCCGAAGCATACCAGGGCGCCTTGGCCGAGGCGGGTGGATGGTAAGAGCTGAATTTTCCTCCCCGCATAGCTGAATGACAACGCTGATGCATTGCTGTTTAGGTTTCTGCTTAAGTACGCCTCGCGAGATGCCGTCGAGGTGCTGACCCGTGGCACGGGTGGAGCTGCAGAAACTCGGGGAGCCGTAGCGCAGTATGAGGAAAAGTCACCGCTGTATGGCTTCTTGCTGTACCGGCGGCGGAAGGTATTGATCAAGTGCATACCCGAGGGCACATCGCGATTGCTGCAAGGTATGTCGAGATGCAATGCAGCACATGGCTGAAGCTAACCTCACCGCAAAGCCCGCGTCGCCGTGCATTTTCAAGCCGTCACAGAAAAGTTTACCCCTCATGATACCATACTCTCCATTACTTCTGGCGACGAGCTCAGCGATGCTGCCCTCATATCCGCCTGCTCATTGCACACCGCTGCACCCTCAAGCTGCTCGTCCAGCGGCTCGTCACGACGGAACAAGCTGGATGAGATCACCGAGGATGTCGAGGAAGGACAGGGAACTCTAGTCGACGCCGTTTCTCCCCCACGACCGGCTACTGCTGCGTCGTCAATACCCACGATCATTGAACCAACGAACGCCGAGGGCAAGATCGAGACGAAGGTTCCAGAAAAGCCAGCCACATCAGAATCGCTCCCACCCCTCTCCACCCACAACGAGCCGAACGCCGCACAGGGTTCCAATCCAACGCTTTCTCACGGAACTATTGAGGCGGTGTCGGAGAGGAATGATCCTGAACTCAAGACGGAAAATTATCGAGACAGTCTGAAGCATTATGACGCCCTATTCGAGCATGGCCCTGATCCGCGGCTCTCTTCCCAGACTACACGTCCAGCATTATCTGATCTCTACTCAGAGCTCTACGCCCAGTATAAACCGAAAGTGAAGTTAGGACCCCGGCCCAGGCCGTCACTGGACAGCAAACGACCGCATACCTCTGGCAATGGTGCTCAGAATCCTGCGCGGCCCGTCTCCTCATTGCCGGCTGGGCTCCGAGTCGCGAGCAGGAAGACCATGGAACCAAGACGACCAAAATCTAGGGACTCGAGCATTGTGCCCAGCATTGCCTTCCCTCCTCCACCACCAGTACCAAGTATCCCGGACATGCCATTACCATCACCAACATATCCGCCAAAGAGCCCCGCTAGCGTTCGATCTATGCCGATTCATGGTTATGGTCACGGGTCGTCCGGAATGACGCCGGAGAAGCGAAGGCTGATGAAGGCTTTAGAACTCCGAAAGAAACAACTGAAGGCTCAAAAAGAGAGGGAGGAAAAGGAAGCGGAAGCGCTGTCTCAGGAGGCCAGCGCCGCTAGTGATGACAGTGTCACCAAAAAAGATGCTCAAGCCGCAGCTAACCCACTCATGGAAACCGTGAATGAAGAGGCTGGCCCCGTAGATAACCCGGAGCAGGAGCCAGCTACGGCATCATACAAGAATGATGAACTGTCCTCAAAGCAGGAGGGGCCGAATCTTGCCAGCAACCAGTCCTCAAATTCCCCAGAAGATTTGAGTGCGCACATGACAAATAGCCACACGGAAACTGATGATCAGCATTCCGCTGCGTCGCCATGCTCCCCAACATCAGCCCAGACTCAAGGATCTTCTGATGCCCCATCTACCAGGCCGTCATCAATATCAGAAGATGACCAGGTTGTCTGTGAAGCGAATGAGAAGCCGGAAAGCATTCAGAGCCTTCCCCATCAAGGGAGTGACAATGCTGCGGAATTATCGCAGAATGAGGATGAGAAGAATTCAGTTGAAAGCTCTCCAACTGTGGTGCCTGATACCGACTCCTCGGTTCCAAGGGTGGAGGTTACAGTCCAATCGAGTGAGGAACCCCAAGGTTCTTCTACCCAGGACGACACTCTGGCCCGGAGAAAGAATAGAGAATCCATGGTTCTCATGACTCTTGGTGACCAGGGCGATGCTCATTCTCGGAAGTCGAAGCGAGAATCGATGATCTTCTTTCCTTCCAATGACCAAGCTCCACATGACGCCTTAGCAAGCAAGAAGGAAAAGAGGGAGTCAATGATCCTATCAGTTCCAAAAAGGAAGAGCTTCGTAGAGGTGAAAGAGAAGCGCCGGGTCATGGTTGACCCGATCCAAATCCATCTGAGTGCCGAAAACTCAGACGCAGAGTACCTTTCAGATGATTCGTTCATGGAGGAACTGCAAAGCGCAAAACTTGAGGAAGCAAAGCCTGTATCAGTGTCTAAATCCCCCATGTCACAGTATTTCCCAAGGACATCGTCAATTTCCGAGGTTACCATACCGGAAAGGTCATCGTCAGCTCAGTACAAACCCGGCCGTCTCACCCCTGACCAATTGGGAGAGCGCAAATCCTCCGGATCCTGGCTTCCGTACGCAAACACAGACAGTGCAGTAACAGCAAAGAAGATCAACGTGTCATCTGGTATCTCGCAGCGGATCAAGGCCCTAGCGGAGAAGTCCACTAGAGATTCGTTAGTATCTGTAAGTCCAATTACGACTCCAGACGCCTCCCATTCGATTGTTGCGCAGCGCAAGTCATCTTTCTTCTCAACTCCCCCAGCTGGAAATTCTCCAAACGGGCTGCCCATCAAACGTCTTAGCCGTGCTTCATTCGCAACTTTGTCCAATTCAACGACTCCTGACAGAAAACCTGTGTTGCAGCCATCCCCTCCTAGTACCGAACAGACTATGTACAATGTCCAAAAGGAATCTGAGAAGCCTCGATCTGTTCAAGTAACAGCACGCATTGTTCGAGACTCCCGTATTCACAAGCCAAGTCTGGCGATGCCAACGGAGAATACGCCCCTGGAGCTACACCAGAGCCCGATCATCATCGATCATCAGAAATATACACAGCCAACTTCTAGTACGAAGCCAATTCCACCGAAGATGGAACCTACTTCGCCACGGCCTCCATCATCGTCACACTCGAGGGAAGCTAGTGCTACATCCGCGCTTCCACGGTCTTCGTCCGAGAGTAGTTGGAGATCGTTCGGTCGGCGGCTAAGCGAGTCTAAGCCTTCCTCAGCTACACGTAGCCAATCTACCCACAGCTTTGAAAGTTTGGACGACAAACGAGAAGAAAAGAAGGATAAGAAGGATTCGAGGACAAGTAAGCTCTTCAAGAGGATGTCATCTATTTCCCGAAAGAACGGTGGGATCAGCCCCGTATTAGCAGAGGAAGACTATCCCGCCACTATGTTACCGTCTCTTCGCGAACCCCCTCCCGCTGTTCAAGTTGGAGATCTCAACGTCCAATTTCCTGACACTTTGGTAAGTATCCCAAAACTCCCGCTTTGAACGTCCGAGAACGCTAACAAAACGTGCAGCTGTGGAAACGAAGATGGGTTGAGGTTGACAGCATGGGGAATCTCGTACTGAGCCTTTCGAGGGCAAATGAGGTATGTGTCCCTCCCCTGGGAAATTTTTGCATTCTATTCACAAGAGGTTTAGCAATCCAAAGGCATAATCAAGCGATTCCACCTCGGCGAATTCCGGACTCCATATGCACCAGACCAGGACCGCCAAGAGCTACCAAACAGTGTCGTACTCGATTTCATCGATGGTCGAACGCTCCAGTGCGCTTGTGAAACTTATGTAGCCCAGATTCAAGTCCTTCAAAGTAAGTGATCATATTCTGCATATTAGCCATGTGTCTTCTTACTCACAGCCTTCTAGTTCTGAGGGAAGCACACGAAGCCTGGCTCGCGTATGGCCAATTAGCATGAACTGTCGCTACAACAAATTCTATCTCATTCGCTCCGTCTTCCTTGCAGAACCTTCTGCATTTTCTTTACCCGCCTTTCACATACCCAAGACTTTTGTTTCTTCCCATTCCAATTGACGCAACTATCTTTTCACCAAGAACACGACCGTACGACCAGCTGGACAGCCTTCTCTTTTGTTGAGTAATGCATCAGGACTGTATAGTGAGGGGGTTTCATTTGATTTGGATTCTTGCCAGAGACAAAAGAAAGGTGCCCTTTCATTGTATCATCATTCTTCCTGTATGGATGCACGTGGTTTATTTCGATTTGGTCCACCGGTGGAAACGCCCTGCATAGCGGCGTCTGGTCTCATGTTTTTCATACCCAACTTTTATTTTTAGTTATCTCTGAAAGTCGGAGGTTGTCTGGCTAAAGGAGGGATTCTACGGCTGCAGAACGGCCGCTACAGGAAATTGTGAAAGGGTCCTTAGTATCAAAGGGGAAGTGTAGGGAAGGAAAAGGATTCGTGATAACCTGTATAATATTTAATGCTGCAACAAGAGGCAGTTAAGACTTCAATCAAAAGGCCGATGAATTGCTGAATTGTTGGAAAATCGCTTCTGCCTGCCGTTATGCTCCATCGTGCCTGCCCTTTTCGTTGCTCGGCCTTCGAGTATCACGTTAACTTACTACTTTCTAGGTGCGTAGAGCCTACTACACGTAATAATTAGCCCCCCCGATATGCTGCCAAGGGTGGTTACGTGAATGTTGTCAATTTGTTGCTTTCAACAGGCGCGGTTATTAGTGAAAGGCTCCGCTACGAGGGCATCTTAAAAGACGCCGCTCGTCGGCGCCAACACGATGTCGTAAAAAAACATTAATACTGGATGGCACAGGTTCGAATAGCGTAAGGCTATTTTACAGGGTGCTGCAGTGAAAGAACTCCATGAAATATATAACACGTATGATAACACGTACGCAAAGTATCTCGCCATTAAAAGAGGGATTTCTGAGATCGCGTGCGTGGCCATGTCCTAGTTTGTGATGGATAAAACTAGGAGCGTGCTGAGGCTATTGGAACTTTGTGAGGTTTCGGGGGCTGTTGAACAGTTTTTCCAAGAAAGGGGCGTATTTAGCAAAGCATAGGATATACATCTAGAATTCATATCGCCATCACAATGGGTTGTTGGGAAAATAATATACTGCACCTTCCTATCCAATAGAGAACATGGTCAGGATGGAGTTGGTTTATTAAGCATCTTACTAGAATTAGGGGACCAATACGATTAAACTCTGTGCTATATTATCTCCTGGTCATGTTCCAGATCACTTAATAAGAGGCAGTAGTGTTAGCATCCGCCCCCAGACTCGCACGGATTATTGGCGAGTCTTCACGAGTCTACAGCGAACATTAGTACTTCTCTTTGTAGCCCTAGTTCAACACCAATCTCACAATAGCGAGCCCCCAGCAACTCCACCCCAACCCCCTACCCCTCAAGCGTATTTCTTCGATTCCTTTCTAACCTCACGTCCCTCCTCCCTATCGTAACCTCGAGCGCCTGAGTCAACGCCTTCTCGTCATACCTCAAAAAAGGCTCGTCCCCCACCCTTCTCCCATACACTCTGATACACTCAACCCCCAATTCCGCCAACTCTTCTTTATCTACCCTCGGCGTACCCTGACCTTGCAAATGTATCAAATGCGTTACATACGCTTTATACTCCCTCTTCTCCACCTCCCTCACAAACCCGGGTCCACGAGATGATGCCGCCGCCTTGGCAATTGCGGCAATGAAGTCTAGGGCTGTTAATGGGGAGCTAGAGGGTCCGGTTTCCCGGTCATTAGTGCTATTCAAAATCAAGATTTTATACCGAATACTCGCCCTCGCTAGCGCTTCTCCTACGCCCTTTAATATCACACTCGGGACTATCGAGGTATATAAAGAGCCGATACTGTAAATAACTGCCTGCGCTGAGTCTAACGCATCAATGACGCGCGGATTCGCGGGTGGGCGGATTTCCTGGCCATACGGATTGATGTACCAAATCCGCTCGATCCTGGCGGGTAAATCCTCCTCGCCTTCTTTCGAAAAAGCGATATATTGTTTGCGGAGGGTTGGTAGGGAGCCCGGGAGATTAGCGTCTTCAATGCGGTCGTGCATTTCAGTTTCTTCGTGTTCGGAGGGGTTGGGTTCGAGTGGGGAAGGGACAGAGGGGTGTGAGATGCTGTTTTGCCCGGTTATGGTGATGAGGTTTTGGAGGCCCGCACTGATGTGGTGTGTGTGGTTTGTGGAGATTGCGGGGAGGACGAGGGTATGCGAGGGGACGGAGCAGATGGAGGAAAGGAGGTAGATGGCGGATTCGAAAGAGCCGGAGAAGAGGCGCGCACTGGGTGGGGTGTTAGATTTAGAGAACCTAGAGAATGGAAAGGAGATAGAAATGACGATCTGTGAGAGGAAAGTTCAAGGATGGGGTCTGAGGGATAAGGAGAGTAGGATAGTTTTGTAGAAATGGAAGAAATATTATGACAATGTAATGGGATCACGTTAATCGATCCCAGATGGATATTTAGAGCGATGAACTGCAAAGCAACAGAAAAGTAATCTCGACCAAAACTCACCCAGTCAAAAACAAATTACCAATACTCGCGCTTGAAAAGTTAAAAGTAGAACTCGGCCGCAACCGCTTCAAGATCTCGAAATTGATCAGGTTCAAAAAGCTCCTGATCAGCTCTTTCTTCGCCGTTGAGATATTTCCCCACAGAGCATGATTAGCTTCGACAATTTGTAACCACTCTTGTTTGGCGAGTTCTTTGTCTTTGGGAAGCCGGTGGTTGAAGAAGATCTTAATTGCAGCTTTCTCGCTGTCGTCGTGATCAGGGTCGTCGGGGATTAGACGGACGAGGCGAGAGCGCACGTCGCCGATACCTGTATTCAATCAGTCTCTAGCTTATATAGTAGGAAGAATTGGTTATTATCGTGGGTATAGGTACCTGGCCCCCCAAACACTCTTATCAACTCCGACGAACTGCCGCCATTGTCGGAAATAGGGATTACATAGCTTAAAGGACATCTCTTGTTTTCACGAACAGTTTTGAAGACATCGACGAGATTGTTGGCGGCGCTGCCGCCGGAGAAGACGACGATGCCTTTCGGTTTGATACTATTGTTCATTGTTGATGTAAGGTGCGGGAGAGAAGGAGAGATGACGTAGGAGTAGAAGCAGACCGCAGGGAGCGGTGGGAGATTTATTGTTAGGCCATGCTGGGTTATTGACAGAGTGACATTTAGGGGATTGATGTGTAGGTGTCTTCTTTAACTACATGCCGGTGGTTGGGCAAGGGAAGGGGAAAAGAGTCATCGCTAGATGCGAAGTTGGGGTTACCAGATTAGGATAGCCGCAACATCAATAGTATATCAATGGCACCCCACAATATGCACGTAATTAGATACTATCTCAAGGTTGATGTGTATACGGCGCGTTGATGCAGTGTTTGTAAGATACTTTTTATGGTGGATTTGAGGAGTTTGTACACGTTAGAGTCCCCGGCTCGGATGTCATCATCACTCCTTGATGGCCACATCCGCTCATCTCATTTCTCGTCCTGTCTTGCAAGGAAAGATACTAAGTGTGAGTTCCAGATGTACGCAATGCCTTAGCACGCATCACGGCCTTCGCCGCCTTCAATTCCCGCCCAGCTTTCTGTACCGCAACATGCCACCATCAGCTCTACGAAGCTCCTTCCGCTCGCGTTGCCTCCTCCCGCTCCTTCCTTCGTGCCCGCTTCTCAAGCAAAGCATCTCGCCGGTCTGCCAGCATCTTAAATTGTCGTGCCTCGACGCCCATGAGCCAGTATCCGAAGCTGCCGCCGATGGATGCGTATACGGGATACACCCAGAGCGATTCTTTGTTGAACAGTGGTCGCATCTCAATGCCGAGCTGCCATAGTCGTACGCCGACGCCTGTGTGAGCGGTCAATCGCAGTCAGCTCCAGCTCGATGTGTAAGTTTGCGGGGAGGCGGTGGTGGGCCAGAATGTGCGGTGTGCGAAGTGGTGAGATATTTACCGAAGCCACTCCAGAACAGGACCTTGTGAACCATGACTGAAGTTTGAATTTTAAGTGTCGGAGAAGTATAGAAATGCTCTGGGACGATAATTGAGCCCGGGAGTGGTGTATTATCGTGGCGATAAGGGGCGGTGGAGGTTTGGGTGTTTTGAGATCGCGTCCCTTGTGGCTGCTGGGATGGGCCTTGGGGTTGGCGTGAGGTTCTTCGCCCGGCGCGGCGTCCATCAGAGCTTGGCTGGTCACGTGCATTTGCCAAGAAAGGGGATTGCATGTGCAGAAGGAAACACGTTTCCCCCGTTCGGAATCTTTGTTGATTCGTTTTCTACTCACTGCTCTATTGACTGCGACCCTCACTACGCTGCGCACGATCACTTCTCACTTTTGCGTGTCGCCGTCACTCCACCCAGCGAGCTCTTGTGCCGCAGCCAAGTCTCGGCGCTCCGGGCCATCAAACCACCGTCCCCTGCCTTGCATCTTGTTCGCAGCGACGCCGCCGTGAATATTCACAACTTCGATCAACTCCCCCTCACGCCTACGACTCAGCCTCCATGGCTGAAGTCGGCCGTAAGCACTCGCTCGATGGCGATAGCCATGGGAACTTGCCTCCGCGCAAGAAGTTGAAGCTGTCGGACCTGCCCATTTCACAAACCAAGCGATCCGCAATCGACAATCTCCTCCACACCTTCAGGAAGAAGGGCGAATATGATTCGATGCGCAAGCAGCTGCTAGCGCAGTTCGAAGCTGATGTATGTATATTCACGCTAGGCGGGTTCGTAGCTAACCTCTGCGCTCTGCAGCCCGTGAAAACCGAACTTCTCACCGCCCTGGAGCAGCTCGTAGATCGCGAAACCGACCGAGATCCTAGTCTGCTCTCCAAGGAACCACGGGTTGCCGCGACGCTGATCGAGGGTGCTGGGGAGCGCGGCGACATCTATAATCCAGTCTTGGCCGCCATTGATTCTATGATTGACCAACTGTTCGCAACTCAAGGTACTCCTAAGATGCGCGAGTTTAGGATCAAGGAGGTTGGTGAGGAGGCTGCTGCCGAAGAGGAAAAACGTGGGAGTAAGAGTGACGAGGATTATGCCAGGGAAGCGAATGCACGACGAGGGGAGCGAGCTGCAGTACGAGAAAAGGAGCTTGAAAAAGAGCGCGAGAGGGAGCGAGAGGACAGAGTGAGGGAGAAGGAGAGGAAGCGTCGTGAGAAACAGGAGGAAGAAGCCCGTGAAAAGGAGCGGGAGAAGGCACGCCAAGAACGTGAGGAGCGGAGACGTAAGGAACGAGAGAGGGAACGAGAAGAGCGTGAGCGGGAAGAGGAAGAGCGTCAGCGTATCATCGAAAAGGAGCGAGAAGAGAGGCGGGAGCGAAGGAGGCGTGAAGACGAGCGTCGCCGGGAAGAGTCCCGGGAGCGGGAAGCACGTCGAAAGGAACGAGATCGAGAGCGTGACCGTGGGCGTGATAGAGACCGCGAACGAGGCCGCAGCCGATCACCAATTCGGGGTAGAGGACGAGAAAGGCGGAAGACTCCGACCCCGGAGCCGGTGAAACCTATTGACCTGGATGACATCAAGGTTGATGATGACTTAGCATTGGAGGCGCTTCTTCAAGAGAGTGAAGAATTGAAAAAGTCTCGACAGAGGCCTGCCCTAGAGCGGTCCGAATCCCTCGAACCACCCATGCGCAAAGCGCTCCCGCCCAAGTCTATTGTTCCACGAGACCCTACTTCGGCCAGGCTTGCCAAAATCGATTCAAAGCCTCAGTCACCTCTCAGCAAATCCCCAATCAAGATGGAGATCAAACTAGGCACGCCGCCTGCTGTGCCAACACCACCTACAACGACTGCACAAAACGAAGACAACCCCAAGGAAAACGCAATTGCAGCTGAAAAACTGGACGAAAAGACTGCTGTGAAATCAAGGTGGGACGTGGCATCAAGAACCGAAGAGAAACCCCGTGGCCGTTCCCGTACAAGGTCCCGTAGTGTCGAACGCAGCTCGAGCATGCGCAAGCACAGCCGCACTCGCTCCCGCTCACATGCCAGCCGAAAAGACGAGAGACGCTCATCTCGTTGGGAGGATGATCGGAAATCTAAGCATCGTGACGATGACCACCGATACCGGGCTCGCGACGACAGCAGACGTCGAGACAGGGATGATCGAGATGATAGACGTACTCGCCGCGAGGACAGAGATTCGAGATATAGCCGCAGCCCGTCACGAGAAGCCTACTCTAGTCGCCGAAAGTCTCGATATGCTTCACGAAGTCGTTCCCCATATGATCGCCGTGATAGCCGTAGATACCGATCTCGATCTCGTTCCCGTGGGGCCCGTCGCAACCGCGAACGTTCATCGTCTCGTCGCCGATACCGCGCACGCTCGCGAAGTCATGATGGTATCGATCGCTATGTTCCTGGAGGTGCAGCCGCAACAGCACCCCGTGACCGAGACCGAGACCGAGACCGTGGTGGCCGCGACCGGGAAAAGTCTAGGTCTAGGTCAAGAGATAGGACTAGGGAGAGGGAATTTAGGAGGGGCGGGACCCGGATCGAGGCTTCTGATCGTTACCTACCTGGTCGAGGAAACGGTAAGGACGATGATAGGGACCGGCGTCGGCGCGACCGTAGTCGAACGAGGAGCCGGAGCCGGAGTCGTAGGAGGTGAGAGGGTCGAAACATTTCAACACCGGTGTATTAGTACATACCGAGTTCTACGATGAACATTCTGGTGTGTTACTCAGGTTCTCCTACCGGATCATCTCAGCACCCACATTTTGATGGGGTTATGTTTCTGCCTTGAATGTAGTTATTTCGGATACGAAGGATCTGCGGTGGATTTCAGATGCGTTTGACTTTATCATAAAGGATATATGGGTCAGAGTCTTATTTCTCATGATACCCCTGTCTCATTCTAAATCTGGCCTTCCTCTACATGTAAAACATGGATCATCCTTCTCTATTACCCTTTAATTCATCTTAACACTCCTCAGTCTGATCTAGTGATGCTGAACATGTTCACGGATTACATACTGACGGGTATGTACGTCATGGGTTTCATCATTGTGAACTTGGACCGAGTTCAGTTTATGAAAATTGCAACTCCAAGATATGCATACATCTCCCAGACGCCGTGCAATGTAACCCCTCTCAGATCGATCATCAGTCGACGACTCCTCTCACCCTCAAACATGCGCCCTCTCACCCAACATCTACCCCCCGCCTCTGCCCAAAATCTCCTCCCTCTCCAAAACCTCCTGCTTAAACTTAATCAAAAACACCGTCTTCCCGGGCCACATCCCCCCACCCGCACTCGCACCCCCCTCCTGCTCCGCCACACTATGTGCGCTCACGCCCTCTGTCGCAAACCCCGCACCATCACACACACCCTCAATAATCCCCGCCACAAACGCCGCACAGTTGAGCTGCGACATTTCTCTGGGGAGCGAGATGTATTGATTTACGAGGGGTTCGTTGTCGTACAGCATAAACTGCGAGGCATCGGATTCTGAGCGTTCGAGTGCGTCGGCGGGGCGCCCGAAGAGGTGACGCCAGAGCGTTTGGGCGATGAATTGGAGGAGCGGGAGGATGCGGGTGGGGCGGATGGAGGAGAGTGGGTTGCTGGAGCGGGAGAGGAGGAGGTCTAGGAGGCGAAGACCGAGGGGGTAGCCTTGGTTGTTTAAGCTGGGGATGGGATTAGTAGGGGGTTTGGTATTATAGCTGGGTGGGAATGTCATAGCGTTGGCTTGAGTCGAGATAGCTGAGGCCATAGAGGAATGTATGGTGTAAATATGTACATGCCGTTTCTCAAGATCTGCAATTCCTCGTACACGCTGTTGGGCGTAGGATATCATTTCTACGAACAGGTATGCGAATGCCGCGCGAGAGAGCTCGGCATTTTTTGTCCGGTTAAGGTTGCGGTCGTATATTGTTTTCTTGTTTGACGGGTAGCGGAGCCCGGTAGGCTGATTCTGGGCCCCGCTCATTGCTGTCGTTGTGCTAGAATGTAGTTACAGATGTGGTGACGAAGGGGTGTAGGGAAAGGAGAAAGGTATAATGGGTGGTTGAGATCGAAATTGTGCAGGGATGGTGTTGGTCTGTGGAGGTTGAGATTGGCGGATAAGAAGTGATGGGAGTGTGGTTTGCCCTCAGACTTGGTGCACGGTTGGTGGGACGAGGTCTCTCAAGAACGCTTGACTGATTGGGGCTGGTGCAGCCAAGACTTTTGAACTTCACTACCTCACCCCCCACTAATCTTGGAAAGTTCAGCCTCATTACGTCTTCTTGAATGAGTAGAATCATACTCGCGCCTCATCTATTCCCGTGTTGATGTATTCTCCTCACATTTCAAGCCATTCTGATACTTAATAGATATTATGACTGTTATGAAGGCATCTTCACATGACGAACCTAAGGTGCCTCCACTAGGACATTTGAGCTTGTTGGATACTTTGGTGACCGTGGAGTCTGCCTGACTTCCCGTCGGATCGAACTACGAGGATAAAAGGAGGTAGGGGTGGCTATCAAGACCTCTCGAACCTCATCACGTACATATGCATCCTTTGTCCAAACAGGCATGAATACGGAAATAGTGGTGAAAAAAAACATGATTAAATATATTCATCCAGATAATGAAGCCGATACCCAAAACATAATTGAGATATTAACATATCACACCTGACACTACCATCTTCCACGTATCCCCTCCTTACAGCGCCAGCGTTCGAATCCCATACGAAGCCGCTGTCTTGACACCCGACTTCGCAAAGTCTTCCGCCATGTACTTGCGCACTAACTCGGCATGCTCCTTCTCCTTGGCTTCCGCATATGGAGGATCTTGGAGTGGACAGTTTGTGCTACGCTTCGGCCCGGGGCACCTGTGGAGAGGGGCATTATTATCGCTGCACATATGCACGCGAGAGTTGAGCTTGCATTTGGGGTCGACGCAGGTGCATGGGTGGTTCGGGTCGTCGCAGACGTGACTAGGTGCGGTGATTGGACATTTGGCGTTGTAGCAGGGGTGGTCTGGTGCGATGTGGTGGTGGTGGTTGTTGCCGTAGATGCGGACGCGCTTCATGCGGCGATGGGGCCTCCTGTTGTGTGCGTGAGATGGCGGATTCTGCGGATTCTGTGTTGGGTCTTGCGACTGGCTGGGATTCTCTCCGAGGGGTTTTTCGTCGTCGTCGCCCTCGGGGACGTCGTCGTATTCGGAGCCTGACTCGTAATCGACCGAGTCGTCGTTATGGTCTGGATAGTCTGGATGGTCGGGGTTGTGCGGCATATTATTTGGCGCAGTGTGGTACGATGGGGGGGGCGGCATAGCAGGGGTGACGTGGTTAAGAGAACTGAACCAGTTTTTGGATAGTGGCGGCGCAGCAGGAGGCACCCCAGGAGTTGCCATTTCCGCACCAGTAGGTGGTTTGGGATGCTTTGGATAGCAGTATTTCCAGATGAAGTAGCTGGCTACGAGCAGAATCGCAAGACCGCCAACACTACCTCCCGCTAGGCCGGCGGTTTTGGCTACATTTGAACCGCCGCCGGGGCCACCCTTACCAATACCCACGGTGCAGTTTTGAGTCGGGAGGTCGGACTCAACGCCCACGACAAAGATGGAGTTTTTGCCGACGTTCTTGGCTGTAACCCTGACATCAATGTTCCCATCACCAGGTGAAACAATGTTAAGAGTCGAACCGGAAAAGGACGTATGTCCACTTGCAAGTACACTCGCACCGGACTTGACCTGCACGTCGAGGTTTCCCGCGTCTAGGCTCTGGACGGTAAAGGTGAGCTTCTCCTTTTTCCTTGCGTAGTACGTCATAGTCTGCGTCTCGGAGCCGGAAATGTAGTGAGAAGAATCGAGACCGGCAAGTAAGACAGACGTGTCGCCGTTGGGATTGTCATTCTTGGTCAATCCGTTGACGATTATTCCGTTGATGAAGTTATTAGAGCTCTGCGCAGCTGAAATGGTAAAATAGCGGCCCCCAGAATTCATGATGGCGCTGAGGACGCTCTTGTCTTGATATGAGAGACCAGAGCTAGTGGAGAGAAAGCCAAAGGATACACGGATGCCTACTTTTGCTGCGTTATTTATTTGATCCACGAGGAGACGGACGCTGGAGTCCTGGAGATAATGTGAGCATCTCCAAACACGATGGCAAGGCACAACATACCTCTCCGTCGGTGAAGACCACGATACCACTTCGGTCTGCAGTTGCCCCCGTGCCGTCGGCCGTAAGCTGTGCGATGGCCATCTCCACACCGCTGGCGATATAAGTCCCCCCAGTGATAGAGATATTTGCCACGGCGCCATATGCATTCGCGGGATCACCAAGCGCGTAATCAAGAGTAGCATCGTCGCTAAACTCAATCACGGTCACGGCGTCTTGCTTCTTGTCACTAGTTGCTTCTCCCTGTGTGATCAGCCAGTCCAGGACGGACTTGCCAGCAGCCAGACGCAGATCGAGAGGATCAGACGAGAGCATGGAGTACGAGGCATCGATGACAATGGCGATCTTGCGGTCGCCATTGTTAGACTCCGCACTGAGGCCGAAGCACTGTGGAGTCGAGGTTCGAGGTACTAGGTAGGCGTTAGAAACAGCCCCAAGAAGGGCGACGAACGTAATGAACAGCATCGGGGATTTCGATACCGCACTCGCACTCTTGCAGAATGGGGTCTATCTCTCAGAGGTGACCCCAACTCAGGGGGACTGCAGCCCATATCACAACTTGCCCTTGGACTCACCTGACCACGCGGGCTGAGAGAGGAGTTATAGGCAATTTTGTGCCACGGCGAAACCCAGCCAAACACGGCCCATGCAAATAATGACAGATGTGAGAATCTTCAAGGTCGCCAAAAGCAATAACAGAGCGGAACTGAGGACGGCACCTTCCAGGCAGTCGTGAGTCTTCCATTGGCCGGCAAATATGTTGCAAAACTTTCTCTTGCGATGCGGTTCCATATCTTGAACGCGTTTCAGCATGCGGTCACAAACTCGCTTGTATGCTTGAATAATCGTGGCGCGGGGTGGAGCTAGGCAGAAATACCCGATCAAGCGCTCAGCCCCAGATAAGCGAGTTGCAGCAATGGTAGATTTCCTTTTCCGTCGTCGGGACCTGACCATGGGCTGATATATGATAATTGATTTGCGGCCCGATGCCGCATTCCGACGGCGTGAGTTGGACGGGCTGGGTTGCTGCCGCCGTGGCTGGATCAGACTTTCTCCCTATGGCGTCGAGTCCCGACTAGCCCAAAGTGAGACTGCAGGTGGAAAAGTCTTGGCAGATACAACATGCATTGCTGTGTGGTTTGGTTTGGACTCAGAGGTCTAGCTGGCGTTGCGGTGAAGCGCGAGCGCAGCGACGCCTGGGCGGCTTCTCGTCGGGGTTGTCGTCTGGTTGGTCCCCCGTTTGATGCTTTCTTTTCCACCAAGGCTTTCAAGGGGTCGAGGAGGATGTGAACCTGATCTTCAGGTTGACGCCGTTCGCGAGACGGCTTATCGCAGGCAAGGCCAGGGTTCGTGTCCTGTAGACAATCAGCCGTATTATGTGACTGCTGTTATTTCGGAAGACATTCAGCTCGATGTGGTAGAACCAGAACATATATATCCTACCTCCCCCCTCCCCCCAACAACCATAGCCGCGTCACCAGTCTTCTTCCTTCGTCCTAGGTGTTTATCTTGTCTTCTTGTTCCTCTAACATTCTGACACCTTTCTAGCACAAGCCTCCTAAATCGCTCGGACATGTCTTCAAATGGGTATTCAGTCGTCCCCGTGCAAAAAGCCTTTATGGCCCTGCGCATCGTCCAGGTCGTCTTCAGCATCATCGTCTTGGGCATGGCTGCCTATGTGGTCTCTCTTACCAGCGGCTACGGTTCCGCTTACGTATTCGAAGTATGCACTCCAGCTCCAGCTCTTCTTAACAACTAACCCATATAGCCTGGCGCGCTCGGAATCTTTACCGTCATCGCCACTTGGATCTTTGTTGCCTATTGGTTCTTCGCCAACAGCGCCTCGGGCCAGAAACTGTACAACTACTGGGCCATCTTCGCCGTAGAGTTCTTCGTATGGGTCTTCTGGCTCACCACTTTTGCCCTCTATGCTTCGTACGCCTCTAGAATGCTTTCTGTGGGGGACTCTAGCAGTAGCAGCAACAGCAACAGCAACAGCGGTCATGGAGAGTTCTGCTACTCGGGGTATTGTGCCAGCTATAAGCGTGGACTCACCAAGCGATATTATGCTGTGGATACGGTGTCTGCCACAATTTACACTGCTCTTGCCCTGTCGGTCGTTAACTTGTGAGTGGCACGCAGGAATACTACCATCAGCCCCAACTAATTGGACAAGCATCCTCTTCTCGGTTACGTTGACGCTCTACACTATCAACATGTTCCGTCACCGCACGACGTTCTCTACGGTTGAGTCGGTCCGCCAGCCCCAGGCCCAAGCTGTTCCCATTCCTGCCCACAAGGTGGAAATGGCTTAGGTTTCGGTGATGAGGTGGATTCAATCCTGGCGCGGAGAGGTTCTAATGTCGTGCTGTTGGGTAAAAGTAACGATAGCGGGTTGCTGAGATGCTGTCTAATGTTGTCAGGAGTAATGTTGGCTGCTTGCTCAGATTGTAGCGATGCTGGTGGTTGTAATCGAGAGGGATTCAGGAGATGACTGCAATAATCCAAGACGGCTTGGCGTGACGTAATCTTGTTCTCATATGACTTTCATGTCATCACTCTCCAACACAATGTCCTATCTGTAGCTGTAAGCCTAGGAGGGCCATGAGTTATGAGAGAAGTGATGTATTAGGTATGTGATATGTATGCGACGTGGACCGAAAGCCCGAGATGCAATGTGACATACTAAATTTAATCAGCCGACGCACGATCTACTCTAACGCACGGAAATTGCCGTGCAGCAGCACTACAACTTAAAGCTCTAGAGCCACATATAAACTAGATCTAGTTCTAAATATTTAGTATATTAGGAAGTTAATAACAGCAATTAATTTAAACCTACTATCTAGTTACAGAAGCGTTGTGATGACAAGCACTGTCTCTACTACTACTGTACGGAGCGAGGGTGTAACGATTCGCTTGAATCGTTCCATTCAAAGTTACCTGGCGAACCTATATCCAAAGGTTCCGCGTATCTGCCCCGACCCTGCCCTGCCCCCTGCGCTACCCCTATCTCCAAGTATTTAGCTGCACCTCTCCCCTTAGCTAGCTCGGTAGTTTTCTGATATCCTTCCGTACAAGGCCTATATGTGTCAATGGAATTCCCAGGTTCTGAGTCCCCACACACTCCCATATGCCTCTGAGTGGATTCACACCGCATTCGGACCCGCTGTATTGCCTGCACCGTTACATTTAACCTAGCTTGTTTTATAGTAGTAAGCGTTATTACTATTAAAATTAATAACATTAAGCCTCCTCTAGCTGCGCTGCGTAGACTGCTTATCCTAAGGGGATATGTAAAGGTTTACAATGTAAGAAGTATTAAGCAGGAAGCATAAGGTACAGAAAGGGAATGCAGGATAGGGGGGTGTAACAAGAGTAAACCTTAGGATCAGAGGCAGAGGTACAGAGGCCGAGGAGTCTATATACCCCGTGCCAAGCCTAGGGTACTCAGGGGTTGGATAGCTGTAACATAACTGTGACATTAATAGACAGATCTTTAAAGAGACTTACAGGGTTAACAAAGGATATATTTGTACTAGAGCATCTGACAGGACGTCATGTGCCTAAGGCTGGGCTAAGGGCTCGTTAGAGTGAGTCTAAGGCCTGTCCGAGTTAGCCGTGACACTCTGATGATGCGAGTGAATTTTGTCCCTTTAGTCACCCGTAACTCAGCACAATCCCCATTTGCCAGTAACCCGACACCAACGCCAACAAGTCAAGACAAACCTAGGATTAAGATTCGATGAAGAATATTCATTAACTACCGTAGGATCACCATGGGTAACAGCCTATAACAAAGAGTCAAAAAAAAAAACCCCTCCCATCCATTCACCCATCAAAACCCTTTCCCCTCTCCTAGTCCCCACCCTCTTCCCTACTTCGGCAACGCCAACAACGCAAACATCCCCCCCATCACCGGTCGCGCCTTAAACTCAATCCCAGCGGGAAATTCGCCTGTAGCCGTCTCATACAAATCTGTAAATGGCTTACTAGTCGACGTCTCATTAACCCACTTCGCCAGATCCGAGATAAACATGTCCCTCGTCTCCTGGGATGATATCGCCGCGACGAAGACCTCCCAATCGGATTTTGTGTACTGGTTTCGGGTATCGAGGGGAACGCCATAGGTAGCTTTGGTTGTGGGGTAAAATGCTGATTGTTGAGTGTAGATGGAATCTGGGACGAGGTTTGTGCCGAGGAGACGGTCGTTGTACAGGTTGTATAGTAGGCCGTGAGTGTTTGGGTTTCCGTAGTTGAGGATTGAGTGTGCGGGGTTGGCATTCTTGTTATTGCCGAGGTCGATCCATTTCGTGATGTAGTCATGTGCAATGCTGGTGTAGTTCTTTGCGTCGTTGGCCTCGCCGATTAGTGAGGAGATCTGGGACATGGCTTCGAGACCAATGATGCCTTTGAGCGCGAGATTTGTCTGGTTAACGAGGTGGCCCGCGAAGTCGTCTGTGGAGAGCTGCTCAGATGGATATAGGCTGTCTTCGACTAGGTATTCGGCCCATTGTTGCAGGATTGGGTAGTGGTGCCTTAAGTAATCTGTGTTCTTCGACCGCTGCGCATACGCAAGTACCATGACTAAATTGTTTCCACACTCCTCTAGAGGCATCGGCTCATCATTCCCGTCCGGATGACCAGTAGCGTTCGGGTAATGAGTGCCAAGATCGTGAATCGCCCATTTGTTTGGATAGTGGCCAGATTCCTGATTCTCAAAATGGGGGTCGAGGAGGAGTCTGAGAAGCTCTGGGTTTAGGTACATGAATATCGGGGACGCCGGGTATATAACGTCCACAGTCTGTGTGTTGCCGTTGGAGGAAATTTCCTTGAGGAACAGATAGCTCTTCTCGGCCGTACCCACGAGTTGAACGGCTCCAAAAGCTTGGCGGGCGGCGAGAGAGGTTAAAGTCAGATAGTCTTGGCCGGCGGCTGCGATGGAGTCCCTGGAGATCTTATCGTCAAGTTGGGACGAAAGTGTGCTCGATTCCGAATAGTCTTTGTGGAAGAATGAAAGCTACCTCAAGTGTTAGCACCTTGTCCCAAACGATGATCAACATTTGTATTCAGGTTAAGTTCTAAATGATTTAGACAGCGAAATCCTGACAAACCGGCTCTAGCATTTTGGAGAATTGAATTTGTAGCTAGTAGAGGTGCATGCTTTTGTCAGGGTTGTAGAGTGTGAGCGTGAGACTTACGGCTGCTAGGTCATCACTAAAATAGCTCTTCCAGAGCGACGGAAGAACAGCCAATCCATCTTTCCCGAGAAATTGAATAGCCTCTTCCTGGCAAAGACCGATCGAAAATAGGGTGGAAGTTGCCGAGGAGCCCACAGATCCCAAGTTAACGGCGTGTGCAAATACGGGCCAGTTGGAACTGATCGCACGAAAATTGCTGTCCTTGGAATTGGCAAGCTTTCCTCCTGTCGCGAAAGCACCGCGAACGTCGTTGTCAGGACCGGATTGATACGTCAGACTCTCAGCGGAGTCGGTAGCGTAATACTGTATTTGTTAGCAAGTGGATGAGATTCAGTACTGCAAAGGATTACAATATTCCCCCATTCGCTTTGGTCGTTCTTCTCCGAGAATAGCATCTGAGTCTGCTTCCACACCTTATGGTATGAGATCCCGTCCGTTGTACCAAAATCCCATTGTGCAACGTCGCCATGATCACCCGAAATCCATTCTGGTGGAATTGTCAGCCACGCGAATGCCATGTGCTTGGTGACACAGATACCTACCGGCGGAAATATCGGTATACAGCTGTACATCATGGTTTGAACCATCCAATGATGAGACCTCGACCTGCATGTATGAGAAGATCAAAGACTGGCGCTTGAAGTCCTCTGGAGTGAGCGGAGAGAGGAACGTGACCTTCATAGACACTTTGCCATCGACTTCAATCGTAAATATGCTCTTAGTAGAGGTATATTCGTAGGCTGTTTGAGTTGCCGTCTTGATACTCTTGGGGGCTCCCATCCAGGCAAAAGCATTTCCATCGACACGGATCAACCCAGCCCATCCAGTGATCTGCCCACTAGTTCCAAAGTTAGAACAGAGCCTCGGTGATGGAGAGATACAGGTTCTTACGTCCAGAAAGTTGGCCACTGGCCGGGAAGATAGCCTCCATTACCCCCGTTGCTGCCAGCTGGAAACCATGTGCTGAGATACGGGCTCTTGACAGCCAGCGGCAAGGAAGGAGGGCGCGCCGGAGTAAATTTCGACTGTGTAGCAGCTAGGTTGATTAAGAGTCCACCCAACACACCCAAAAACAAGAGAAACTGCATGGTTAGTAATGGGATTCCCAAGAACTGGTGAATGGATGGATGGATGAGTGCGGTTTCCGTGAACCTGGGCAGGGCACATTTATACATGTTGAATTATGCCGGGGGGGTGGGGGGGCATGCTCACCTGTAGGAAGCCATGTTCAGAAGGAGCCGAAGGGATCGGAGTTAGAGAGACAAGAATGAGCCACATGACGAGTGAGAAGCGATCACCTTCTTCGAGAAGGGAAACTGCACCTCAGAGCGACGCTAGAATGGTTATACAGAGGCCACCACATGGCATAGCGCATGGTTGGCAAGCTGCACAAGGTTGAATGTGCTCGCCATCGACTATCCGGAGTCCTCAAGAACCAAATTATACAACATTTGTTGGCAAAAGTACTAGATTTCTCGTAAAGCCTTGTTCTGAGAAGCGCTATGAGCCGGTGGGCCGTATCCAAGAAAACTCAGAAATCTTGTCGGCAAGTGTATTCACCTTGAGCGAAATGTGAGGCGATGCGTCTTGGATTCTAGATTCGGAAATAAGCGGGAAGAACGTTGCATTGCCGACATGAGTGTCCAGAAGTTCTAGGATATGATATGCGAAGGAAGGATTAATTTAAAAAGACAAGGCCGAATGGGGCAAGTACGTTTGACTAATGAATAATACCTAGGTATTCCTGAGCTGGAATCGGTATGGTTAGGACGATTGTCAAATATGACTGAACTGCGCTTGACAGTACAGTTGGGTGGCTGACTGTTAGGCTCAGCGCTATGCTTAAACATAATCCTCCGAAGGAGGTTAACAGGATCAAAAGAGATGTTCTAAGTTTCGATCGTCAGAGTAAAAGAAATTTGCCCGTGTTAGAGAGATTCCGACTCGTCTAGATCATTCCCGAGGAAGCTAAGAAATCTTTACGGATCCTTCAACGCGTGGCCTAGGATAGAGCGGAGTTGCGGCAGCATGTGATAGAACTAAGTGATGGTGATACCTGAAGTAGGATCGCAGCGTGCACCATGAAGCTGGCCGGGGGTAGTTTGGACAGATTTCACGATCCCCGTGACCCTTCTTCATCGTGTTGAGAAGTGATGGTGAAGCCAGCCGCATAGTGCCAATGACGGTCGTTGTCGACAATGTCCGCATCCAATCAAATTAGCACCATGCACCGTTGGCATATCTTTGCTCATGGACTCTGAAGCTGGTGGAGCCTAAAGGGAAAAGGAAGGTGAGCATCGGGTCACCAGCGGTTTCATAAGCCGGCGCTCGGGAATAGTCGCGATTCTCGCAAGATTCGACGAAGAGTATCGGCAGAGTATCGAAACGTTGCATGCGGACAGCGGGGTCGGGTTCACAATCCGGGGAAGGTTTGTGTGGAGGAATCAAGAGTAGCCAAGGTGTAGGGGTGGGATCATCATCCTCGGCCAGTGCCCAACGAATCCTTGTATCACATCACGCATCTGGTCTGCTCTATCTACTGAACCTCCTAACCTCGTGGCCACGCAGAATAATTGTCCCGGCTTAATTTATATTGGAGTAACCTGTACTGACGTCTCCTTCCTTTTCCAACCACTTTCTCCTCCACATGTCGTACCATTCAAAAATCTCTCCCACACTACTGGTACATTCTAATCGCACGTCAGGCTAACCTCTAGGCGTGTTACATCCCCTTAAGTCTCAGTAGTTTCCTCGCTTGGTGCTAGATCTGGGCTGAGCCCTCCGGAAATTGTGCTGCGAAAAGAGGCAGTGTCTGTTTCGAAGTATCCGCAGAACAGCTAAATCGAGCTTGCAATTCCTAAGCACGTCACAACAACATCAAAAGTAGGTCCACGGCCCAAAACTCAAACTTGGTGGCTGGGGTCGCCGTAAGTTTCACACCAAGTTCGCTAATGTTGAGTATCGTATATTAGACAGCATGCTGGACGCCGCCGAAGCTAGAGCTCGTACACATTAAAAAAAAGGTGCCCCGAGGTGTCCGGAGAAGACAAGACACGCCACGTAGCGTAGATCGGGATATCGTACAACATGAATCATGAATAGGTAATTGGAAGATGTAAGACAGACCAATGAAGATTGAGGAAGGAGACAGAAGCGGGGTATCCTCAAGACTCAAGAAAAGACAGGCCATGCAAGATTCATCTAACAAATAAGGATAGGTATCGAAACAGTGAATGCGAAGGGTATTCCAAACCGAGAAACAGGCTAAAGCAAAACGATGTCGCAACGTGCGGCGGGTATCCCAAATAGTCTCTATGAGTCGGCAAGCCATGAGCGGTTCACATGCTCATATATTTGCATGCATCCACTCAATAATGGGCAGGTAAGGACGTCACTAACGGTCCAGCGTTTTTCGAAATCCATGTGGAGACATCCCCTAACCAAATCAATCGCATCGTTAGCGCTGGCTTGTTGAAAAGCATCAGCTCCACGGACAAGCTCGACATTCCATTCTCCTCTCCGGATCTTCATCGTGGTCTTTATATCTAAGCCTTCGTTGAATGGGAGCTGCGCTGTAAGAAGTGTGTAGACAACAACTCCATATGCCCATATGTCTGCGGCCGTAGAAAACACAGGACCAGAAGCGTCAAATAACTCGGGTGCGGCATATTGAAGGCTACCCGCGACTGATGTGCTTGTGTCTGCAGGACCAATGTTCTGGTTCGCCCCTACTGAATGGGGCTCTGGACCGTCTCGCTGGTCGCTGACGATGAAGTCCGCCATGCCGAAGTCACACAACAAAATATTGCCACCCTCTACCTCTGCACTAGGTGCGGTCATGTCAAGCAGGCAATTCTCCAGCTTGATGTCGCGGTGGACTATCATGACGTCGTTATGGAGATATCGTATCGCTGAAGCGAGCTGGTACGAGTAGCGCCTCACCAGATGTAATGGAAGTCCGTTCTTCTTTTTTCGATGGGTGTCGCGGATAAGATCGAAGAGAGTCCCACCCTTGTTAAGCTGAGTGATGCAAAACGTCGCATATTCCGTACTATAAACCCGGAGTAATGGAAGAATATAAGGATGTCGTAAGAATCTCCAGATTTCGACCTCGTGGTCGAACTGTGTCTGAATCTGCTCATTTTCGAGTTCCGACTTGTCCCGCAACTGCTTTCGCACAATCTTGACTGCATGCACTTTCCTTGCACCATTTTCAATGGTAGTCACCTCCTTGACAACACTAAAGCCACCAAAACCTATTTGCTTGCCAATGATGTATTCCCCATCGTAACCGATACCCTGGCCTTCATCGTCGGGTTCGGTGGGCTTCAACGGAGTATCGTAGGATTGGTACCTCGAGAGGAAGGACGCGGCGGGGGACATGGAAGATATTGAACGGCCTGAACGCGTTGACGACCGGCGGCTCGTCCTTCTCATGCTCCCTTCCCCATCAGCTAGATCTGCGCGGTAGCTCCGCGATCGCTGGGAACCGTTCCGCCGCGAGGAGGAGTAAGGAAATTCGATTGGAGAGGTAGCAGGAATTGGAGAAAGTAAATAGTCCCCCGATGGGTCAAGCGGCGTTTGCACTTCTTCTAGCGGGGGAGAGGCCGTGGCTTCCGATGTTAGCGAGGCTACAGGATCTTGGTCGAGGTATTTCGAGTCTGTCGCAAACTCGTCGATAGTGGGTTGCAGGAGTGGATACCTCGATTCGCTAAGGTGGTGTTGTATATGTTTTCGTCGATCAAGTGGCGTTTCAATGTAGGTTGTGTTAGGGAAGTCTTCACCATCGGAAACCTCCGGTAGCGATTCCGGTATCGCAGATTTGGGTAAAGGCTCTTCAATGGAAAGCCGGTTACCGCTGTCGAGAGTGACTTCCGTGTCGAAGCTTATGGAGGTTTGGCGTTTGCGGAAGTTCGCTTCAATGTCGTCGCCGACGGCAGCCGCGCCGTTGTCGTAGGGCGCCAGTTGGTTGCCGTTCGTGTGGACCTCCACCTGCCTTGTATTTCCGCCATTGGGGTAGACATAGCCGTCCACTTCGATGCGCTCAGCAGGTTTTACGATAGACGAGACGGAAGCATTTCGCCGTGAATCACGAGGGATTGCAGCAAATGTCGAAGCCACGGGCTTGTGCGTTGCTTTGGTATCGAGCTTGAGTTTCTGGAAAGTGTGTGAGGACTCCGAATCTGGGGCCATAAGAACGGCAGGGTAAGTTTCACAGTGGGTGCAGACCTCGGGGCGCCAGCAGCTCAGTATTTAATATGGCGACCGTGGGGTGAGGTTGCTCGGCGTGAGGGTAATGTCGGGGGGTAATGAAATCGCGAGCGGCGGAGCGCAGTGTCACCCACAAGGGCTGCTAGGTTGCAGCTACGCCCTTGAGCGGCTATGCACTCGGCGATGCGGAAGAAAGGGAGGAGAATTGCATGGAACAAAGATGATCAATGATGGGCTGAAGCAACGAAGTGTGGGACGTGAGGATACACGGGGAAGTCTTTGGCTGGCGGAGGAGATGAACGCGTTGCAGATACCCCCACGTTCAGCGACTGGACAGAGCAGGGCTAGCACGACACGTGAGGGGGAAAACATGCATCCATTTGCAAGGCTGGACCTATCACAACCAGAAGGAAGGTGAGCTCCTGTGTCTGTAACACTCACTGACACGCTCTGGACGAGAATCCATGTCCTTGACGTTTGCGCCGGCGAGGCTCTCATGTCTTTGCCTCGCTTCTGCAGAAACACCCGTCGACCGTTTGGCCGACATGGAAAACGATATCTGCTTGGCAGCAGTGATTCCCCGCAGCCTACCACTAGGTCAAGGCTGGCAATAAGGCTTTTGGTTATAGCATCTTACGGGTGTGGGACGAGGACCTGGAAGTTCTGGACGACGATGCGAAGGGGCATCACGATGCGATGATTATGCAGGGTCAAACAGATCTCGGCCCGCTCAACCGCAGCAGTGACTTGGGAAGGACACCACAGGATGAGGGCGTATCTCGTGAATCTTGTAGGACAATGCCTCAGGAGGGCAGTGAGACCAGCGCTGGTGGACAGCGGGATGCCTGGTCACGGCCCATGACGTCGGCAACATCCCCCAGAGGCTTACGGGAGGGCTCTAACTCTCACGCGGACAGAAGCATGTGCGAACTTCTTCATGGGGCATTTCTCCAGGCATTTGAAGAGATTGACAAACAAGAGCACGGCTGTCCGATCGCAGCAGACAGGTTGAGGCGAGGTTTCTTTGGGTGCTTCTTCTTGCGCCCGGTCGCTATTCCTGAATTGGGAGTGGCAGAAGCTTGTGCCAAGCCCTTGTGTGATGCCAGCCGCTCGTGCATCTGCTTGTTGTCAACCACATCGCATATTATCGCTGCCCGGCCTCGTCAACATCCACACGCCAGCTCGCTCTCGTGCGCTGTCCGAGATCAATCTGTCGTCTCGTATTCCCACCCTTCCGCCTCGACTGCTACCCCTCGACTGTCGCCGTCGGAGGCCGATAGGCCTTGACGTCTATCACTATGGGGCTATCCAGCGTTTGCTCGAGGCTCTTTGGGTCCTGCTGCGGCGGTAAGGACGCCGACATCCTATCTTCTGTACAAGGCTACTACTGACGTCGCATCTGATAGGCCGCTCGAAAGACAGTATCTACGACCCAGTACTGGCAGACAGCGAGCGCGAGGCCGTCGCCGACCTCCTTGGCTTTCTCGAAAATGTACATCCTCACCTATTCTTATCACCACAACTTCGGGCTGACACTTGACCGCAGCGGGCCGAAACCGATTTCTTCTCCGGAGAGCCTCTTCGAGCATTAAGTACACTAGTATACTCCGACAATATTGATTTACAGAGGTCCGCGAGCTTGACGTTCGCCGAGATTACGGAAAGAGGTACACTTACTCCACAACCCCATATCGTGCCATCTGCTAATATTGATTGCTCTAGATGTCAGAGAAGTCGACCGAGACACACTGGAGCCTATTCTCTTCCTCCTCCAAAACCCTGACATCGAAGTGCAGCGGGCGGCAAGTGCCGCGCTAGGCAATCTGGCTGTAAATAGTATGTGACCGCTGCAGAGACCTGGCTGAGACATGTGTATGCTGACTGCTCACAGCGGAGAACAAGGTCGCCATTGTTGCACTCGGCGGGCTCACCCCGCTAATCAAGCAGATGAACTCACCAAACGTCGAAGTGCAGTGCAATGCCGTAGGATGCATAACCAACCTCGCAACCCACGAGGATAACAAAGCAAAAATAGCGCGGTCAGGAGCTCTGCAACCCCTAACACGGTTGGCAAAGTCCAAAGATATGCGGGTACAGAGGAACGCAACGGGCGCTCTACTCAACATGACACACTCTGGTACGACCATACTCCAATACACCCGACGTAACACCTCAACGAGCTTTGCTAATATGCCAAGTAGATGATAATCGCCAGCAGCTGGTCAATGCCGGAGCAATCCCCGTCCTTGTACAACTACTCACTTCCTCCGATGTCGATGTGCAATACTACTGCACCACCGCCCTCAGTAACATCGCTGTGGATGCCAGTAATCGAGCCAAGCTGGCGCAAACAGAAGGCCGCTTAGTCCAGTCGCTGGTCCACCTCATGGAATCGTCCTCACCAAAAGTGCAATGCCAAGCCGCATTGGCTTTGCGAAATCTCGCGTCTGACGAGCGATATCAGCTTGATATAGTGCGGGCGAGAGGCTTGCCATCCCTTCTCCGTCTTCTGCAATCCTCATATCTCCCCCTTATTCTCTCTGCCGTTGCATGCATACGAAATATCTCCATCCATCCCGCAAACGAATCCCCTATCATTGATGCTGGGTTCCTCCGCCCTTTAGTGGATTTACTTGGCTCCACCGAGAACGATGAAATTCAATGCCACGCTATTTCCACACTTCGGAATCTTGCAGCCAGCTCCGACAAGAACAAGCAACTCGTCCTGGAAGCCGGTGCTGTGCAGAAGTGCAAGCAGCTGGTGCTCAACGTCCGACTTCCGGTTCAGTCGGAGATGACGGCAGCGATTGCTGTTCTTGCTCTCAGTGACGACCTAAAACCCCATCTCCTCAATTTGGGAGTTTTTGATGTCCTGATCCCACTTACCGAATCCGACAGCATTGAGGTTCAAGGAAATAGCGCCGCGGCCTTAGGGAACTTGTCATCAAAAGGTACGTAACGCGACAATCACCCCTCGGTAAGTTGTACTGATCACGCGTAGTCGGCGATTACACTATTTTCATCCAAAACTGGACAGAACCCGCTGGCGGAATTCACGGATATCTCCGACGTTTCTTAGCAAGCGGAGACCCTACCTTCCAGCACATCGCTATCTGGACCCTATTACAACTCCTTGAGTCTGAAGACGCGAGGCTTTTGGAACGAATCGCAAAGTCGAGTGAGATTGTCAGCATGGTCGCGGACATCGCCGAGCGTAGCATAGAATCAGACGACGAAGACAACGAAGATGGCGAAGGCGAGGTCGTCAGCCTTGCTCGCCGATGCCTAGAACTTCTAGGAAAGAGCGCAGAGCCAAAAACTCTAGTCGAAGGATAAAAGCGTTGGATGAAGTTCATAATACCCCCCCAAAGTTCGTTGGTTTACCCATCACTCCTCCGCCCATTCTTCCTTCCAATCGCTGTTTTCATAATGTTAATCTTTCACGTTTCTGCGGCGGCCGGGCGTTTTTGGGAGCAGCACTAGCTATTATCAACATTTCTAGCGAGCATGGGTGGAGCAGGGCTTTTCTTTTTCGGCAGCATACCATGTTTCCTCGCCGTCTCCTTTCTAGGTAGGGAGCAGACCTTTAAGAGATTGTAATCCTACGCTTGGATGACGGAAGACTTCGGGTGTGAAGGCACTCCATTAGGTATCCTTGCAGTCAAAATAGAATGAGGGTACAATATTACGGGATAAATCTCCTTCGATATTGCTGTTATTGTCCCCTATCATTATGCTGTGCTTCAATAAGCTTCAATAAGATAGTGGTTTGAACGGAACCACACTCTGGAACCCAGCGCAAAATCCATTCTTCTACCCTAATACTTCGTACGCTATCCTCCTGCTTTAGACTCCTATTCTTCGTCTCCTCTCTATCCCTCTTGGTTTCTATGTTAAGCTCCGGAAATTATTTGCACTATCATCCCTCCTATTTGCATCCAATATTTGACCATAGGCGCAAGCAATCTGTGCCACAAATTCTGAATAGTCTCCCAATCTTACCGCTGTCATCACGTGGCGTTGTATTGCCCCGCTAAAATTATCCAACATGACATGAATCGCAAACACCAAAACGAGCTCGTTGAGCTCGACGAGCCACGACCAAACATCTCCCCAGAGGAATTCGTGGTCGCGAAAGGACGATTCACGCTCGCCGAGCTCACGGAACTAAAGCGAACATTTTCTCCCCCCCCCCCCCCCCCTACGAAAAGATGGTGCGACGAGGTCGCGCCTCCGCGACTGACGAAGCTGATCCAGCATTGAATCAAGAAGCCAACTCTCAATCAGCTCAAAATACCATTGGAAAGGTTGACATCACCGAACCAGAAGTACCCAATGTTCCAGCAGAGTCTTACAATGCTGAACCTGAGGCTACTAGCGTTTCTTCAGGTTTACAACAGCCTTCATATATTTTCCCTGGTGTCGAGAAAGATGCAAACGCTCAACAAGACAATGGAAAGGAAGCAGCTTCTGCTCAACCGATAACCCCACGCCTCGATACCCTGAAGACTCCAGCATCGGCTGGGTCTGCCTCAACGGCCACACGTGGGCGTGGTGCAGCATCCGGGCGTGGACGTGGTGGAGCATCTACACGTGGAAAGAGGGCTACAGCTCAGCCAACATTCAAAGGTCGACGGAGCAAGGAGGAGCGAGAGCAGCGAGTCCAGGCAGATCTAGCTCGAGATCGCCAGAGGATGAAAGAGCGCGAGGCCGAAGCCAAAAAGGCAGGCGCGCAGCCGAAGAAAGAGAAGGAAAAGGAGGGGAGAAGGAATGCCAATGCCCACGGACGAGGCGGTGGTTTCACGGGTGCAGATCTGGACAGCCCATTCTCGTGGAGTGCCCGCAAGAAAGGTAAGAGCATCAAGAATTCAATCGCATGGAAGAGTTACTGACGCATACCTGTAGCATCCGGAAATCAAGCCGCACGTTTCGCATCAGGCTTCGGCTCAGGTTTAGGCTCAGGATTCGGATCTGGACCAGGAGCGACTCGAGTCAAGCGCGAGCCCAACAACGATGGAGGTTACATGTCACTTGGGATTCCGGTCAAGAAGGAGGATGGTGGCTACGTGTCGTCTGGTGAGGAAGACGACGTCAAATACCCGAGAAAGGATATCGATACCATCCAGATATCATCCGATGAGGATGAGGTCAGTCAATCAGTAACCAAAGGCAATAAAGGAAAGGGCACTGCTCCGCAGCTACTCATGCCCGTCCGCGTCAACAGGAAAGAGCACCACGACCGCGTCGTTGGAATCAATACGGAGGCCAGCTCTGCTACGTCTACGAAGTCGCTGCAACAAGTTGAAGCACCGGGAGAATCGCGCCAGGCAGAGACCGCTGAGTCTGTTTCGCGGAAAGGAAAGGGAAAGATGAAAGATGTTGAAATCACAGACGTTCGAAGGCCATATAAGGGAATGTGGCAAGATGCGGATGAGCCACATATATCCGTCAAGACAGAGACAATTAGCGATGAGGAGAACAGCCCCGAGGCAGTAGATGTTCGTACAGGAACTTCAGTTAAAGCAGCGGAAAGGCAGTCGCGCACTTCACCATCAGTGGAGAGAAGACCCCAAGCTAAGGGCAGCATTGCTGGAGAACTCGTCCATCAAACAGACGAGGACCGGGCAGAGTGGGAGCGTGGCCAAGCTAAGCGGCGCTACATGCTACTCGAGCTTGGTCCAGGAGAGGTACCAGCACCTAAAGGTAAAGAAGACAATGGCCAGACGCCACGAACAGTGCGGGATGACCATCCCTACCTTTTCCAGTTCCCACGGGGTATTCCAGAGCTGCTGCTCCCGAAGATCAAAGCAGAGCCATTCGATTCCAGCGACCATGGAGCCAAGACATCGACCAGCACTGAGCAGACGGTCGGCAAATCGGAAGACACATCCTCTGGCTCTGCGCTTACAAGCCCGAAATATCCCAGTGCTGGCGGATACGTTGGAAAGCTGCGCGTTCGTAAATCAGGCATTGGGGAGTTGGACTGGGGCGGATTCCCCTTAGACGTGTCGCCTGCGCTGAAGGTACATTATCACCAAGAGGTCGTCAGGCTCAACATTACCCCCGAGCAAGAGCGTGTGGTGGAGGAAGATGGAGGAGAAGCGCATTCATTGGGGCGCCTGAAAGGCAAGTACGTCGTCAAGCTGAATTTGGATGAGCTCCTGGGCTAGTTCGGCAAACCTGGACTTTCAGGTGGGGGATGAAGAAATTCCGGTTCATTTTGGTTCGTGGTCTGCACGGGTAAGGTTTAGCATTCCAAGGTTGGCAGCGATACCATCATGAGCATTTCCTGGCGTTTGATAACTGGACGACGGGTCTTCGGTCATGGCATTAGAAATAGCTTAGCGGAACAGAAAATCTTATACAAGTATACTCATGGCTTTAATCGCGTGTGTGATAAATGCAGCGGGGGAGCGGAGAGACAGACGGTGAATGTGGTGAGAAGTGCATCTAATCAAATCAGATCATCAAGGTGAGTGCGGAATTGGACCTTCCCGTCCACGCAATCCGGCGCGCGAGTGTTGCGCAATCGGACGCCATTTCCAAGCAAAGTGGGTCCTTTAGCCAAGCTTGCAGTCAGCTCATGCGTGGAGTGGCATTTATTATTGTGATGGCCTGTGGTCGAATCACGGCACGTCTGCTTCACAAGTGGCCGGCAGTCGCGTCGAAAGTGCAACGCACGGTCATGTTTTGAGGCACGGGGATGAGGGGGGTTGGGAGTCGCGAGAAGTATCTTCGAAACATTTCTGACAGACAATTGTGCGGTAGAAGAGTGTTAAGATTGGTACCTATCGGTTGCGCGACGTGCATTTAATTGCTTGAATAGCTGGGGTAGGAATTTGGGATGAAAGCTGTCAAAAATTGGCCCAGAGCGCGGCCAGTTGCAAAACGTCATAGCTCCTTACAGGGGCTGATGGCTGTCGCCTGTCTCGTGTGCACGTGACCGCGATCTCAGTTTAAAGCCAACGCGCTTTCGCGCTTCTTCTCCTCCTGCACCCACATATTCTTCTTCACCACCGCATATACTTTGCGTCTCATCCTGCGCTTCTGCAAGCCATTGAGCATAGCCCTCTGCTGGATTCGTCTTTTGCAACAATGTCGGCTGTTCAGATTACTCCATCCAAGAAGGTTCGTCGTCACTATGGGAGTACCTACGTACTTTCATGTATATGCGCGTTGTACTAACGGGTCTGCAGGCTGCATCTGCCATTGAGACACTCAGGATGTCGGATTCACCCGCGAAGAAGCTCGACTTCACGTCGGCGGATAAGGAGAACATTTTCAAACCCATTGTCGGCATTCCAGAGCTCGATGTCACCGAAGACGCGTCCACCACCGACAAAAAGCCTTCCACGGCCTCTACCATCAGACCTGAGGAAGCCCACGAACCTCTGCTACAAGAAAACCCTCAACGCTTCGTGTTATTCCCCATCAAGTACCACGATGTAAGTTGTAGTCAACGCGTTTCCTTCCCCCTCACTACGTGTAAAGTGGCTCCACAATAGCATGATAGCTAACACCACTCTTCCACAATAGGTCTGGCAGATGTATAAGAAAGCAGAAGCCTCTTTTTGGACAGCCGAAGAGATCGATCTCTCTAAAGACCTTCACGACTGGAATAAGCGATTGAACGATGACGAACGCTTCTTCATCTCCCATGTCCTCGCCTTCTTCGCCGCCTCCGACGGCATCGTCAACGAGAACCTGGTCGAGCGGTTCAGTGGCGAAGTGCAAATACCAGAGGCGCGATGCTTTTATGGGTTCCAGATCATGATGGAGAACATCCATTCGGAAACATACTCGCTTTTGATTGACACATACATCAGTGAGCCGAAGCAACGTCACTATCTCTTTAATGCCATTGACAATAGTAAGTCCTCCTCTCCATCTCCACACAACTACGCGTCTAATGCGTCTCCTAGTCCCCTGCATTCGAAAAAAAGCCGATTGGGCCCTCCGCTGGATCGCAGACAAGAATTCGACCTTCGCCAATCGCCTCGTTGCCTTCGCAGCCGTTGAAGGCATCTTTTTCTCCGGCTCCTTCGCCTCCATCTTCTGGCTCAAGAAGCGTGGTCTTATGCCTGGCCTCACCTTCTCCAACGAACTCATCTCTCGCGACGAAGGTATGCACACCGACTTTGCCTGCCTCCTCTTCTCCCTCCTGAAAACGCGCCCATCCAAGAAGGCCGTTGAAGCTATCATCACCGAAGCCGTAACCATAGAGCAAGAGTTCCTAACCGTGGCTCTGCCCTGCGCACTGCTGGGGATGAACTCCAAACTCATGTGCCAGTACATCGAGTTCGTCGCCGACCGCCTGTTGCTCGCTCTTGGAAACTCCAAGGTGTATAATGCAACCAACCCGTTCGATTTCATGGAGAATATTTCCCTAGCGGGTAAGACAAATTTCTTCGAGAAACGGGTCGGTGATTACCAGAAAGCTGGTGTTATGGCGAGCACCAAGAAACATGAGAAGGCTGAAGCAGGCTCGTCGTCGCCCGAAGCGGATAAACAGAACATGAGTGGCGATTTCTGCTTTGATGAGGACTTTTAGACAGCCTGGAGCTGTGGCGTACTGACGTCGGGTGAGGGTTGTAATTTTTGAGGTTCCTGTCAGCGTCGTGCTTTTGAGTTGAATATTGGGCTTGTGTTCAAGTATGCAATTGGGTTTCTTCTCCTCCCCCTTCACACACACCCATTCTTCTCCCCTTATCTCCTTCTATCTCTTCTCTACTTTGCATGCCAGAGTCAGGCACTAGCATCAGCATATCTGTATCCGTACGACCTCTGAAAAGGCTTTTAGAAAAAGCAAGCGGAGCGCCACTCCTGCCTCCCACGTTTGTTTCATTTCTTTCTCTGATACCTATATTTGGGTTTAGGTAGGCGTTTGGGCCGGCAGCGCAGTTTTTGGATGGGGATGAAATGGGATGAAAGGATAAGGGGCGATGACGTAAGGCTGGGGATTGGTTGGGCCGGGTATTGGATCATGCCGTTTGGATAAGGAATTGAATATACACATTGAAAGTTACTATCATGTTTGGACGTGTTTCAATAACGCATTATCATGAACCTGTCTGGAGGAGTTGAAAAAATAATATTTTTGGGCAGAAATGTTCTCATACCAGCAATCAACACGCGGTAAAGCTTACCCACCTCGGTCATGTATCATAGTAAGTACCAATATGCCAGGACAGCGCATAAGTTTCGATGGTGTCTATAGAAAACTGAGCATGGCTAGCTTACCTCTGGTTCGCCCCTTCTTATATCCAGCAATGCCTTGATCATGCCATACCATTAAACACTTGCTTACCTCTATCTATTACAGAATGTTACGTTGGAGCTATCAGTATTAACACCAGCTGCGAGGGCGCATAGTACCGAAACACACATGAACAGAGTACTCTAACAACGAACAGAGACCGAGGCGAAATGTGTCATAGAAGGAAGAGAAGAACAGGGAATAGGAGTAGGAGAGAGGGCAGTATGGCTTTCTCACTCCTTGTCTAGCAATAAGCTTTATGCATTGGATTGGATTGGACTAGAAGAAATGATGGACAGTGATAAATGTAAGGAGAATGTGTAGTAACCTAAGAATCTTGTGATCCGTGAGCATCTTGCTGTTTGGTGTTTGATTGGTATTTGAAGAGGCTAGACTTGTCGTTGCCCAAAAACTTGCCAGGGGCAAGGCATACCAACGGGAGGATGGATCTAATAAGCAAGAATGTGGGGGAGAGGAAGATGCTTTGTCTGAAGAGGATTGTGGACAAGTTTATTCAATCGATTGTACCCGTCAAGTGGAGGATGCTGATGTAAGAATAACTAGAGACAGGAATGTTGGCGCGAGGAAGATTTGTTGCATGTGTGTGAGATACTCCATTGTTTCAGCTCGAGATTGAAGCTAGTAGAGAGTACATCTAATGGGAAGGTGCAGGTCTTGTCAGTGGGAATGGAGGCAGCCGCCCAACGGAAGGGTGAGAGATGCTGAAGAAGGATAGGTTGTATTAGCCTACCACTGGATATGAACATAAACAATTTGATCTGCAAATCCCATTGCTAGAAGTGAGGAGATAGCCGGGAGGATGTAGACTTCTGTCCTTGATCAAGAGACTGCAATGCTCAGATACGAGCATGTAATAAGGTGAGCGAATGGTCTGAGGTTGGTAATCGAATATGGCGAACTTCATTGGTGGAGATCTGTTGGAGAGCGTGCCATGCTTGAAAAGCTGCTTGATACAATAGCTGCTGCATGGCGATATACGCCACGAATAGCGTTGAGGAGTTACTATGTATTGAAGCATGTGGTAAGGGCATGATGCAGGTCCGATACGTATCTTCATCTTTCTTGATTGTTTCCGCCACCGGGGGCCTTGGCTTAGGGAACTGGGAATAGATGCGCGAATCTCCCGTGACGTCGGTTTGTCATAAGCGTTTGAGTTAGCTGCAAGAAGAAACACGCCAAGATGTTTGTATACACTTCATTCACGGCTTATGTTTCGCAGATTGCGTCATTCTGTGTCTGTAAAGATGAATTTGATCCCCTCCGCGACACCGAGGACCCTAAAAGAGTCGTGTCTGTTTATCCTCAAGCCACATCCGCCGATTCCCGCACCACCTCTCATTATCTCCACGTAACACCACTCCAGCTTCGCATTCGTTTTTGACTTGGATATATTGCGGCCCACTCTCTGTGGCGAACCTCTCTTATTATATGTACATTCAAGGCCAGATTCACCTATAGCGACAACGACTTGAGGTTCACAGGTGTGCTGCAGTACAGTTGGACGATCGCATACCCCATGGAGTACCAGATCCGTCCATGAAGCTTCATAATCAATGGCGGAGGTGTTGCCCAAGATTCAGGTGACTGACCCACAGTCCAAAGATAAACAGACCCTGGAGAGGCAGGACACGGGAAAGCTGTTGTCAAAAGGAGAGGGTACGTCACATAGATGCATCCCGTTAAGCGCGCGGAATGCGGGGACAACCGACAACGCTGATGCGAGGATACGTAGGACCGCTTGCTGGAGCGAAACTCGCGGTCAAGTTGGCCAGCCCTACTTCCAATGGCCCGCAGAACAGTCACCAGCTCGCGCAGAATGGGCATGCCGAACCTGAGGATGCCATCGATCCGCTTTCGCAAGTATGCACATATTAGGACAGCCGTCGGAAGGCAGACTCAGTGCGCTAACTATATGGAACTTCATAGCAAATCCTCCAGCGAACGAGCACGTCCTCAGCGGTGCAGAAACTGCGCACCCAGACCGACAATGCCTCGACTCTCTCCCCGACTTCCCCTAGCGATGCATACCCCGACACCAAGTTGGGGACTGAAACATCTCGGGAAATAAATGGAGGATCTAATGCCAAACAAGAGAAAAAGTAAGCCTAGATTCTCTCTATGTAGGAGTGAATGTTGCGATCCAAAAAGGCTTGGCCACCTCTCGTATTGCGGTATCTGCATAGATGCGCGACTTGCTGTGGTTGGGGCCGCACGGGTCGTTAACGTAGGCCTGATGAAGCAGAGCTTTTCGCAAGGCTAACTCGTCATCTCTATACAGGAAAGGTGTTTCTTTTCTCAGTAGAATTATTGGGAATAAAAGAAAAGGTACCCTTGATGGGGCTACCGAAGATGATTCCGAAACGGGCGACTCGAGGCCTGAGGGAATGAACGCAAAACTGTTCTCTCATACTGTCGATAATCTGGGTTTCAGTCCCAAGCACCCGCAACCTCCAGCGTATATAAAAGTGAGAGCTAAGTTCAAGAAAGAGAAGGAATTCAATCGTGTGTTCTTGGCACAAGAACTTCGCTCCCGTGCAGACAAGAAAGCTCGGCCGGCTACAGGCTCGAACCCAGCCCCCCAGTCCGGTGCAGCAGCCACGCATAATCCAATATGGGCTACGGAATTCAGCAAGGATGGAAAGTATCTGGCTGCTGGAGGGCAAGACAGGATCGTCCGAGTATGGGCTGTAATATCAACACCAGAGGAGCGAAGGGCGCACGAGAAAGAGGAGAGCGGGCCGAGCATAGCTGACGATCAGTCAACCCACCTAAGTGCACCTGTCTTTCAACAGAAGACTTTTCGAGAATACTGTGGACATACATCAACCATTTTAGATCTGAGCTGGAGTAAAGTAAGTTCTAGACGGCTACTCGTATAAGGGAAACGCTTCTAATTTGACCAGAACAGCTTCCTTCTCTCATCATCAATGGATAAGACAGTTCGCCTGTGGCACATAAGTCGAAGCGAATGTCTATGCACATTCAAGCATACCGATTTTGTCCCATCTATCCAATTCCATCCTCGAGATGACCGATTCTTTCTAGCTGGATCCTTGGACACCAAATTGAGGCTTTGGAGTATCCCAGATAAGAGCGTAGCGTTTTGGAATCAATTACCGGATATGATCACTGCCGTGTCGTTCACGCCAGATGGAAAGACGTGTATTGCTGGAACCCTGAGTGGGCTCTGCATGTTTTATGAAACGGAAGGATTGAAGTACCAAACACAGATCCACGTCAAATCGACTCGAGGGCAGAACGCCAAAGGCAGCAAGATCACGGGCATTCAGGCCACATATTGGCCACCCGGAAGCAATAGCGGTGAGGTGAAACTGCTCATCTCAAGCAACGACTCTCGGGTTAGGATGTACAACTTTAGGGACAAAAGCCTGGAAGTCAAATTTCGCGGCCACGAAAACAACTGTAGTCAAATCCGCGCATCCTTTGCCGATGACACGGGATACATCATCTGTGGCAGCGAAGACCGAAAGGCGTACATCTGGTCTACATGTGCTCCCGAGGGCGAGAAGCGGAATCAGCGACCGTTGGAACTATTCGATGCACATAATTCAATCACAACGTGCACTATCCTTGCACCCCTAAAAACAAGACAACTTCTCAGCAACTCGGAAGATCCAATCTACGATCTCTGCAATCCTCCGCCCGTCACCCTGATTTCCCGCGCCGAATCCATCAACTCCTCGAAGCCGCCTACCGAAGCAGGAGGCTCTGCACAGGCAACCCCCGCTGCCATAGAATCTACATTTAGACGAGTCGCGGAGAGTCCAGCCTATATTGCACGCTCCGCACATCCAGATGGTAACATCATCGTTACAGCAGACCACACGGGTGCTATCAAAGTCTTCCGCCAAGACTGCGCCTACATGAAACGTATCCGTGCGAGCGATACCTGGGATACAGCTTCCGTGTTCTCTAAGAAAGTTGGTCCTAAGACCGGACGCCCAAGTAGCATTTTATCAAGAACGACCAGGAGGACAAGAAGAGATAGTACGAGCACACAACCTCCAAACGACCGAATCATGTCTTGGCGTCAGGATATCTCACATGGGGGTTTCGACTCTGTAAATGGTCCCGTAGCAAGAAGAAGTCGTGCCCGCAGCGTGTCGCCGCGAAAACCAGGGAGCATGGGCATGGGACCTCCATCGATACGGGCGACAGAGTCACCGGTGTTAGGGCCGAGAAATACGACAGATACATTCCACTCGAATACCGCGCCGAAGATGAGTTTATCTGTAGACCGTACCCTAGTAGAGACCTCAAACACGAGTACCCTACCGAGAAATAACGGAGGAGTCTCGAATTTCGAGCCCGTAGAACTGCAATCCAAGCAATCGACTTCAGACAATCCGTTAAGTGTATATAACGGCCAGTCTTGGGCGTTCTGGAACAACAACACGTGGAAAGAACAAATGGCGAAGGAAGGCCGGCTTGCTACTCCAGAGAGGCCGGAATTCCTTGGCAGAGTTAGTACGATTAGCAAACTTAGCGATGAGCTTATAGAGACGGATAGTCATAATGAGGCGGAGGGCTCTGTGCAGTGTAAGAAATGTGGGAGTGAGGAATTCAAGATACGGACGGTAAGAGGGATTGCGGGAAGAGAGGATAGGAGGCTTGTGTGTACAAAGTGTGGGACCCCTGCTTCGTGAGTTGAGGTGTGGCCTTGGGACTCTGGTTGTACGTTATGAGGGTGGGTGTTTGGGAAAGACGAGCATATAAAGAGCATTGGGCGGTGCACATGGAATCATGGGAATCGTATTGTCCGTGTTGGCCGGCTTGTACCCAAGACGTTCGATGGGTGTCTTCTAATACTGAGATATGGGATGGCAACGATGTGTTGCTTAAGCCTGTTTGTACAAATATTGATGCAACCGACCAACGCCTTATCATTCTCATATCATTACATGATCTACATGTGCCAATCCATGATATCCTTATCCACCAATGCCCTCTCAACCATCCACAAACCACACGGATCCTGTCTCAAAGTCGCTACCTAAGCATAACCTCCCCTTCCGCTCCCACACATACTTCCCCTGCCTACAACTCGCTCTTCTCCTCCTGACCCAAGAACCTCTTCAAAATATTACTCCTGCTCATCAAGTCATCCATCTTCTCCTGTGCCAAATTCCCCTTACTCAACAGCCCCTGCAGCCGCTTAAGCTCCTTCTCCGCATACCCCTTATTCGCACTAATCTTCTCAAACACTTTAACATAATATTTCGCATACTTGTCCTTCAAGTCCTTGCTCGCCTTCTTCACCTCGTCCACACCCTCAGCATACCCACCCTGAAACTTCGCGACAATGGCATCGAGTGCTTCGATGGTGCCGCCGGTGGTATCCAGACCGCCGCCCTCAACGCGGTGCGTGCCAGCGTTTGCGTTCAGGAATTGCACGAAGTCCTTTTCAGCGCGAGCACCTTCGTAGGGTAGAGGTTCGGAGGATCTGGCTTTGAAGTATTTTATGGTTGGGTACGAGGTTACGCCTTGGTCTGAAGCGAGGGCTTTGGAGTTCTCGGCTTCGGCGTCGACTTTGGCGATTAGCACGGTGGGTTCGGTCGAGAAGTCTTGTGCGAGGGTTTCCCAGATAGGGGCGAGGGATTTGCAGTCTGTGTTCCCGGCCCATTAGCATTTTTGAATGGATGGTTAAGGAGAGTGAGGGGTTGACTTACGTCCACACCATGGCGCTGTAAACGCAACAAGGACATGTTGCTCCTTCCCGACTTTCTCCTTAAAACTCTGATTATCCAACATGACAACCTGACTGGGCAACTTCGCCTTAATCTTTGGCCTGACCCCCGTTTTCTCCGTAATCCATTTCTGCAGACTCTCCAGATCCCTTCCACCATCATATTCCGCAGGCTTGTCGCTTTTCCCATCAAACCATTTCAATGTTGGGAATCCCTGGACTCCGAACTTCCGGCCGAGGTCTTTGTGCTCGTCTGCATCGACCTTTCCGACCGTGACTTTGTCCGAGGCATGTGCGAAGGTAGTGGCAAGTTCTTCGTACACAGGCGCCAGGTTCTTGCAGTGGCCACACCAGGGAGCAAAGAATTCTACGAGCGCAGGCTTGCCGGATTTGAGGACTACCGAGTCGAAGTTGGAGGGGATGAGGTCAATGACGGAGGAGGCGGTTGCTAAGCCTGGGAGGAGGGCGAGAGCTGGGAGAACGAGGTTGAGGAGCATTTTGATGGGGCGCCTGGAGCTTCCGCCAGGTGAATTGGTGTGTGTTGTTGGTTGTTTAGGAGTGGTGGGAGAAGCAAAGGCGGTGGGATGGAGCTTGGAGCTTTCGAGCTCGAGTTGTGGCCGTTGGTGGGTTGGGGCAATTGGTGGCGGGATGCGCTTGGCGGCGGACACTGTGTCCTCTCCACTGTTTCAGGTCGAGCTTTATTAAGCGCGTTTAAGGGCGACGAATTGTGGCATTGCCGGGAATTTCTGGATTTCTCATCGTCTGGGTGACTGATTGGTCTCCTATTATTATCGGTAGTTGCAGTTGCACTTGGGTACGGGCGAAGCCGCGCGGGTACACGCAAGCCCCTAATTGTTGCACAGGACTCGAGGCTCGAACATGAGAGACGAGCTACTGAAAATGATAATATTCATTCATTCCGATTGTTATGCTGAAGAATTTGTCTTTCTAATGAAAATTGGAAAGTAGATGAGACGTCCCAGAGCCTCAACTCAAACACCCTAAACTTTTAAAGAAGAAATGGTTCGAATACACCCATGATCTCAGAACCAATTGTCCAAATAACCGCACTCCCGAAATCTCATGTAGAGCGCAATCCCAATTGCTAAACCACGGTTATCAAATCTTATCCATCAATTCCTTTTTCGTTAGCACCTCCAGACTCATTGCCTTCAATTTAAAGACATCTTCCAACTACTGTGTCCCCCTGTCATACCATAACTCCCACTAACAGTTTTCTCCTCATCCCCCTGTATCTTCCCCTCAGCCTCCTTCTCCTTCTCTGCCTCCCTCATACTCTCAGCCTTGACCTTCCCACCCACCATCTCCACAACCCTCTTCAACGCCGGTACATTCGCTCCCTTAATCGTCTCAATCACCTCACCCCCCTTAAACACCAAGAAAGTTGGCATAGCCGTGATCCCATACTTTGCAGCGACTTCTTCCTGTTCATCCACATTGACTTTCACAAACGCGAGTTTGTGCGGGACAGAGTGCATGGAGGAGAGTTGAGAGTAGTATGGCGCGATGGTTTTGCACGGTGGACACCAGGTAGCGTAGAAATCAGCGATGAAGTAGGTGTGCGAGGTTAAGAGGGTGTGGAAGTGGAGGGCGGAGGTGATTTCGGTTGGCATGGTTATGGCGGGGTGTTCCAAGGCTGAGTAGTTGTGGTGCTGTGCGCTCTGGACGATGGTTCGAGGAGCTAGCTGAGCTTGAGTTTGTGAATGAGCTCGTGGTAGTGGTATTTTGCGCAACTGTATGCTCGTTGTACACTACCCCAGAATTGAAGAACACTGCTTGACTGCTTACTGTGCAAATCGTGGGTAATTATTTAGTGAGTTATAGATCAAAGAGTAGACGGTCAATCAATTTTATACCCCTCTCCTCGTATGGCGCAATATTGTGGAATCTTCCATCTCTACTGAGGATGCCTTAGAATGAGGTCGGCGAATGCTTCCAAATGTTCTCGCCGAATCGGGATTTGTCATCATTCCAAATGAGGCACGTGGTCGGGTAAGCCACATCGCGTTTAGAGTTACTGTAAACGGTAGTCATGTTAGGAAGCATTTGAGATAGTAGACGAAAGTTGAGTATGTGAATTATGAGGTATTAGTGCAAAACTATCAAGATGGTATTCGAGGATCCCAAAATGGCTTCGTTTCCCCCGTGCAACGCCTTAAACTCCAGTCCCACAATCTACGGATGAGGAACCAAAATAAAGCTTAAGTCCAAGGAAAACCCCACTACTAGACACCCGAGACACTCCCTCTGCTGATAAACTTCGTCTCGATGTCTTTCAACACGCTAATTCCGCGACCCTACTTCCCTGCTTTATTGCCTTCTCCACCCTGAATCGTGGCTTCGAGATTGTCGAGTCGTCGAGACATGTCATCCACTATCACTCCAGTGAGCTGACGCACTTCTCGAATCACATCTCAGACTCCACAAGCCCCCTAGCTCGTCTCCAGTCACCTGGACACATCTATCTCTTACAACTTCCTTCCCAAATCCCCGCCTCTGAAAGACCCAGAAAAGAAATAGGGAAAGGTGGGTGAAATTACTTTTTGACAGCAATTCACTACTTATAGTACTGAATTTCTGATTGAGTTGGCCGAGTAGCTCATCGACGACGGCAGTGAGCTCGGCTGTGGACGAGTCGCCTGACGCCGGGAGTGTGGACTGAAAATACTTGTAAGTCTCTGGTGTCGGTCTTTTAGATTCGTGATAGAAAGAGAGTGGGACGGAAGAAGACAGACGTACAGCTCCATCGCTAGCTGTTCGGCCGGTTTCCGGCCGTTTGGACATTTTGATGAGGACTGTGGAAAGGACAGCGGGGTTGGAGCGATATGAGCGTGTGGCAAGGCCTAGATCGTGTTTGGATGAGCGAGGGAAGTGTTGTTGTTGCCTTGATCAACTCCAATTACAGATGGAAGAAGTACCAAATCCAAGCTCATGCACGTGATGGACCCGGTCCCGATAACGCACGTCCCTCGGCTCATCCCCAAAATGCAAGGCGGTGAACCACAAGCATCAAATAATTTTGCGCCAAGATTTCGAGCACCCAAATTTTAGAGCTTCGAACGGCAGCAGCAGGTCGCACCTCACCGGTGTCTCACCCTAATTCCTTCCCTCCCGAATCTCGCCGGTCGACTAATAGTTGGACGATAGTTGAGCGATAGTGGGAGGCTTACAATGGCGCGAAGCAAACTCAAGTCCGCGTTGGAGCGACACAAAGGTCGGGATGTCAAGCTAGAGAAGCAGAGGAAGAAGGGGAGGGAGGCTCGGAAGAAGAAGGGGGAGAATAGGCCTGTGAGAGGGGAGATTGAGGATGCTGAGGATGAGGAGGAAGTAGGGGGGGTGTCATTGCTTGGGAGGGAGGTGAAGGTTAATGGAAAGGCGAAGAAAAATGGTATACCGAAGCTCCCGGAGAGAGACGAGTGGGAGACTGATGAGAGTGAAAATGAGGATGAGAGTGGGGAGGACAACGACGATGACATACCGGAGCGTCCATCGCTCGATATCTCAACCCTACTCGAAGACAGCGACAGCGAAGGCAGCTCCTCAGACGACGCCCCGGAATCCGACCAAGATCAGGACAGCTCCCCCTCCTCATCCAATGAAGAAGAAGAAGATATCCCCCTTTCCGACATCGAATCCCTAGCTTCCGAAGACAAAGGCGACGTTATCCCACACCAACGCCTCACCATCAACAACACCTCCGCTCTCCTCGCCGCCCTAAATCGTATATCTCTACCCTACTCCAAACTGCCCTTCTCAGAGCACCAGTCCATAACCACCGACGAACCCGTCGAAATCCCTGACGTTGAAGACGACCTCAACCGCGAGCTCGCGTTCTATAGACAATCTCTATCCGCTGTCAAAGATGCACAGGCAAAGCTGAAGAAAGAAGGCGTACCGTTCTCACGGCCAGCTGACTATTTTGCTGAAATGGTAAAGAGCGATGAACACATGGGCAAGATTAAACAAAAGCTGGTTGATGAGGCGGCGGGGAAGAAGGCTGCGGCTGAAGCGCGCCGACAGCGTGATCTCAAAAAATTTGGGAAACAGGTGCAGGTTGCGAGAATGCAGGAACGGGCAAAGGAGAAGCGGGATACGTTGGAGAAGATTAATTTACTGAAACGAAGTACGTAGATCGGTTCCCTCTACCCCTGACTCTTCTTCGCAATATTTGTTCTAATCTGGCCTGGGGCTGCGGTTCTTCATGTTGAAAGCACGCATGTACTAACCCTATATTATTACAGAACGCCAAGGCGTCGACCTGACAACAACCCGCGAAGAAGACCTCTTCGACATCGAACTTGACAGCGCCACCAAACCTACCAAATCCCCAAGAATCTCGAAATCCGATCCCTTAACCCCTCGTCATGGGAGCGGCGACAGTAATTCAAACCCTAAACGCCAGAAAAAAGACGCGAAGTATGGTTTCGGCGGTAAGAAGCGCCATGCGAAGAGTAATGATGCGTTTTCGAGCGCGGATACGAAGGGCTTTTCGCATAGGAAGATGAAGGGGAAGCATGGGGGTGGTGGAGGAGTGAGTAAGAGGTTGGGAAAGAGTCGGAGGGTGAAGAGGGTGTGAGGGAGGCGGTAATTTGGGATGGCGCGGTAAGGCATTCTTGTTGCGAATAGCCAGGCTGATGTAGGGAAATTTTTAGTGTGCGTGTTTCGGGTGAGGCTGCTGTCCATGGGTTTAAGATACCAATGAAGGTTCTCTGAATAATTGGGTTTCATTCTTTGTGTGAGCCGTGCCAGGACTGCAACCTCACCCACTCAATTCGCGAGACTAAAGTGTGTTGCATGAGTCGAAATACCATTGAAGCCAGTTTAACCTCCCAAGACTACTATCCTCTACCCTTCTACCCAGACCCTAAAACCTTGATACCCGAATGATCAAACCACTGCAAAGTTACCGACAAAGAGAAAAGCGCCATGACTTCATATCCAGCATAGACAGAGATGCGGACATACCTAACGATTTTGCGAGTATGAGCCTTATCTTAAGGATACGATATAAACGAGACTTTTCGAAACACTCATATTTGTTCCGCCATAGTAGCATATCATGGTGCCCAAATATAAGCTCTGTCCCGCACGGTTTAAATGCTTTGCAGGAAAGTTGCTTGTTCCGGAGGTCCTTTTTCTTGTTGTAATTGTAGACATATTCTGGAAGTAAATATTCAGGGATTTAAAACAGCAAACTCTGGAGGACAGGCGTTGAGATCGGAAGAGCACAAGTCGGTGTGGCAAAATCTTTGATTGAATTGCTAAGATTCATAGCTCGGCTCGCTTTTAGCAGTGACGCCATTCCAGAGTGCTGGTTACTCTAGAGCCCAAAATTCTTGGTAGCTATACATACACATCTAGTGAGATAAGAGAACAAATGAGGCACGGACACATGCCCGATTCGTCTTTAACAGGCTCCTCATCTAGCAGTACACCTCTCTCGCACTCCGAGTTATGCTGAGCTGGTAGAGAAGGGTAGGTCAATCTGCCGCAGAAGAATTTTAGAGGGCATCGTGTAAAAGCTACGCTGGTCCCGCCTTGCAAGTTTAGAGGAAGACTGAAGACGAAGAGGGAGGAGTGAGTCGCAAATGGTGCTAGCCTGATTAGTCTTGGTGTCAGCTTCCCCGAAGTCATGACTTCGCACATCCATCATCCGTAAGCTAGTTGACCCACTTCTATCCTCATCGAACCTTCAACTGCCTTGCTGTTCCGGTCCCATGTTATTCCAAATGTGCTGTCGGCCCGCGCAGACAAAGCAGTCTACGTGAACCTGGAATAGCAAGGGAGCCCACAAGTCCCACGCAGTTCAATACGAGCATGCGGCTTTTGCCTTTTCTATTTAGCATTCCCGAACCCTGGAAAACTGGGCCGTATATCTGAACTGCTAATGTCACATAGCTATTTCGAAATCCCAGCATTGTACAACCTATGAGACTGACTAGCTAGAGCGCTTTACCTCAAGGACTAATGGCCCCATCTCCCGTGCCTCTACACTTGCCGATGGAGAACGGGGCAGTCCATCAGGGCACTATTAGATGCTGCATCAGGAAATAAGAGCTGTTTAGGGAAGGAACAAAGTTACAACCAATATCGATTGTTCCCACGCACACTCAGCACACGTCGGAAGCAGGCTTCGAAGATGCATATTACAACGCAAAGGCATCGACATTCAACAACAGCGGTTACGCGGCGCGAAACCTTAGAAATGTGGTGGAGGGGAGCTTTGACTTCTGTGAAACACACATGGTCTTGAGTATGTTCAGGACTCTTGGCATTCGGCTCCCAATGCAAGTCACGGCAGTTGGCGATTGTTAAGCACTTCCAGAGAAGGCCCAGCTGAAACCGAACCGCCCTTGATGATCAGATGTTGGTGCGATGCCTTTCCAGAGATGTTTTGAGATGGCGGGGTCTGCCTGGCCGTTCCTTGCACTGATCATCCTGATGTCGTACATGATAAGGCTGGCGGAACTGGCTCAACACCAAGAGCTGGCCTCGTTATCCTTATGCTCGAAAACGTTACATTCTTTCGTTTTGTTCAGTTTTCTCTCTTTACTTTTCCTTTCCGTGACTTCGTTTCTTGAAGGTCTGCTGGCAGGCCATCCTTTTTTTGAATCCTTATTCGTCTTCTATAGGAATACTTCTTTACGACCTTGAAAAAATGGGTTGGGGGGTGCTTGAAGATACCAAGATGGCTGCCCCTCCTGGGACGGCCACCATTGGCGCATCACCAGTCGTGGGTGAGTCATCTCTCACTTCCTTCTTACGGAGGACCCTAATCGAATGAGTGAAGTAGAAGACGCAGTAATCGATACCAAGACATTAAAGCGTGATGGCAACATCATCCTTCAGCCACAACCGTCTGACAATCCAAACGATCCTCTGAACTGGTACCACTCCACTCCTTGAAGCTAAGGCCTTTGCTGAACATCGGCTAGGTCCCCAATGTGGAAGAATTCAATCATGATCATTCTCGCGTTTAGCTCAGGAGTAACTACTGCGTATGTTTTTCCATAATTTTCGCCTAGTGCTTGTAATGACAAAAATAGACTTGGGCCAATGGTCACGCCTGGTATTCGAGTCGTTGCAATGAAATATCGTGTTAGCTTAGACATGGTATCGAGTCTGATTATTGGGTTTCTGGCCTTTTGGATTGGGTTCACAACTTTCTTTACTGCTTCTGGAGCTAACATCTGGGGAAAACGTCCTTTCTTCGTACTTTCGACGGTGCTTCTTCTCGCCACAAACGTCTGGGGATTCTTCGCAACAGTTCGTTCCCCATTTCTTGGTATTCCCATACTGTGCTCATTATCTGTAGTCTTTCCCATCTTTGGCTGTCATGAGAGTTGTTCAGGGTATTGCGTCAGCTCCTCTTGAGACTCTTGTAACTTCTACGGTCTCGGATCTCTTCTTCGTGCACCAAAGAGGCAAACGACTTAGTATCTGGGGTTGCATGCTTGCATCTGGAGTACTACTCGGGTGCGTATTAGTGATGGATCGCAAAACAACTCCGTCTGACTAAATATACTTTCGCAGGCAAACCATATCGGGCGCGATCATCGAAAATATCTCGTTCGAGGCCACATTTGGGATCTCCGCTTTGATCTTCATCCCAATTCTCTTCCTCATGTACTTTGTTGTTGTCGAGACCACGTACACAGCGCCGCGCGAGCACACCATTCAGGTTGAAGAAAAGGGCTCATTCTGGTCAGTTACACTGGATGAGAAAGAAACTTACCGTCAACAGCTACGTCTCTTTCGTGGCCGGGTTTCCGACGAGTCCTTTTGGAAAGGCTGCTTCAAGCCTCTTCCGCTGATTGCATATCCCGCCGTTCTCTTCTCGACAATCGTTTATGGCTCATACTTCACCTGGCTACTTACCATTTCTGTCCTCTCCGTCACTGCATTCTCTGCACCGCCATACAATCTCGGGCCTGCTCAAATTGGCCTCACAAATCTCCCCTTACTCGCCGTCGCATTGATCGGCTCGCCTCTCTCGGGTTGGATGGCTGATGCAATTGTTAAATACATGGCGCGCAAGAACCGTGGCGTATTCGAGCCCGAGTTCCGACTTACACTCATGCTCGTCGCAACACCTCTCGCAACCGCCGGGTTCCTGGGGTTCGGAATGAGTGTCCAGAACGGAGCGCATATTGCCTGGCCTATGTTTTTCATGGCCCTTCACTCACTGTCAGTGCCATTCGCCTCTCAAGCTTCTCTTACCTACGTTATAGACTGCCATCCGAAGGATGCCAATCAGGCTTTTGTCACTATCAACTTCACCAAAGCGGTTTTCACATTCCTGGCAACGACTTACGCAAATGGATGGCTTATCAAGGCGGGACCAAGGGGTGTGTTCGATTCTATTACGTTGATCAATCTTGGGGTCTGCTCTCTGACTATCCCGGCATATGTTTACGGAAAGAGATTTCGTGGGATTGTAAGTTCATCCCTTCTCCTGAGAATAATGGACAAGTATTGACGAGACTCGCCTGCGCAGGTTGCCCGAAGCAGACTCAACCAGAGCCTCTCTCGCTAGAACTCAAGTCTCGAAACATGGAATTTCAGATGCTGTACTAATGGCCGGTCTTTGTGGTGCAGTATGTGGGCATTCAGGGCGTAGGCGGGGGTATTGGGTAAATGGAATCATGGAAATGAGAAATACACGATCGCTCCTGTTCCCTTAACTTCGCCTAAAAAGCCTTCAGGAAACACCTCATCTTTCATTCTGTGTGCTCGTCTCAAGCCACTGAATCCCTTTCTCCCTAAGGCTTACAACTTTAACATTGGAACACATCACACGGACTTACACAGAACAAACACGGCAAGATCGTAGATCACTTAGACGTATCTTAGCGGATCCTAAAACAGCAAACTCGAAGAATGTGGTCCCAGAATGCGGTCGACACCAATGAAAGGTCAATCCTTAAGCGTCCTACCGATCCCGCTCGATGTCCACTCAAGTCCGCTCACGTGAACATAAGCCTCTCCGCACATCATCTGACTGCTGATCACTATCCGCTCTTAGCATATATCATAGCCACTCCATAAGCGTCTTATTTGAACGCCGAATAATTCAGCAGAGTAGTTTATAATCCATTACGCCATGTTTAAGTCCGATGGCTCGCACACCCACCTTTGAGTTTGCACCCAGCGTGAAGCAGAGAGAACGTCAATACTCAAACTTACCTTTATCTCTTTCAATTCCCATCAGACCTTGGATCGAAAAGCCCAAACCGAAATCCAAATCCAAACTGCAAGCTGACATGTCATCCTCGGTCAACTCCTTCAACCCCTACGCCCATGTTCACGACAACCCACAGAGACCAGGGGACCAGCGGTCGACCGCTCCCCAGGTCGTCAGGGACAACGACCGCATCGGTGTCTTCACCGACAAAGTCGTTCTCGTCATGGGTGTGACGTCGGGTATTAGCATGGAGACTGCTGCGAAGGGGCTGCACGCAACTGGCACGCACGTATACATCACGGCGAGAAATAAGGAGAAGGCGAAGAAGACGGTGGAGTATATTATGAACATAAGTGAACGGAAGGGGAGGGTTGATGTGATTGAGATGGTGATGGATTCATTGGAGAGTGTAAAGAGTACTGCGAAGGATTTCCTGGGCAAGAGTGGGAAGTTGAATATTCTTGTAAATAATGGTGGTATGTATTCCCCCTCTCTCTAATTCGTGGAGAGACTAATGGCTATAGCGTTTGAATGAAGGTATCATGGCGGTCCGGAATCGGGATCGAAAGACGGGTTTGAAATGCAGTTTGCGGTTAATCATCTCGCACATTTTGCTCTCACCGCGCTCTTGCTTACCAAGAGTTCAAATTCTCAATTCAATTCCCGCGTCGTGTTTGTTTCATCGTCGTCCCATCGGCACAGTTCGGTACATTTCGACAACATTAACCTCGAAGACGAATACGACCCTTCATCGCATAGGACAGTCTAAAACCGGGAATGTTTAGACAACCAACCACATCGACCGTCTATACCGTAACCAGAGTGTTCACGCGTTGTCGTTAAACCCGGGTGGGGTGTGGTCAGAGTTGCAAAAGGTCGCGACACCTGAGCAGATCAAGGTTTGGAAAGAGGATAAGGCAATTGGGCTGTTGATGTAAAACCCTGATCAAGGTGCTTCAGCGACCTTATGGGGAGCTGTAGGGAAGACTTGGGAAGGGAAGGGTGGGAAGAATGTCGGGGATACTAAGTTGTCGGAACAGGCGAAGGTGTTGAATGATGCGATTAATACCATGTTTTAGCGCGTAATGCACGGCCTCGCGTAATGCACGATTTTGGCAATCCGCGCCTTTTACTTTTAAAGCTCTAGAGACTCACACAAATCATAAATTATATAGATTTTTTATTATAATACTAATTAAATACTATAGATTCTATTCCTAGCAATAATTTACATGTAATACCTTATAGGGAGGTTAATTTACTTGCTACGTTAAGTCCTGCCTAATGCTGGCTCCCTCTCTTTATTTAATGCTGCATCATTATTAAAATCCTCTAGCGTACTAGCAATAGGCGTAAGAGCTTTCTGCTTGCCCTTTATTGCCTGCTAGAGGTTATTTTTAAGCTGTTAATTAACCTGCTAGGTGAGCTCTGCCTCCTCTTGTTAAGCTGCTTTTGTCTTAAGCTCCTGCAGGTGAGCCTTCTTTGCTATTACTACTTTATGCCTCTTCTCTTTAACTGCGCGCGCCTTTTTAGCTTTCTCTGCTTTCTTGCGCTTTGCCTTCTCTTATTTTTAAAGCTGTAGAGCCTCCTTCTTAGCATTTTTTTGTGCCTAACAATTACATGCTTCTTAGACCTTGTTTAGGGACTAGAAGGTCGCACTACTATAATATTCTAGAGGTGCTTCTAGTAGGAGAGGCTTGCTACGCTAGCAGCGCTTCTTCTTATTAATTAGCGCATCTTTAACCTGCTTAAGCTCACGCTGGAGGAGGATGCAACGCACTAAGAATAACTAGACAGTCTTCTTAAGCTCTTGTACATCTTTTTTATAGAGATTACTAACAACCTTGTCTAAAAGGCCTTTAACCCTTTTCTAATCCTTTGCACTAAGCGCTAAGCTAGTGCTCTTACTAGAGGATAGTTGCTCTTTTTACCTATAGTAAAATTAATCTAAGACTACCTGCAGCTTAAATAGCAATAAACTAGTTGCTCTAAAAGCACTAAGGATAGTTTTATGCTTAAAGGACGTTTTCTAGGCCTTGTTAAACATGCTGTAGAAGTCTCTCTTCTTAATTAATAATAGTCCCTAGCATCTATCTATAAAGCTAGCTAGCTTAGCTAAGTAGGCTAACAAGAGAGGTTTGAACATGCAGACATTAAGAGGCTGCAGCGTATGGGTCGCATGCGGCGGGTATACAGCTAGGAGGATCTTATTGTTGTCGCAGTACTTAATAAACTCTATTAAAACATGCGATCTATGGCCATGTCAGATTAAAGCACTGTTTCTGGGCTTCCTGAGATGAATGATGGGTTTAGATATAATGTATGGGATGATTGATTAATTGTATTGATTGTGTTTATTTATTAATCTTTTTTCTGCTCTACTTGTGTTGCTTAGCCTTTTGTTTTGCCAATCTAAGTCCCTTGCGCACTTGCCCTATGCGCGACTAGCTTGCAAAATGCTGCAATTTGCAGCAACATACTGTTCAAGCTTATTACTTGTACTATGTAGCAGCTTTTGTCAAGCGTTCCTCCTGTCTTGACAGTAGGTGCGCAAATTTGACACACCCCCTTAGCTTAGACATGCTTTAAGCTGGTTCCTAATTGCGCAACCTTAGTATGCTTCTAGGGCTTCTATTCTTGCTTTAATCTCTTCTATATCTGCTTCCTGACTAACTATCCTCTCCCTAACATTAACTAGCTGAATTTGCTAAAGAAAGCTTAGCTATTTGCTAACTAGAAGCGCTTTAGTAAGTCTATCTGCAAGCATCTTACTAGAGGGGACATAGACAACCTTAATTGTTTGTTAAGAGACTTCCTGTTAGAGCTAGTAGTTATAGATGTTAATATGTTAGAGCTTAGTTTAAAGTTAAGATATCTCTTTATTTACTAGTTAAATTGTCTGCTTATTATTACACTAGATTATAATAGTTAAATTAGGCAGCTTAACCTATAGTTTGTTAAGAAGCATTTTTATAAACATAGCTTCCTTAGTAACTTAGAACAGTGCAAGTAATTCTGCTTTTGTTGTTAATGTTGTAACTGTATCTTATTTATTTACTTACTATGCAATTTATTTACTAAATAGTTAAATAATGTAGCTCTAAGAGCTCTTCTTATCTAGTGTATTATCTGTAAATAACGCATTACTTGCTACTATAAAGTAGTCTTCTCTTCCTAATTAGAGTGCGTACGTCTGTGTTGCATGTAGGTATAGGATAACTTAATTAGCTGCATCCTAATAGTTAGATGCAGGATTTGTGAGAAACTGTGTAAGGCGTGATGTAGCAAAGGCAATGTCTAGTCTTATAGTAACTGCTGCAAAGAGTAGAGATCTAATCTTCTGCTAATATTAATTTACTTCTAATAAGGTTGCAAAACTAGATTGCAGCATAAGTTTAATCCTACTTATAGGTGTAGCATGCTGCAGGTTCTTTCTATTAGCTAGCCTAGCTATCTTGTTAATATATAAGGCCTATAATAGCTAAATTATTTATTACTGTTAATTTCTAATAATCTTAACTTTTAGAAACTATTATAGGTCCTTACCTTTTATTAGGGTATACTTCTCTTGTAACTAGTCTACTACACGCTGTGCATCTACTTTAGAGCTTTTTTTATGCGCAATAATAAAGTTGTCTATGTAGAAAAAGACAAATATTCTAGCTTTAGTTATATAGTAGGGTTTATATAAAATAGCTAAGAACCTAAGGCCTTTAAAAGTTATTATAAAATAGTGTTGCTAAAGTAAAAGAGAAATTTGTAGGCTATATAGTGCTTTTTAAAGCTTTAGTATTATACCTAGTTTCTAATAGCCTCTTAGCATCTGCATGTAGATATTACAGTTAATTACTGCATGTATAAACACATTAGTTATTGTCTGTACGCAGCAGCAGCGTCGCGGCCTGGATACGAGCGATCACGCACGAGCAGGATCACGTATCTATGTCACATGATGCTCGTGCGCGAACCTCTGTGCGCGAACATCTAGATATCCCTCTTTTCCTCTGTATAAAGGAAAAACAAGAAGCAATTAACACTAGTTACCTAACACCCCTGTGCAATGTTTACACTGTGCAAACCTCTCTGTCTTGTACGCATTTACTAACACTAAGTGCTAGCTAGTAGAGAGTCTATTTAACACTAATTAGTAGTTTAAATACTATAAGAAAAAAAGCTCTTCTTGTACCTTTTTATTTAAAAGTTTACATATAAAAAGAATCCTTTTTTTTACTACTTTAACTATAAATTAGTAAGAGTAAAGACAGAGTTTAATTTATATATAAGTAGCTATAAATCTTTATTTAGTTACTTAAGTAAGAGTAAGAAACCTGTCTGTATAATACTATTTAGAGGTATTATATAAATAGTAGTGCTTGTTTAACACTAGAAGGTCTATTTTATCTTTTTACACAAGGCTGTTTAGAGGCAGCGTACAACAAGAAGTAAGACAGCGCGCGATAACGCATAATTAACTACTATAAAGCAACAAGCAACGCCAGCTCTATCTATAACTAGCTAACATAACATATTAACATATAACTAATATGTACTTTTTATAGGCATTTTAGCAAAGACCCTAGCAGAGTAGATAAACATTAAAAATTAAGTAAATAAAATTAAACTATTAAATAACACACTTAAAAAAAAGCTTAATTTATACACAGCTAACTTAATTATAGAACTCTACGCATTAAGCATAATAAATGTATGTATGCTTAAAAACTTTTAGAATAACTTTATAAAGTAAAAGCTTATACACTTTAAAAATCTTAGCTAACTATTCTTATAAAAACTAATTACTACTCTACAGAATAAAAGCATTAGCTTTAAAAAAGATAAAATAGAAGCTACTACACTATATAAACTTATAAAAAAAGAACATATGTTTACTATTTTACTAGAGCATTATATAAAACTATTACTACTATTACTAGTTTTAACGCAACAGAGGATGTCTTTATATAAATTACTTACAGACTTAATACTTTCTCTGTAATTAGTATAACTACTTTATAATAGCTTACTATATAAGAGCATAACTAGGCAGCTACATATTCCTATAGCTACAGCTCTGCATAAGATTCTCTAAAGCTTATACTTACTATATATAATTTAATTACTGTATAATCTATACTAACTTCTACTTATACAAGATATTACAGCAGAGAACTTTACGCCTAAGAAGGTTATATAATTCTAGAAGGCATAAAGGAAGAAGAATAACTATATAAGGCAACTATATAATATTCTAGCTAATAAAGCTATAGTATTTATTAAGCTCTACTAACACCTTACTATTTTTAAGGCATTATACATAAGCATCTTTTCTAATATTTTTAAAAAGCGTGCACACATGTTCTACCTTTATAATATTAGTCTAAGATAATTATAGAAGTTACTATATAAGCAGCTTAGTAATTACTTTAATACTAATATAAACTATAACTAGTATTAGATAGATTAGATAATAATAAGCTTTACATAAAGTAAGTAAAAAAACTTTATAAAAACCCTACATAAAGCTTTTAAAGCTATAATTAATAAACTTACTTTTATATAAAAAGCTCTTAGTCTATAATTCTAAAGTAAGATACTACTTTACACTACTATTATATAAGCATGCTAAGGGCAACTTAAACTTAAATAAGTAATGTTCTTAATTAAGCTTATATGTAAGGCACTATATAGTAACCTCTGTTTAGCACTTTAAGTTATAATTAATTAATAGAATAATGCATTTATAAATAAATCCTAGAATGTGTACTACACTAATAGGTAATATAGCTTACTACATACACATAGCTATTAACAACATAAAAGAAGCCTAAGGGGATATAAAGGATTATTTAAACTATAGTCTTTTGTATAATTAAAGTAATGCTTTATTTATTATAAAAAAAGATATTAGTTAATAAATTATCTTTATATAAATTAATTT